TTTCCCTTCTTGGTTCTTTTAACCACTTCATATGGGCCTAGGTATCGTGGTGAGGTCTTTATCATTGAAACGGATTCTTGAATTTGGCTATGTCTGACCAGCACAAGTTCTCCAGACTCGAAGGTGTTTCGTTGAATTCGATGATGAAAACGTCGCATGAACTGGTCTCGGGATGTGCATCTGGCTCGTTTAAGGGTTTCAGCTGCAGCAGCTAGGTCCTCTTCTCTCCTTTCCAACTGTCGCATTCGCAAGGCGACAAGTTCTGCCGTAGACATACCGCTCCGAAATCCTGTGACCAGGAAGCTTGCTTCTGCATAGTCAAAGGGCAGGGCAGGATGAGTCCCATGTAGTAGATAATATGGGGAATATCCTGTCACTGAGCTGACTGTGACCCGGTCAGCAAATACCGCCAGCCCAACTGCCTTGTGCCAGTTGAGGGGCAGTCCGTTGGAGCTCTTTTTACAGGAACGAACAATAGCTTCTCGAAGGATGTAGTGGCCACGTTCAACAACTCCATTGGCATGCTTGTTGTATGCTGTGATTTTTATCTGGGGTATTCCTAATCTTTCCGCTAACGAAGAGAAAGCTCCTTTTACTTCGGACCCATTGTCGGTGACGATTTGCTCAGGCGCCCCATATCGACAATAAAGGTTGTCCCATAAGAACTGGGATAGGTTGTGAGAGTCATTTGTCCTCATGGGCTTAGCTTCGGAGACACCCGTTAAATCATCTTTGGCTGCTACTATCCATTCATATCCTCCAGAGGCGGGCCGCATGGCCATGACATCCAGATAGACTTTCTCGAAGATTCGAACAGGGGCGGAGATCTCGTAAGGCATTTGCATTTGTGCGGTGTTTCGGATCTGACAGTCATGACATGTAGACACATGGTAATGGACATCCTCTTTGAGTCGAGGCCAATAGAATCGGAAGCGAAGCAGCTTTAGGACAGAGTGTTCTCCTTTATGGCCTAAGGATTCATGTGCCTGTTGAAGGATAGATAGCCTCCGGTCAGCTGAAGTGACAACCAGCTGGGGAATTTCTGCTGAATTCCGGAGGTACATGTGATCTTGATGAACAAAATATCTTTTGGCTTGCTGTAGAAAACGCTTCTTATGCAGAGCACTCGGAAGTATAGGAAGGGAGTTGGAGGTGAGATAGTCATGAATGTCTTGAAGTAACTTTGTCATTTTGCTGGACTTCTTGACGGATGGCAAAGCAAAAACCTTGTAGCCTTCTGGAGTAGGAGCGGGGAGTGTGGTGGAGACTAGGAATATGTAGAGGGCTATCTCATCTAGCCAGGAGTCATCGTCTTCAATATATTCTTCTGGAAGATGTTTCCTTCTTGACAGTCCATCTGGTCCCTTGAAGTTGACCCCTGGGACATGTACTAGCTGGAAGTCGAACATAAGAATTCCTTGGATCCATCTGTTCATGGCATTGGTGGGCTGTAAGTCTGGTTCCTTCAACATTCCCTTGATGTATTGGGCATCCACCTCCACAACAAGCTTAGGGGCTCCTATGAGGTAGATACGCCAGTGCCGAAGTGCTCGATACAGTCCATAGAGTTCCAGCTTGGACTGAGAGTATCTAGACTGGACTTCGTTCATGGGTAGGGAGCCATAACGTGCTGGCCGCCTTTTTCCGTTCTCATCGTTCTGAGACAGAATGAATCCGACGGCAATGAGGCTTGTGTCTACCGACATGATCAAGGGGTTGTCGGATCTATAATCAATAGGTCGCAGTGCGGGAGCACTGGATACTTTACTCTTGAGTGTGTCGAATGCCTCCTGTCTTCTTTCATCCCATATGAAGTCTGCCCCTTTTTGTACAAGTTCGGTAAGGGGTCGGGCGAGTTGAGAGTAATTGGGAACCCATATACGGACAGTTCCACAAAGCCCCAGGAAACCTCGGACTTCCTTTGGGGTGGTGAGGATGGGCCATTTAAGAATCTTGGAAACTCTATCATCTTCGGGGCTTCGTCCTTCTGGGCCACATTTCTGTCCGACGATTACTGCCTCTTTTCTACAGATTTGGGCTTTCTTGGCAGAGAAGGTAGCACCTGCACACTTGACCCGGTGCATAACCCGATGTACATCAATGGCATGTTCCCAAATGAATCGGCGAATCCCTGGATTTTCGGGAATCATCTCAGGCTTTCCATTCTTGTCCAAGTACTGGGTTTTAGGACCTTTGATAGGTAGATCGTCTACAAATATATTGGCAACATGGGGAATCTCCGGTTGAAGTATGTGCACCATGCACTTCTGAAACTCCGTTGGTGAGTTTGTGTACCCCATGGGGAGCGCCGTTAATCGTAACAATCCCAAGGGACTCCAAAATGCGGTCATATCTCGGGACGATGGGTCCACTATTCGTGCGTCAAATCCCCAATAGAGGTCATGGGTTGTAATACACTGACACCCAGCGTAGGGCTCAACGAAGTCGTCAATGATAGGTAGTAGTCCCGCGTCTCGGATCGAGACAGCATTTAATGGTTGAAGGTCATGGACGATTCGGAGGGACCCATTCTTCTTCAGGACGCAGAACCACCTTCCTCTATATGAGGATTGGCAAGGCTCATATACTCCGGCGTCTATCTTGCTTTTGAGCATTTCAATAACTTTGTCCCGAATTCCAGGCGGTATTGGAATGTTGCGGAACTCCCAGGGAGTATGAGGTATAGTGGCCATCTTGTAATCAGAGAAATAATCTTTTCGTAGAGTTCCACGGTCGCTTTCCTCGAAGGCGAGTGCATCTTGGTTAAGCCGGAGGATGTGCTTGAACAGCTTTTCTTCTTCTGGGAGTAAGAAGTTGTCTTTATTAATTTCCATAGCTTCTATGCGCTCCTTGGTGAGTTTCTCAGTAGGAAGAAACTCTGGTGGGTCCTTAGGTAGTGGCGGAAGTGAGTCCAGTGGATCTTCTGGCATGGAGCGACTGACTTTGGCGTCTTCGGGATAAGTTCCCGAGACAGGATGAACCTTCTGGGCTACCCGTTTGTATGCGCCAAATGCTTTGAACTGGAAGCCGAAAGCACTGTCCTCAGGTGTTGGAATTAAGATGGAGTCTTCCTCCCAATCCACATCGGTGAGCAGAGCTGAGATGCGATCCAAATCTTTTGTGAGACGGCTTTCTATGTAAAGACATTCCACAGGCGGTGGTGTATAGATGTCGATAGGGGAGTCAACTGTATCAATTTCTGAACCTTCAACATAGTAGGCCCAAAGAGATGGCATTGAAGCCTCGCTGCTGGAGGTAGAGGTACTGGCTACTGTCACGGCGTAAGACCATAAGGGGCTAGGGGACTTTGGATCCTCACAGAGGAGTTGGTAGGTAGTGTGGGAAGGAAGATGGATAAGGTCGGGGTAAAGGAACGTATATGACATAAGGAGTTTGCTAAATCGAATGAAAGAGCCGTTTCTAAATCCCTTCAGAAGAAAAGAGTGGCTTTGGCGGAATGAAGGATGGGGAAGGGAGTGTGTAGAATTCAAGCGTGAAAATGAGTGATGGACTTTAGAAAGGAAAAAAGGGTGGTATGATGCTTGGGTACTGGTGCCAAAGTTATAAGGGAATACGCCATGACATAGCACGGCGATGTCCGGCAAAATCAAACATGGCATAGGGGTCCAAATATTCGGCCTGAAAAAGAATGTCGACACTGATGGGTAAGTCCGGCACAAGTCCACGCATGGTGCGGGCAGCATTTCCAATGCACCCCCGTCCCATGGAGTCAAAAACTTTTGCCACGTTGGCCAAGTACTCATCCTCTTCAGGGGTGAGTAAGGGGTTGGCCTTATAAGTGGTGAGAAGGGGCTCGACAGGGGGTTTGAGTAGTGAACGGGAATGAAAACAGGTGTGGGAAAAACCTTGGGAGACCAGTGGCTTATTGTAGAATAGGACCCGAAAGATATGGCAATGATGGGTGAAGTAGTGGCGTGTTGCATTGGTGAGGAGTGGCGAGGTCATTAAATGGAAAGTGAATCCTGGTTTTAGGAGGTATCTTGTAATGATGCGAAGGAAGGCAATATGAAGAAGACGGAGGTGTCGGAGTGCAGATATTTTGGGGTTCCATAGATTATAGTGTATTTCGTCCTTTTCCGAGGCCCATGGATTGGAATAGTTTTTGATGAAGAGAGCAGCGGTATTTTCATATGTGCTGGGTGTGCGGGGAATTTTAAGTTTGAGTTTGTCTTGGGACCAGTCCATGTCGAACCTATGACCGTCAAGAATGAAATTATGATGCACGTAGTCGAAGGAGCGGGGTGGGGCTAGTCTGGCTTGAACAAGCGCCTGCTGCGCTTTCTTTTCTTCTTGGGTAGGCTCAGATCGTCCCCACATTTCCGGAGTAACATGTTCCCGAGTGATGTATTCCTTGCACAGTAATGCGATCCTTGCGATCATATAATCTCCGTCATCTTGCCAACGTCCAAAGCGAGAGTCTCCCCTAGGCATTAGGACATTGGTAAATCCATCATATGGATAGGGCTGAGTTTCGTAGTCAAAGAATGAGGACGAGGCGGGTATGACGAGCTGGCCTTCAGGGTTGACATATGGATGTCCGAAAGGAGGATAGTCTTTAGTTATGGTGTCAGATGCCACCGGTATGGCCATCCCTTCTGTCATAAACAGAGTAGAGAAGGCATGGCTGAATCCCCAAAGATCAGGTTGGTCATGACGAATTTCAAGGTAGGAGTCCTTAATGAAAAGGTCGGCTAAGTTGGTGAAGGCATGGATCATGCAGAGTGGAACTGGCGAGATAAGACATCCTTGAACGAGTGAAAACGAGGTTGGTTTTGGACTGAAGGAATGGTGTACATGAGATGATGGTGAACTGGTACTAGGGGTATAACCATTTCTTTCTGCATCACTTCCTTCCTGGACCTGTCCTTCTATGCCATCCTCTGATACTGAAAACTTCGAGATTACTGGAGTGGGGGTTGGGTAAAGGAGTGACTCTGGAGTTGGGCTAGTTTCTAGAGGAGAGGTGGGATGGAGAGAAGCTACAGGGCTTCTGTCTCCTTGGACTTGTTGGGATTCTTGTTGTAGTATTCTGGGGGAAGAGGTGGGAGCAGAATGACAAGGGATGGGAGGAGGAGTTTGAGTTGACATACTGCTGGTGGTTTCCATACCCACAACTACTTCACTGCCAGGAGGAACATTCTCTTTCTCCTCATCCAGAAGTTCCTGCAACATTTGGTGATTGTGCTGGAAGGCAGAATTCATAGCAGCTGCAAGGCCATGAGAGCCCTGAGGAACTTGGACAACAAAGCTGTCCTCAGATTCCTCTACTACAACTGCATTCTTGAAGAATTCTGTTGCCTCTTCTGAATCAGAGTCAGGCATGATGAGGACAGGGCCTTCCCCAGACTCAGGTCTCCAGACATGAAAGGCATGCTGCAAAGGAGGCTGGTTGAGTGTGGAGGATGAAGTGGAACCCTTGCCTTTGGATGGTGGAGGACGAGATCGAATGGCTTTCCTTCTGTCCATCCTAGATCCAATGGGAGAACCGAAGCGAGGCTTCTTGGCTCCTTTGGCAGCAGATGAACCCATGGGTGGAGTATCTTGAGCAGGGCTGGAGGAAGGCACAAGTACCTCCCCTTCTTCAGCTGCAATTTCCGAAGCTACTTGGCGAAGGAGTTGAGTGATGTGGTCCTGAATATTGATGGAGGCGTAGGCCCGATTGATGTCAGACTCACTGGGGGAAAAGACAGTCATACTGAGGGCCTCAGAGTTCCCTTCCTTAGCTCCCCCTTCATTATCCGAAATGCTAGGACTGTCTGCAGTGGGAGTAGGAAGAGAGGTGGCTGGAGACGGAAGGTGGAACGAACTGGTGTCATCTTTCATGGTAACGTCTCCCAGAACTGGGGAAGGGGGACGACCTTCAGTTCCTAAGCTGGGCTGGGTGAATTCGGACGATTCCATAGGAGATGGTGACCTATAGTAACGGGTGGTGAGAACACCAGAAGACCTCGCACCGTTAAATTCTTGGTTGAGAGCTAGCTGATTCCTGGGGGGCGAACGTTCTACGGATTCCGACGAAGGTTTGGGGTCCTCCAGCGTGAGCGAAAGGATAGGTGGGTCGCTCTGATATTCCTCCTTAATGATGGGCTCAAGCGAGGGTTGAGTGGGTTCCTGATTGTCCGACGCATGGCTCGAGGTTCGGTGGGAGGTGGAATCGGAGGGAGGAGAAGGGGAATCGGAGGAAGCTCCAAGGCGGACACGCCGCTGAAGATTCCTAAGGTCTTCAATATTCTTGTGACGGATGGCGTCATTGGGAATGGGGAGTCCTGGAGGACTTGCGGTACGAACGGGGGACCGAAAGGACTGTTGGTTGGCCTCTGAGGATCGAGGAGCAGTCTCCTGACGCTCAGGTATAGGCTCTGACACATGGTCAACGTCTACGGTCGACGCTGAGATGCCTCTGAGTCTTGCTGAGCGGCGGCGAGGAACCTGACGAGGAGCTCCTCCACGTCGAGTTCCACGTGTGCGAGCATTTTGCGTTCGAGGAGGCCTCTGATTATCCTCATCACGGTTCTGGTCGATTTCTCCAAACGAATGACGGCGAGGCGGAATCCTGATGGTAGGGGCTGCCCTCTGGACGACGGGCTCCACAACAGCGGGTACAGGACGAGGGGAAAGTACGCCGGGAGGTACAATGATGTTGTAGGGGTATTGGGAGTCTGCGATGGAGAAAGTGAACGCATCTAGAAGACGATGGGAAGGAGTGGGAGGGGAATCAATGGCTGGAGCATCAAACGATTCAAGGAGAATGAGATAGGCGGTACCGCGATTTCGCTCCACCAAGTGGGGAACGATGGAACTTCGCCTACTGACTTCTGCGTCGTTGGCAAGATAAATCCTGATCTTGCCGTTGTTCACCATATGGGACTGATGTTCGACGAAGTTGTTGGACGACATAACCCCCGCAACTTTCTGGGGTTGAGCCTGGGTCATAGCCGCCTGGACTAGACCGTAGCGTTGCAGACGCTGCGCCGTGAGCAATGCCTGGTCCTGTCCCCCGCTGGGGAACTGGATGGGAAGGGAGATATGAGGCTGAGGGACGCGATCGACGGGGTATGCAGGGGGCATTCCAGTGCGAACGAGCGTCTGGATGACACGCCCAATCGTGGCCTGGGGGTGCGCAGGAACGTTGACGGCGTCGGCAACAGCGGCGTAGTTGTTGGAAGACATGTCGCTCGCGATATGACTTTGAAAAATATGTGCTGGTAAGCTGGGTGTGCTGGTAAGCGAGTTGAGAGTAAGTTTCGAGGATGGGGGGCCAACTGTATCCAACGGTGCATTAAATAGCGGGAGGGGCGGCGATTCCAAGACGTAGGTGCGTACATTATTCGTCGCGGAGTTCAGAATTGACGGCTTCGTCGTCTGGAATTCCTTACCTTGTCGTTCTGGCATCCAATACGGTTCTGATGGATAGTGCCACCAACAACAAGCCTCTGGATTTGCGCCATGACGATGTGCGAGGACGCAGGGAGGACGTCTTCCCCGTGCATCGAGATCCAATTCGTTCAGCAAGAACACGGCCGGTCGGGTTGCCTGGGAGGTCTGCACTACATGTGCTCGTTGATTTTGGGGCTGGTTCGCGTCGATATCCTCGTTGAGACGCTGGCACAAACGGCCCTTCCAAGACAGTCTCGCAAAGAGTGCGCGTTCTTGGAGAGCACGTGAGCGCGTCTCTTCGTATCGTTCTATTACCGAAGTTTGTCTGCTAACGTTTCCGGCAGTCTCGTTCACTGTTCTACTCTCATCCCGCCCTCCTTCATCTTCCCACCATGTATGGGGGCTCTCTTCTGTACGATCCTCCTCGGCATTACACGACCTGGAAGGTTCGGCCGTACGACTTTCCCTTACGCTGGCAAGCCAACTTCGTCGGATTCGCGGGGGCGGTACTTCAAGACCTAGCGCAACGATATCGGACTGATTGGGACTTTCCCCCAAAGGAATCAAGCGAATTGGTTTGGTGTATAATAAGAGCGGACGCAGAGCTTCTTCTGCTAGCGAGTCAACCGTTGGGACACCCTCAAGATCCGACGATTTCTTCACGACGGGGGTGCTCAAATCGCGTTCTAGGAATTCCTCTTCCGGCGTAGCGAATTCGATAGCGCTACTCTGCGTTTCGCCGGCATCACTAGGCCATTCCCGAGCGAGCGCAATGGGAGACGCATGGGGAATTCCTACCTCAGGTAAGTCCTCCCCTTCGTACTTACTCATGCTCTGGCTTATTTCCTCGTTAGCTGGCGAATGCTCTGGCTTGGAGCCTAGGTCTTCCCAACCAGGGTTGTTCATCGCCATCCCTCTACCAATTCCTACCCGATCTCCTTCGAAACGCGGTCCTCTTGGTACCTCCTGCCGCTTCCCCTGCCCTGCACTTTTTTCAAGACTTCCTTTCGTCCTTGTCAGCTCTTCCGGGCCTATCTTCGACCGCTGGGCGGGGCGTCGCGCATTATCCATACTATCTGGCGTACTCAGGCCACGCCATGCAGGCGTTTCTGCGTGGCTGTACAGGCATCGAGTTCGCCCTACCACAGGCGGAGGCAGGTCTATTGGGACGGCATATATTGCGCTGGCCGAATCGAATGCTTCCACAGCGGCCTCATCCTGCTGCCCACTGCCTACTGTTCTAATCCATGCGCTCACGTTTGGTCGGCACGATTTGGCAGAATTGCCAACCTCTGAGCCCTGTTGCACCGGGGTTTTGCATCTGCCGCAACACTGATCGTCCTTCGCTTCTCCATACCGATTTTCTGGTGGGAAACGCTTCCCTTGGTTGGTAGGGCTAGCGAGATACTGTGGCGGCCTTTCTCCCCATTCTGTAGAGAATTTCGGCGAGCTCCCGCTGGGTCCTACTCTCCGGGTTTCTGCACTTGCGCATTCTGCGTGGCGCTCAACGACGGCGACCTGCGAGTTATCGCATATCCCTTTTGGGGTTGCCAGTCCCTCGTTGCTGCACCACCCTAGCTCTGCCGACGTTTCTCGCGAACTTACCTCTTGGTTACCTACCGGGCTTCTCATGCCGCGCCACATCTCCTCTACTTTTCCATCGCATCGGGTACAGTCCACAGTGGCTCTGGTCATAAGTTCCAGATCAGGTGAGTTTCCATAGTTCTGACTTCTAGAACTTGGCCCATTTACATTCTCGTAGGCGTTGCTACCGCCCTGTGGCCTTGCCCTCGTCTCGGGGCCGGCCGTTTTCTTGTCTAGGCTTGCGCCGGCTCGAGACCCGCGCCTCTCATTACTCTGAGCAGACGGTCTCTCTTCTGACGGATCACTCAAAATGGAACGGAGTGAGTGCAACTGCTGTACGCGGACTCTTTCTGATGTAGTGTTAGGATTCGTCGGCGGGGTTGTGCTTTGCAGAATCTCTATTTCAGATAACGGAGACGACAATTCACTCGGGGCACTCGTGGGTGAAGAGTCTTGGGATGTCCCATCACCTCCGCGTTTTCGCACGAACCGAATACCTCCTACCGTGCTCGCCCTCGTTGGTAGCGGGCTACGCCAGGGATGCCCAAATTGCAACGCGCTATGGACGCTTCCCAAGGCTTCACCAAATCCTAGGCCTTCCTGTTCCCGCGATGAATTTCGTGTCAAAGTGTCGTACAAGATTCTCGAGGATCGGGGCGGGTTGTCCCACTGGGAATTCGGTCCTTCCCAAGGATACGGTTCTTCCTGGGAGTTGATCGCAGACAGCGGTAAGTTGAAATCGCTAGTCTGCAATCTTGACGACATCTCATCGTCCCTCAGAAGTATTGGGCCTCCGCTTTCGGCACTTTGTCTGGGTGGTGGGTTTCTGGAGAGATCTAGGGACGCAGATACGGCACATTCATGCTTCCGCGCCGCTTCGACTCTATTCCCTTCGCAATTATAATCGGGGTGCACTGTACATAGAGTAGAACAATTAGAATGTTCTGGGGAGCCTGACGGCCCTATCTGCGTTTCTGCATCTGCGTGTTCGGTTTCCTCAAATGAGGGCTCCAATCCCCCGGTTGGTATCCCATTCTCAGGGTATTCTTGAGTATCCCACCAAATCCAATGGTCGAAAAATTGCGAAGTTCCGGGTGGAGTTCCAACTTCCAGATTCCTGTGAGGGACTTCCAATATAGGCTCGAGAGTTCGCTTTTCTGATGGACGTGTCTTAGGCGATGGGGGCAAACTATGGGAACCTGCCAGCACTTCTTGCGAGTTTTTCTGATGGACCGAGGGTGAAGGATGTGCGTGCAAATCTTCTATATTCCCCGGAACATTTCCAGGAGCTGAGGAGGTGCTATTAAAGCCGCTGGGGGAATCATAGCCAGTAGAATCCCCCCATTGAGAACCTCCTGAGTCTATAGTAAACCCATCATGTCCACCAAATCTATCAGGTAGGACCGTACTCTCGAGTGTGTGTATGTGCGTGGCTGATTCCTTCTCATCTTCTGGTTCAGTGTTTCCGTGGGTCTCGTTAAGCAGGAGACACTCGTCCAAGTAGTCTCCCCAGCATTTAATACAGAAAAATCCGTCCGTACCAAGGAATGGGCCCTCTCCCTTACTGTGGAGACAATAACGCGGTGGGGCAATATAGGAGAGTTCTTGTAGGTCAATGTTTGAGTCTGCCGGTTCTCTCTGATCCATTGTCTCCAGCTCGCTTGGGCCTTCACATACTTCTGAGCTGGTTGAGTTAACCGATGACTCCACCATTTTCTGAGTGGGACTTGATGCTTCCACTGAGGAAAGCCTAGCCAATGTAGTAGTGGATGTTGGGAAAGAGATATGTGCCGAATGTACTGAATCTATGTCACTCTCTTCTGAGTGATCATATGACAACTGAGTTTCTGAGAAGGGTTCAGTGGTAATGAATGATGTGAAACTATGCGCTGCGGCAAGGACAGAGGGTTTGACCATGTTTACCGCAAAGTCTTCCTTGCGGAAAACACTGCGTAGCACTTGTTCTGGGCGATTCACAGTTTCTAAGACTAAGAGTTCATACTTCGTGGTTTCGTTTCTGGGACGGAAAACCAAGTATGTCCCTTCATCTCGTTCCTCGATCGAAACTCGGTTAGCACGTTGCCAGGGTCTTCCCAAAAGGAGGTTGAAGGGGGCCTTGTGTCCGAGATAGAGACTGGCAACCGTGTCCACACTTCCGCAGGTTAGGTGAACATTGGCTACATAGCCTCGTAGTTCCCCTGATCCACCATTTGCATCATTCATTGTGACGACTTTAGATGTGTCCACCGGTAGGCGAATACACTTCTTGTAGACATCGGCGTGAATTATATTGAGTTGGGACCCAGAGTCTACAACCGCATGAATGATTTCCTTTCCGAAGCGCATGGGGACCACTATAAGAGGTCCTTTGGTTGTATCCTCATTTTCGATCTGGACTTCGAAGCTCTGGGGAATCGAGCCAGTGATGTTCTTCACCGGTTCAGGCACTGCGTTTTCATTGGCTATCTTCATGGATCTTCCCTTGAGCATTGACATCACTTGTTCCCGAGCGTACTTTGAAACCGCAAGATATTCTTGAAGGGAGATCTGGAAGGTAGATTCCAGCCCTCGGCGGAAAAGAGCTTCCTGCTCCTCTGGATCTAGAATCTCAGCCTGACGTGCAGATGCCCTGGGTGCCCTAGCAACACGATCATTGGGTTTTGCTTCCGCGGCATTTCCTTTTCTGGGCTCTGGTGTCTCATCATCGGCCATAGCAATGTCCTCCGCCGTAAACTCGTGCCTGGGACGAATATCGGCAGGGACCGGGTTTATCAAGGCAGGAATCTTGGGAGAAGACGGTTTTGCCCGTACGTTAGGGCCTGCCCTAGGTTCAGGGGCAGCCCCTTTAGAACGTGTGTGCCGTCCCGTTTCTTCGTTGACCGTTGGGCGCGCCTTTGAACTAGATGGTTTGCCTAGCACATCCTTTCTAGTCATGGTGACTGTCTTGGGTGCACGTTCTGCTGCTAGAACATCCATAGGGTCTAGTTCAGCTAGGAACTCTTCTGCCTCCTCTTCCTCTTCCTCTCCTTCAGACACATAATCCTCAGGGTCAAACGATGTGATGAAGTTGGAAACTACAGGGGATGCCTGGCTGCGAATGCGTTGAATGGCTGGGAGATAGTCCTCACCAAAGTTGCGCCTAATCAGCTCCCCATTAGGCCATGTGTAACGTCCTTCTGAGTCCCTGGAGATGATTCCCTGATCTACCAGGTCATTCAACGGAGGGCATCGTCTAAGCCCGTGTCCCTGGCCTCCACATCCATAGCACTTAAGAGGAGGTCGTGGCGGAAAATTCTGGGAAGTGGAAGGGTTGACATTCTGATTGGCTGGCGGAGGAAGACTTGAGCGAGGTGTGGTAGAAGCCTGTCGAGAGAACTCCCGGTTTGATGCTTGAATAGCTTGTTTGGCTGGCTCAGGAAAGATTCTTGCAATTCGCTCGTCCAAACAGAATGCTCGATAATATGTGACAGCATAGTCTGGATCCTTGATGTTCATCTGGGACATCTTCTTAATGAGGTCTTCAACCTCTGAATCGCCCGATGAAGACTTTCGGTGTGAAGGAGTTCTATGTGAAGAATATGTAGGGGAAATAGCCTGGACTTCCTCCATGACAGGGTCAATGGCACTATCATGAGCCTTGGACTTCCTAGCTCTAGGTTTATGGGCCTTCTGAGATCTTAAGGCCTTGAGCTGGGCTTTGACCTTGTCTTCATCTTCCTCTGATTCATCATCATCAGAGTCAGAATCACTATCAGAGGATTCGTCTTCCGAATCATATCCGGCGCTGACTAGATTGAACTCGAAGCGGTCCCTTTCAAATAATTCAAGGGCAATTTCGGAGACTAGCTTCATGGGGAATGCTGTCTTGGCGGAGATATTGGGGTGACGAGCATAGAGCCGATTCTCAATTTTCTGGCGAGTATCGAGGTGGATGCCCAGCCAGAAATAGGTGGCCTCTAGGTTCTCGGTTATTTTATCGGCCTTGCGCAGCCATCCGGAGATGGTTATGAACTTTCGTTCATACCGTTTCCACTGTGTGAGAGACTTGATTTTCTTGGCACCCTGACGAGCAGTGAACTTTGAGAGTCGGCAGATAGTATTGCGGGTTTCCTTCCGGTCAGCATCAAAGTGCTGTTTCATTTCTGTTTCCAGAGTGTCCCATTCTGAGCTTCGATATCCTGGAAGCGCCTCTATGAGTTGAACAACCTTGTCGCTACAGTATTCAAGGACTCGCTCGCATTTGTCGGCAGAGTCTGTCACCGAATACCGGGCGCATAGAGTGTTGAATTTCTTAAGGAACGATTTGACTTTCTCATGGCTCCCCTTGAATAGAGGGGGTGCACCGCGCTCACCCAACATGGGCATCATGTCCGGGGTGTAACGGAATGAACGGAAGATCTGAGCGGAAAGCTCAGGGCTAGAATGTCCACGAGAGGGTGTGCGCATAGCCATGTGAGGAGGAAGATCGTGATTGGGGGTCGGTGGAGGAGGCACAGGATCTGGAAACTCGAATGTCTGTGCCTGAGGTTCTGGCGATAAGGATAACAGATCAGACTGATGTACTGATTGAGGAGGAGTTGTTTCATGAAATGACATGTTTTGGCGAGAACAGTATACGATGAATACAGAGACAAAGGTGTCCTGCGGTGGTCACCAAAGATTATGTCACACTCTCCTAAGATAGGGGAGTGTCCGGGGAGCACTGGGTCTTGCTAGTAGATCAAGTGAGAGCCCGGTTGTTCGAACACCTAGTATCTCTGATAGGAGCGTATAATTTGTCTTGCCAAGGTATGCCGATAGTGAAACAAGACTACAGGGGTAGTACAGGAGTATCACAGGGGTGGTACAGGGATAGTACAGGGGCCTGTGTGAGGAGGCCCAATGACTGCTTCTTTCAGATAGGGGACGCAAGCGTGAGTGGTCACGAGCACGAGCGGAGACAGTAACGTGGAAGAGGAAAAATAAACAAAGGTGCAGATACGCAGTAGAACAGGAAGGGGTTAGTATAAAAGGAATAGAGAGTGAAAGAAAGGAACAAAAGGGGTACCGGGTAAAGAATTTGAAAGATAGGGGGATGATAAAAGATTAGAGAACGAAAAACTACCGTGACAAACTTCTTCAAGTACGCAGTACTTGAAGTTGAACCAAGTGGACGACTAGAAGACCAGAATTCGACTGGTATGACTGGATAACTGACTGATTGATGATCTTGCGGACTGAGAGTAAGATCGACTTTGACTTGACTGGATGACTAAAAAAACTTGACTAATACGACTGGCTGACTGAGACTTGACTAATACGACTGAATAACTGAGACTTGACTAAGACGACGGAATGACTGAGACTTGACTAAGACGACGGAATGACTAAGATCTGAGGACTGATACGACTAGAGGACTGACTGAGTGAACCTTTCGCTGGGGGGGAAAAGATTTATTTTCAACTTAGCTACACTATTCGATTTTTATATGTGAAATATCTAGGCTGTGCACGGAAAGTAGAAAGAACGGTTGTTAGGCCGTCACAAAAATCAGAAAGTCCGGTAGAAAGAATAGTCACATAATTCTGTACGGAAGATAGAAGGAAATGCAGAAGAAAGGAAAGGAAATGTGCAGCTGCATTCCGTATGTTCCGATGGATACATAAGGCTGTGCAAGGCTGTGCAAGGCTATGCTGGGCTGTGCTGGGCTGTGCAATTTGCACAGCCAAGGTCCGAATAGAACAGCCCAGCTGTGCGAATGAAAGGAATGAAGGAATATGGATTATTCTGATGAAAAGGGAGTTCTTAATGGAATATCTGATGGGCAAAGAAATGGTCGGGGGGAGAAATAGAATTCCAATGGAAATGGGAAGAGAATAGTGGCACCCCTAAAGACTTAAGAGGGGCGGAGAGGCGAACAGGGGTAAGATCCCATGTGGTATATTATAGATAGGGGTGAGGGGTAGGATAGGGGATGCTTCCCTAGAGCCAGATAGTTCGGGGAGGATAGGGGAGGTATTGCAGAGGGAGAGAGTAGGGAGCTTGGGTGTTTGATTGAGCATAACCCTAGATTTCCGACATGATTACCATGTTACAAACATGGTTCATGACACCGTGAGCTGTGCAACCGCAACCCGACCGCAAAGAAGGGTGTGTCCAACATCCAGGATGCAGGTTGGGGTCCTGAGTGCTGAGTGCCGCGAACCATAATCCGTAAATCGTAAACGGCTCGAGCAGACTGGACGGCGGGAAATGCGATGAGCGCGCGCGATCCAATGAGTGAGACTGCCAGTGCGAGTGCGAGTGAGTGAGTAGTTTCTGTCCATGGATCGACCGTACGTGCGACTGATGGAGTGAAAAGACAGGCGGGCCATCCACGAAGTCGGCCACGTTGACGCTGAATCTACTATCACCATCACCGTTAGCACATACCCACACACCCACGAAACGAATAACGAACCGGTGCATACCCTATCCTTGTCCACCCCCTCCGCCTGCCCGTATAGCTGATCCCGCTTATCTAGCTCCCCCGAATCCCTCAACCAACCAAACCAACCAACCACGAACGCACGCACGTAAGCACCAACCAAACCCATTTATTCAGATATTCAAAACCTACAAACCTATCTAACACTGACGTTACTTGGGTTTAGATTTTATGTTACCCATCTATCAATCGCCGCCGGATCGCGCGCGACTGCCTTCCACAGCGCCATGGTTTCGCTGAGACCTGCAAGCAAGACGTTAGCGTCGAGATACCCGATGAGGAATGGGAATAAGAGTGAAAGGCACGTACCTATCTGAGCTGTTCTTTTCTTTTTCATTTCCCATTCCTCGTGTCGTTTCGTTTCGTTTCGCTTGGTCACTCGTCGCCCTCTTCTCTGCTCTGTCGTGTTCGTCGTCCTGTTCACGTTCGTTTACCCTCACTATCCATTTCGTTCGCCTTTCGTTGGTCTTGCATCGCGTCTCCTTGGTTCGTACTAACCTGTCTGCCTTTCAGTTACCCATGCGTCTCACCTTCGACGCAATCAACATCGTCGACGCCGCCTTCGACCCATCAACACTTCGACCCATCAACACCTTGTAGCTCGTAGCTCGTGGTCCGTACTTCCCTAGAACAGCAACAAAGTAAGCCCCTCCCCAAACGTGCCCTTGCGAACACGCCGACTCACCTCGTCAACGCAGCGCGCAAGATCACACCATCTTACTCTAACCATATGACCGCCTGCCTACCTTCTAACGGAACCGAAAACAAAAACGAAAACGAAAACGCCAGCTCGGTGCGTGTCTTCTTCGTCTCATTGTGTTTCGTTCTGTTTTTCTTTTCTTTTTCCTTTATATTTCCCCTTCATTCGTTTCTGTTCCTTCTCTCCCTCCCTCCCTCCATTCGTCCTCGTCCTCGTGCCTGCTCCTGCTCCTGTTCACCTCTTACCGCGTTCCCTGTGTCCCCATCGTTCCCTGGCGTTCCCGTTCCATGCCCGTTTCATGTTTTCGCACTATCCTCTCCTCTCCTGACGTCGTTCCTTTCGTTTCGTTCGACTTCGAACCTTCCCTCCGTCCCATTCTCGCAATACCCTCTTCGTCGTGCTGACTTCCCTTCCTCCCCACAGCTCAATCGTGGATACCGGCGACGACGACAACGGCTGCTGTACCTGTCGTACCCTCAAGCGACGAGTCCCTGGCGCAGGTACGTCTTCTCCCTTTGGGTTGTTCTCTTCGTTTCGGCTTCATTTTCTTTGCGTTCTTTGCTTCGCTTCGTTTCCCTTCGTCTGTTGATCTTCGTGTTCGTGTCCATCTTTGTCTGTCCATCTTCGTCTTCCAAGTTCGCATTTCGTGTTGTCATCGCAGCCTACTTCGCCTTCGTACACCCACACCCCACCCACTGCCTCCATTCCATTCCATTCGTATCCCCACATCCCTTCCCATATCCCTTTGTGCCTTTCCTCCGTACCCCTTCGTTCGTATTCCCGTATCCCTTCGTTCGTATCCCCATCCCCCTTCATCCCCATCCCCCTTCATCCCCTTCGCATCGTCGCAACCTCTTCGCATCGTCGCAGTCCAGCGTCCGCCTGCCCAGCTGCAGGGGCGCGCTCGTACAGGCTCGTACCCGCATCCGCATCCACGTTCACGCTGTGCGTCTTCGTGCTGTGTGGAGCGTTCGAGTTCGTTCGAGTTCGTTTGTGTTGCGTTCGTGTTCGTTCAAATTCGTGCGTTCGTATCTGTTTGTGTGGTGTTCGTTCGTTCGTGTTCGTCTCCGTTTTCTTCACCCTTCACTTTGTCTCCTTCGCCTTGTTTCCTCCGTCTCTTCTTGTTGCGTCTCGCACTCCCGACCCGAACCCACGCTAGCCCACTCACTCCATCTCACAGCACCACGACGCACGGCGCACTCGTCAGCCGCGCGCCCGTTTCTAGTTGCTTTCAGGTTTCTTTTCTCTTTCTTTTGGTCTGTTTTGCGTTTCTTCGTCCTTGTGCCTTTTTGGGGGTTTTTGTCTAAGATTCTTCGTGCTTGGGGTTTTGCATTTCTGAGTCGGGGTTCGCATTGCGTCGTTTTCATTCGTTGGCAGTGTTTCGGCGCGTGCACCCCATTTGGTTCGTTCTGGGGTATGCGTAGTGGTGTTATCCATAGATGTAGTTGCCGGGGTCGCGGTTGCTGGGGTAGACAGGATCGCAGGGTTGCGCTGAGTGCGCGTCCGGGGTCATGCGAGATTGGAGACAAGCGTGGATGAATGAGGGGTTGTGTAGGGTCGTGGTGCCACATTTGCCGGTGGCGGGAGACTCAGGGATCGCTGGCGTGGTCTCGAAGGCTATAGAGGGCCTTGTGGAAGGCTTTCCTAGCCGAATGGACGGCGGGAGGCGGTGCGGACGTGAGTGAGTGAGCGAGAGTGAGAGACGTCGCGTCGGATATGGTGATTGGCTGAGTCAACGGGCTGAGAGGGAAAACCGTGGACGACGGCGCGTGAAGTTTGCAGAGTTCGTGGGGGATGTATGCGTGCGTGCTTGAAAGGCCTCGTGGAGTCGAGAGGGGGCTGGGTTGGAGGACGAGTGGACGCGATAGTGAGGGAGGGGAGAGTGTGGATTGAGTGAGGGATGGCTGCATTGGCGTGAAAACGTGGAGTGAGGGACCGTATGAGGTCGTGTCGATGGTTGCCTTACGCGCAGCAAAGGCCGTTGAGTGGAGAGGCGACGGGATTGCGCAGGGATAGACCATGTGTGTGAGAGAGACGAGGACGCCAGAGCTGCTGGACGACCTATGATGCCATCGACGTCACTGTGGCCACAGGAACTTACAAGAACGAGGAGGAGAAAGCTTCTTTGACGCACTGGGCGCTAGAGATCATGTGACTAACCCTCCGTCTTCTTGAAGTTTTGACTTCGATCTTAAAGCTACACTTCCCGCTGTCACTGTCAGCGCCGGCACATGCTGCCTAACTGGCGACCATCACCACTACATAGGTCGCTACTGATAATAAGACCTTGACCGTACACCTGCACCTCCACGCTAGCTCGACGATGCACTTCAATCTATTCTCCTATCTCGTTGCTTGTTTCCTTCTCTTGAGCAGCCTGCCTGTTCAAGTCTCTGGTGCGCCCCTTTGATCAACTGCCCAGTGACCATCTCATTGTCTTGGTAGCCTATTTCGTCGTAACGTCTCCTGGGGAAGGTACCGTTTGGCACGTAGGTGCTGCGAACCCAATCACATGGAGCAAAGGAGTCATGGACGGAATCAATTCGTTCGACATTGAGATGAATCGCATGAACGGGGACGGTCTTCACTTCCTCGCAAGAAACGGTGAGTCCCCCTTCCTAGTTTTGCTTGGTTTGTATGACGTACTCAATCGATGAGACAGTCCCCAACACGGTTCACTCTCTCAATGTCTTCCTCCAGGACTTACCCCCCGGGGACGACTACTTTCTCCTTTTCGTCAATTCGACGCACGGAGTCTTGCACACCACGTCCAAGAGATTCTCGGTAGTCTCTTCAGACAGCGGTGCAGCCCCTGACTCCAACGCGCCGACTGTAACAATAAGCGGCGCACCAAACCCTTCGCAAGCATTTGCGACGACCTACGCTGCCGTTCCCAACGGTGCCCACGACATTGGGGTGCCTTTGTTGGGCATGGCAGCCTTGCTCTTTGGAGGGATATTCGGCATCTTGTGCACACTGTAGCGGCCTTTCCTGGCATCATCGGACACTCCGGACTCACACCTAGATTTACCCTGGATATACGCTATGGATGTGGACTATCTTCAGCTGATATTATGTTATCTTCGCTCCATGGTCATATTGTTTATATTTCTTGATTACATCTATTGGATCTTGACGGACACTTCCCTGCCTGACTTGCCTAGCTGTGTCATAATATCTATTCAAGAGCGCTTGCACGGTTCAACCTTGCGCTCTGACGCTCCCTGATACCGTATCAGCACTCGGCCTTCACGGACATATCATCAAAGGAATCACAAGTTCAGCGTACAGTGTCTAAATGTACGCCACCGACATCCGCATAAAGCTACATTAATGGCGTCGTTTGGCGAGTGTTTTACATCGGAGGTCTATGAAGCCAAGTCGCACGTCAGCAACCGGAGAAATCCAAGGTTGCAGAAGCTCACATTAATATGATCAAAGATGCATTTCGGATTCGTCTACGGGCCATTTCAAGCGCTTCACCTTCCCTGGCAATGGGTTCCCCGTCATTTCTGCCATGCATATCTTGACCCAGTCGAAGCACCGCTCGCAGTCGACGTCGAAGTGGGTCTCGCATTTGCAGGTCTGGCTCTCCTTCCGGTAGCGCACGGCACCAACATCAAATATGTTGAGGGATTTGCGTTGCTGAAAATAGAACGCATGAGTATGCCACCTCGACAGAATAGCATGTGCACGCACCGCTAAATCACTCGATCTGTGCGTTAGTCTGCTCGCGGAAATCGTACCCCAGTGATTCCTTGTTTGGTAACGACTTTCCTTTTTTGTGTTGAATTTCCTTATTTGATACCGTGGGAACGAAAAACAGCGTAGTCCAAAGCATCTTTCAGTTGCGTTTCGGTGCAGCATAGGTTCCCCGTGCATTCCCCTTTATGCAGTAGAGTGTTAGCTTCGGCCATCAGTGACTTACCTTACTGACCGTATAATATAGAGAGTTAGTTTTGGTTACTAGACATAGCAAGTGACTTACCCTAGTTGAGTTTCGGCATAGAACATGGCGATGTAGAAAGACAGGCATCGAGGCGATTCTTGGTACGTCTCCCCCTCCTCCTGACCACTATTTATCCCTCCAGCACGGTGCACTGACCACTCCCTGCCAGCAAGTCCCCGTTACAATGCTAAGTCAGTCAGCACTTGGCATCCATTGTTCGCTCTGACTTGGCAGATGCATGTTCGGATCAGATACTCCGTTACGTTAGAACTGTGAAAATATTTTTGAGGTAATCGGAGGTAAGTCACTGTATTGATAGGAGTTCCCCAAAGTCTTTTATTGGTGAAGGTGCAATACACTGAATACAGTACTCTACAATAAGCAGCAGAATATATAAGTAGGATGGATATGATAATGTAGTAGAGTAGAGAAGTGAGTTGAGACAATGGTTCAGCAAATGACTTTGACAGAAGGATAAGCGAAGACACGTAATGTGATATGTTGGGCACCGAAAGGAGTATGCGAACACGAGGTGCTTGAGCACTTCTGTAGTTTACGGTGAGAGTTCAACGGGGATTGGATGAGCATCCATGCCGGTGCAGGAACTTGGTGCAAAGTTGGAAGGGATACAGAGCTCCAAACGGCAGTAAAATGGCATGAGAATATTGTGCTTGGAATGTTGACGGCATCATTGGGTGCATCCCTTGAGTTTACGAAGAAGATAGAAAGGGCCGGGGAGAGTACACAGGCTGACTACTGATAAAACGTCACCAGAATATTGAACTACAGTACTGCGAGTGAAGTATGAAGCGCCCAAATGAATAGGCAAGCCAACAGGGATATGGAACACCGAACAACAACAAAACGGCAGCGAAATCTTGAATTCAAACAATAGAGGCCCCAGGGATCATAGTGAGGTGCTGGTGATTGAAAGGATACTTTGAGTATTCTGGTAGCGAAGGGAGAGAGGAGCGGGGAAGAGGGTAATAAGAGCAAAGGACGGAGGCTACTTATGATTTTGAGAGGCCGCCAGATCAATTGTTTTGAGGAAATTGACCATCAGAACACACGTATATTTACCAGCTTCGGTGCTCGTGAATCAACGTGAGGAGGGGATAAAATTGACGGTAAGGGCAAGTTGCCGGGCGCTTGTAGATCTAAACTTGACATTTTGAGGTAATCTAGAGGGCTGGTTGAGCGGTGGCTTCAGGGTGGCGCCGAGGATTTCGCAATCAAACTCCTTCATTTGCCGCACAGGTGCCAGTACAAAGTTGACATGGAATGGTTGCGAAGAGCTGGTCGCGGGATGCTCATATAACAATTTTCAACATTCTGGGGGTATTTTCAAGCGTGCTTGGGCATTTGCTGGAGTAGCAGGTAGCGGGAGGGGTAGTGGGAACAAGTTGAGGGAACAAGGAAGAAGATGGAGGGAGGTGTCGGCACAAAATCACCATGAAGAGCAAGTTGCGGGACGTTCGTACAACAATTATTTTCAGTGCTATTCCTGGGCGATCATGGCCGTTTGCAGCAGTAGTGGATAGCGGGAGTGGTAGTGGTAACGATAACGGGACCTTGGAGTCGAGGGAACAAGGAAGGAGGCAGGTGTCGACACAAAATCATTGCGAACAGCAGGTCGCGGAACACTCATACAACAATTTTGAGGCTATTCCTAAGCGATCATGGCCGTTTGCTGGAGTAGTGGGTGGTCAGAGGGGTAGCGGGAACAATAACGGAACCTCGGAGTCAAGGGAACAAGGGAGGAGATGGGGCAGACATTCGCGTGGAAGCCAGGTCAAATTGCGACACTATGCCTGGGCGTAGACGATGCCCGTACAACAGATACGATGGGCAGGTCGGCGGAAGCCCGTACAACAATTTTGAAAATTTGTGGTGTAGTTCGCTGGCTTGCAGTGGTGGAAGACCAGAGGTCGCTTTTAGGAAGGCTGGGGTGCTCCCAGCGACATGCCTGTGAAGTGCAGCCACCCAGAGTCGGATAGCGCGACTGAACGGATGAACCAAAACAGTGTGAAGGGAGAGCAATGACAATGGTGCCATATGTCTGCAGCGCAGAGAGCGGATATGGATCACCCAGCCCCATTCAAATAACACTTGATGGGGATTGTAAGCAAAGACGGCGGCACCATTTCCAAAATGAACCTGACGTACCACCCATTATTCCCAGATTTCCAGCTCTACGTTGGCGCATCCACAGCCAATAAAAATACCCGTCTGATCCAAGAAAGCGCAAGAGAACTCGGACCCTTCATGTCGTTGCGTGAGTAGGCGCAGATCCAATGCGGCGGATGGTTGAACGGTGGTGAGAAGCAAAGAGCGGAGTTCAAAAGTGCATCCAAATCTGGTTCAAGTTGGGAAATTCCCCAATTTGGATGTAACCATCGGTACTATTCCTGCTCATCCTCAGACCACAGATGTAGCTAGCAAGGTCCGAGCGTCTGAGAGACATTGAACAATATAGACTTGACCACAATCTGGTCCTATGATTCCCTGAAAGTGAGTACAATGGCACACTCATCTGGTACCACCATTGGCTTACCCTTCGTCTCCAGACTTTGATACAGGCAGCCGTAATGCAGCAGAGCACATGCGGGCACATTCGCCGCCTTACTATACACGTATGAAGCTTGGAACGAGGTGGAAACCAGGGTCCGTCACTGGAATACCTCTGTAACTTGCACACCCTCAAACCTACTCAAGTTCACTATTCTACATTATAGGTCGAGCCACAGTGTAGTAGGCGCGCTGATGGCACTCATATACTATGGATACTACTCACATAGACACCCCTCAGACACCCCTCCAACTGCGACATCCCAGGAAATTATTCCAAGTCCATTCCCGACCCTCTTCTCCCGCCCGTACTCATCTCTCTGCATCCAATTCAAATCGCCAGGTCCCCGTCCTTTGATGTGATGTAATAGGCGCGCTTAGTTGGCTCGCTTAGCGTACAACGTAAGTCTTAGCATTCCTCTTTTTTTCTCGAAGCTCTCAAGCGTCCTGATGCCGGATATGCTTGAAAACACCGTTCCCGACAATAGCGCACCTTTTCCCTATATAATGGGTGTCGTTTTGGCTGAGGTATACCCATCTCCCACTTTGGTACTCATCTCCTGTCTCCTCCTCCTCTTCAGCTCTTCCTTTCAGCTCATTTCATCGGCCTTTGCTAATCCCCTATCACCTCCTATTCGACTTTGCATGGTTCGTCGTCGAGTTCTTTACTTATGAACTATGCTAACAATCTTTATTAGTGACCGTTGACTCTTACTGCCTGGTGAGTGCCCGTTTGTCAGTCTCGATGCAGCCGAACTGACTATAATACAATTGCAGCAGCTGTGCAATAATTACGGATGCTCCCACTTTGAGGTCAGTCTGTTTCTATCATGAACGCTCAACGGCACCCATTGTTCTTACCGCGTATTACCAGTACCAGCTCACTTTCAACGGCCGTCAGCGAACTGACAAAGAACTGAATGGAACGGCAAGTCAAGCAAGTACTTTACAATCTGATGCGTGCCTACCACCTAACGACCAATCCTTAGAGAATTGACTACCGATTTGATGATTGAAACGAGCTAATGGTGAGTATCAGCCTATTTCATCATGAACTGACATGTTACTTACATTGGCCACCAACCACCTCAGGTATCTCTACTTGGTTGGTTCGGACGAGGGATCATCAAGGTTTATACCACCGGCGAACCCGGGCTAGCAGTGTAGACGGATCGTCCCCAATTGGACGCCGAACGTTAGTAAGTGGCTGCTGTCCTCAATTCAATCCTGTTCGCTGAGCTGATTTTGTCGTGAGGATGCAGGTTCCCTTTAACCGTGGCGACCCGAGACTTGAACCTCCAACGACTGAACAGATTGTTCGTGGTGTATTGATTCTTCGCGGCCCCAATTGATTGTCTCAGATGAACTCTGCTTCAAGGTCAGTTCGTTCCAAGATTAAATGAACCCAATCTGACTCACTCGTTCCTTGTAGAACTAGGCGAACACAGATCTTCAGCTATCTTCAGGGTGTGCCACGTCGTCGTGTAGTCACGACCACCACGACAAAGATATCTCTCTTGGTTCGATTCCGAGAGGTCAACACACCTTCGTTGGGGATGAACAAACGAGGGGTAAGTGTTGTCCTGAGCAAACAAACTAACGAACTGATTGGCCTGTGAACCCGTTAGATATCTAACGTAGATATGCTGGCACAGTGGCTAACGGCGCGTGATGTGGACAAACCGAGGGAAATCGTCGGGAATCGTCAGAGAAATGAGCACACCGGTAAGTGATCTTTACCAACGGCCTCATTACCAACCGCTGAGCTGACTTCATCTTTGGGGATGTAAGTCATCCCCTGCCGTTTGACCAAACAGTCGGGCCCGTCGACTCGCTCGCCAATTCAATACTACGTAGGCATGCACCGGCTATATTCGAGCCAGCTTGCTGGTCCACTTGCCACCGTGCTCTGTCGAACTAGCACACCACCCACATCCTTGACACGCACGAGCACACGATGTGAACCGCGCTGAGAATGGACGCCAAGCCACACTATCTATGTGCCACGTCGCCGTACGCAGGGTCCCTAGTAAGTCTTGAATCGTGCTCGTAGTGCTCATGTAATGCCTTTGAAGCGTTGGGGAATGTCCGCAGCCCCGTCGATACGTCGGTCGGCGTCAACGAGGGTCGCGCAGTTGCTCATCCACGATTACGGAGCAGCAACGTTAGACAAGAGACGCATCGACATCGACATCGACTGCGGCATAAATGTGAGTCAGCTCGTCGTCATACACATCAAATAACTTGCTCACCAGCCGTCCCTACTAGAGAAACCTCGTTCCCGACGAGCGGATCCCGCACGTTGTGGCATACTGCAGGCTTCAAGTTTATCCAGCGCGGCACAGCCGATTCGTCCTAGTCGATGATTGCGGCACCACACACGGCTCACGAGGCGGAATGACAAAGCCAACACCGTTATCCAGCACGTTGAGCCGCTGGACAACACTGTCGGCGTCGAGCGCGTCGTCGCTCATCCACTACACTACACGACTGTGGCCAGGACTCATTCGACACACGCACGTCGACGTGGGGGGCTGATGACCGCCCACTCAAATCTGAGCTGAGCTGAGCTGAGACGGGATGAGATCAGTAAACGTAGCCATACCCGTATCCGTAGACCCGAGAGCGAGAGACTCACCAAGGCGGCGGGGGACGCGGACTGTGGACGTCCCGTGAGCTGTGCGACCGCAACCCGACCGCAAAGAAGGGTGTGTCCAACATCCAGGATGCAGGTTGGGATCCTGAGTGCTGAGTGCCGCGAACCATAATCCGTAGATCGTAAACGGCTCGAGCAGACTGGACGGCGGGAAATGTGATGAGCGCGCGCGATCCAATGAGTGAGACTGCGACTGCGAGTGCGAGTGAGTGAGTAGTTTCTGTCCGTGGATCGACCGTACGTGCGACTGATGGAGTGTAAAGACAGGCGGGCCGTCCACGAAGTCGGCCACGTTGACGCTGAATCTACTATCACCATCACCGTTAGCACATACCCACACACCCACGAAACGAATAACGAACCGGTGCATACCTTATCCTTGTCCACCCCCTCCGCCCGCCTGTATAGCTGATCCCGCTTATCTAGCTCCCCCGAATCCCTCAACCAACCAAACCAACCAACCAACCACGCACGCACGCACGTAAGCACCAACCAAACCCATTTATTCAGATATTCAAAACCTACAAACCTATCTAAGACTGACGTTACTTGGGTTTAGATTTTATGTTACCCATCTATCAATCGCCGCCGGATCGCGCGCGACTGCCTTCCACAGCGCCATGGTTTCGCTGCGACCTGCGAGCAAGATGTTAGCGTCGAGATACCCGATGAGGAATGGGAATAAGAGTGAAAGGTACGTACCTATCCGAGCTGTTCTTTTCTTTTTCATTTCCCATTCCTCGTGTCGTTTTGTTTCGTTTCGCTTGGTCACTCGTCGCCCTCTTCTCTGCTCTGTCGTGTTCGTCGTCCTGTTCACGTTCGTTTACCCTCACTATCCATTTCGTTCGCCTTTCGTTGGTCTTGCATCACGTCTCCTTGGTTCGTACTAACCTGTCTGCCTTTCAGTTACCCGCGCGTCTCACCTTCGACGCAATCAACATCGTCGACGCCGCCTTCGACCCATCAACACTTCGACCCATCAACACCTCGTAGCTCGTAGCTCGTGGTCCGTACTTCCCTAGAACAGCAACAAAGTAAGCCCCTCCCCAAACGTGCCTTTGCGAACACGCCTACTCACCTCGTCAACGCAGCGCGCAAGATCACACCATCTAACTCTAACCGTATGACTGCCTGCCTACCTTCTAACGAACATGCCTACCTTCTAACGGAACCGAAAACGAAAACGCCAGGTCGGTGCGTGTCTTCATCGTCTCATTGTGTTTCGTTCTGTTTTTCTTTTCTTTTTCCTTTATATTTCCCTCCCTCCATTCGTCCTCGTCCTCGTGCCTGCTCCTGCTCCTGTTCGCCTCTTACCGCGTTCCCTGCGTCCCCATCGTTCCCTGTCGTTCCCGTTCCAGGCCCGTTTCATGTTTTCGCATTATCCTCTCCTCTCCTGATGTCGTGCCCGACCGATTGCAGCGACGACAACGTCCGCGGTCTTGACGATGCCTTCAATGTCTTTGGTACGGCTGTGGCATTGGGTCACTGTGGCGTCCTTGTTGCGAAGCATGGATGCAACTGGGCTGCCGACGATATCGCTACGACCGAGGACTACAGCATGTGCGCCGGGCAACAATTTCCCTGTCTCCTCGAGTAATCTTATCACAGCCGCGGGAGTGCAAGGTGAGAACAACGGATCAGAAGCCTTGGATGAGAGGTGGCCGATGTTGTACGCATGAAAACTTTGAGATCGTCAATGAGCAAGCAACGCAGCGACGATCGTGTGACGCACCCGTCAACATCCTTCTCCGGACTAATGGATTCCATAACGGTACGCTCACCCTGAGCGTCGATATGTTGGCCAAGGGGAAGTTGTACCAAAATACCACTGATCGCTTCGTTGGCGTTGAGTTTCTGGACGATTTCGATGATTTCTTCCACGGTGGATTCCGCCGGCACGGACACATGATTGAAGGAGATACCAACTTCCTCTGCAGCCTTCGCTTTCATACGAACATACGTCGAGGAATCAGGGCGAGCGCCGGCCAGCACGACCGCGAGTTGAGGCCTGAATCGAGGGAACGTGCTTTGAATGGACCTGATACGGCCTCCGACTTCATCACGTATTGATCTGTAATGGATTTGTGAGGTTTAGCAAAAAATACGGGATGGGCGCGACTCACTTTGCAATTGCGTTGCCGTCCAAGATGGTAGCCGTCGTTGGGCATGACAGTATAAAACCGTAAAGGGGCGAAAATGCAGTTCCAGTGACCACACATCTGGCCGGTAATTTGTATATGGAAACAGGACCCACGTTATTTATCCTCAAGAGGGGACGAGTAAAGGAGCGTCGCCGTCAATGCGAAGAAGGCGTAGAGGTTGGCGTGGTGAGAGTGGATGTCAGGAAGGGACGGGGTTGATATAGAGGACCTGCCAGCGACGCATCTCACCAAAATTTCAGTCATTACACCCCACCCACTGCCTCCATTCCATTCCATTCGTATCCCCACATCCCTTCCCATATCCCTTTGTGCCTTTCCTCCGTACCCCTTCGTTCGTATCCCCATCCCCCTTCATGCCCATCCCCCTTCATCCCCTTCGCATTGTCGCATCCCCTTCGCATCGTCGCAGTCCAGCGTCCGCCTGCCCAGCTGCAGGGGCACGCTCGTACAGGCTCGTACCCGCATCCGGATCCACGTTCACGTTCACGCTGTGCGTCTTCGTGCTGTGTTGAGCATTCGAGTTCATTCGAGCTCGTTTGTGTTGTGTTCGTGTTCGTTCGAGTTCGGCTGTGTTTGTGTTCGTGCATTCGTGTGTTCGAGTTCGTTCGTGTTGTGTTCGTTTGTTGCGTTTGTGTTCGTTCGAGTTCGTGTGTTCGTATCCGTTTGTGTGGTGTTCGTTTGTTCGTGTTCGTCTTCATTTTCTTCACCCTTCACTTCGTTTCCTTCGCTTCGTTTCCTTCGTCTCTTCTCGTCGTGTCTCGCACTCCCGACCCAAACCCACGCTAGCCCACTCACTCCATCTCACAGCACCACGACGCATGGCGCACTCGTCAGCCGCGCGCCCGTTTCTAGTTTCTTTCAGGCTTCTTTTCTCTTCCTTCTGGTCTGTTTTGTGTTTCTTCGTCCTTGTGCCGTTTTGGGGTTTTCGTCTGGAATTCTTCGTGCTTGGGGTTTTGCATTTCTGAGTCGGGGTTCGCGTTGCGTAGTTTTCATTCGTTGGCAGTGTTTCGGCGCGTGCACCCCATTTGGTTCGTTCTGGGGTATGCGTAGTGGTGTTATCCGCAGATGTAGTTGCCGGGGTCGTGGTTGCTGGGGTAGACAGGATCGCAGAGTTGTGCTGAGTGCGCGTTCGGGGTCATGCGAGAATGGAGACGAGCGTGGATGAATGAGGGGTTGTGTAGGGTCGTGGTGCCACATTTGCCGGTGGCGGGAGACTCAGGGATCGCTGGCGTGGTCTCGAAGGCTATAGAGGGCCTTGTGGGAGGCTTTCCTAGCCGAATGGACGGCGGGAGGCGGGGCAGACGTGCATGAGTGAGTGAGAGTGAGAGACGTCGCGTCGGATATGGTGAAATCAACAGGCTGAGAGGGAAACCCGTGGACCACGGCGCGTGAAGTTTGCAGAGTTCGTGGGGGATGTATGTATGCGTGCGTGCTTGAAAGGCCTTGTGGAGTCGAGAGGGGGCTGGGTTGGAGGACCAGTGGACGCGATAGTGAGGGAGGGGAGAGCGTGGATTGAGTGAGAGATGGCTGCATTGGCGTGAAAACGTGGAGTGAGGGACCGTATGAGGTCGTGTCGATGGTTGCCTTACGCGCAGCAAAGGCCGTTGAGTGGAGAGGCGACGGGATTGTGCAGGGATAGACCATGTGTGTGTGAGAGACGAGGGATGGCTGGGTTACGCCGCCGAGGAGACGCGACCTATGATGCCATCGACGTCACTGTGGCCACAGGAACTTACAGGAACGAGGAGGAGAAAGCTTCACTGGGCGCTAGAGATCATGTGACTAACCCTCCGTGTTCTTGAAGTTTTGACTTCGAACTTAAAGCTATACTTCCCGCTGTCACTGTCAGCGCCGGCACATGCTGCCTAACTGGCGACCATCACCACTACATAGGTCGCTACTGATAATAAGACCTTGACCGTACACCTGCACCTCCACGCTAGCTCGACGATGCACTTCAATCTATTCTCCTATCTCGTTGCTTGTTTCCTTCTCTTGAGCAGCCTGCCTGTTCAAGTCTCTGGTGCGCCCCTTTGATCAACTGCCCAGTGACCATCTCATTGTCTTGGTAGCCTATTTCGTCGTAACGTCTCCTGGGGAAGGTACCGTTTGGCACGTAGGTGCTGCGAACCCAATCACATGGAGCAAAGGAGTCATGGACGGAATCAATTCGTTCGACATTGAGATGAATCGCATGAACGGGGACGGTCTTCACTTCCTCGCAAGAAACGGTGAGTCCCCCTTCCTAGTTTCGCTTGGTGTTTATGACATACCCAATCGATGAGACAGTCCCCAACACGGTTCACTCTCTCAATGTGTTCCTCCAGGACGTACCCCCCGGGGACGACTACTTTCTCCTTTTTGTCAATTCGACGCACGGAGTCTTGCACACCACGTCCAAGAGATTCTCGGTAGTCTCTTCAGACAGCGGTGCAGCCCCTGACTCCAACGCGCCGACTGTAACAATCAGCGGCGCACCAAACCCTTCGCAAGCATTTGCGACGACCTACGCTGCCGTTCCCAACGGTGCGCCCCACGACATTGGGGTGCCTTTGTTGGGCATGGCAGCCTTGGTCTTTGGGGGGATATTCGGCGTCTTGTGTACACTGTAGCGGCCTTTCCTGGCATCATCGGACACTTCGGACTCACACCTAGATTTACCCTGGATATACGCTATGGATGTGGACTATCTTCAGCTGATATTATGTTATCTTCGCTCCATGGTCATATTGTTTATATTTCTTGATGACATCTATTGGATCTAGACGGACACTTCCCTGCCTGACTTGCCTAGCTGTGTCATAATATCCAACCTTGCGCTCTGACGCTTCCTAACTGGGGTCTTGTAAGCCCCATGCTTGTTAGTGGCTACATTTCGCATGGTGGTCGGTAAGCTTTCATGCTAACGGCCTAAGTTAAATGCATCGTTTACGGTATCAGTCGGGACGAACTCGTCACGAGCATTTTGTCGTCTTGGGAGCGACTGGAACTGTACCTCATGGGCACCTGGGACACTGATAGTAGCCAAAGTCATACTGAAAACATCGCCAACAACCTCGTAAGTCGAGAGCTCGTCTAATCCCGATCCTTTAGCAAACATGCAGGAGCGGTTGAGAAGGTTAGAACAGTGGGAAGGGCGCGAGAAGTGGTATGTGTTTGATCAAAGGCAATTTCTGCGGGGCTTGCTTTAGCAAGGTAGCCCCATAGACGATCCCTTTGATATCGTATCAGCACTCGGCCTTCACGGACATATCATCAAAGGAATCACAAGTTCAGCGCACAGTGTCTAAATGTACGCCACCGACATCCGCATAAAGCTACATTAATGGGGTCGTTTGGCGAGTGTTTTACATCGGAGGTATGTATGTAGCTATGAAGCCAAGTCGCACGTCAGCAACCGGAGAAATCCAAGGTTGCAGAAGCTCACATTAATATGATCAAAGATGCATTTCGGATTCGTCTACGGGCCATTTCAAGCGCTTCACCTTCCCTGGCAATGGGTTCCCCGTCATTTCTGCCATGCATATCTTGACCCAGTCGAAGCACCGCTCGCAGTCGACGTCGAAGTGGGTCTCGCATTTGCAGGTCTGGCTCTCCTTCCGGTAGCGCACGGCACCTACATCGAATATGTTGAGGGATTTGCGTTGCTGAAAATAGAACGCATGAGTATGCCACCTCGACAGAATAGCATGTGCACGCACCGCTAAATCACTCGATCTGCGCGTTATTCTGCTGCCACAGTGATTCCTTGTTTGGTAACGACTTTCCTTTTTTGCGTCGAATTTCCTTATTTGATACCGTGGGAACAAAAAACAGCGTAGTCCAAAGCATCTTTCAGTTGCGTTTCGGTGCAGCATAGGTTCCCCGTGCATTCCCCTTTATGCAGTAGAGTGTTAGCTTCGGCCATCAGTGACTTACCTTACTGACCGTAACCCCTTTACTAATATAGAGAGTTAGTTTTGGTTACTAGACATAGCAAGTGACTTACCCTAGTTGAGTTTCGGCATAGAACATGGCGATGTAGAAAGACAGGCATCAAGGGGATTCTTGGTACGCCTCCCCCTCCTCCCGACCACTATTTATCCCTCCAGCACGGTGCACTGACCACTCCCTGCCAGCAAGTCCCCGTTACAATGCTAAGTCAGTCAGCACTTGGCATCCATTGTTTGCTCTGACTTGGCAGATGCGTGTTCGGATCAGATACTCTGTTACGTTAGAACCGTGAAAATATTTTTGAGGTAATCGGAGGTAAGTCACTGTATTGATAGGAGTTCCCCAAAGTCTTTTATTGGTGAAGGTGCAATACACTGAATACAGTACTCTACAATAAGCAGCAGAATATATAAGTAGGATGGATATGATAATGTAGTAGCGTAGAGAAGTGAGTTGAGACAATGGTTCGGCGAATGACTTTGACAGAAGGATAAGGGAAGACACGTAATGTGATATGTTGGGCACCGAAAGGAGTATGCAAACACAAGGTGCTCAAGCACTTCTGTAGTTTACGGTGAGAGTTCAACGGGGATTGGATGAGCATCCATGCCGGCGCAGGAACTTGGAAGAATGAATAGGCAAGGTGTGAGGAATACAGAGCTCCAAATGGCAGTAAAATGGCATGAGAATATTGTGCTTGGAATGTTGACGGCATCATTGGGTGCATCCCTTGAGTTTACGAAGAAGATAGAAAGGGCCGGGAAGAGTACACAGGCTGACTACTGATAAAACGGCACCAGAATATTGAACTACAGTACTGCAAGTGAAGTATGAAGCACCCAAATGAATAGGCAAGCCAACAGGGATATGGAACACCGAACAACAACAAAACAGCAGCGAAATCTTGAATTCAAACAATAGAGGCCCCGAGGATCATAGTGAGGTGCTGGTGATTGAGAGGATACTTTGAGTATTCTGGTAGCGAAGGGAGAGAGGAGCGGGGAAGAGGGTAATAAGAGCAAAGGACAAAGGCCACTTATGATTTTGAGAGGCCGCCAGATCAATTGTTTTGAGGAAATTGACCGTCAAAACGCACGAATATTTACCAGCTTCAGCGCTCGTGAATCAACGTGAGGAGGGGATAAAATGGACGGTAAGGGCAAGTTGCCGGGCGCTCGTAGATCTAAACTTGACATTTTGAGGTAATCTAGAGGGCTGGTTGAGCGGTGGCTTCAGGGTGGCGCTGAGGATTTCGCAATCAAACTCCTTTGTTTGCCGCACAGGTGCCGGTACAAAGTTGACATGGAATGGTTGCGAAGAGCTGGTTGCGGGATGCTCATATAACAATTTTCAACATTCTGGGGGTATTTTTGAGCGTGCTTGGGCATTTGCTGGAGTAGCAGGTAGCGGGAGGGGTAGTGGTAACGATAACGGGACCTCGGAGTCGAGGGAACAAGGAAGGAGGCAGGTGTCGACACAAAATCATTGCGAACAGCAGGTCGCGGAACACTCATACAACAATTTTCGGATTTTTGAGGCTATTCCTAAGCGATCATGGCCGTTTGGTGGAGTAGTGGGTGGTCAGAGGGGTAGCGGGAACGATAACGGAACCTCAGAGTCAAGGGAACAAGGGAGGAGATGGGCAGACGTTTGCGTGGAAGCCAGGTCAAATTGCGACACTATGCCTGGGCGTAGACGATGCCTGTACAACAGATACGATGGGCAGGTCGGCGGAAGCCCGTACAACAATTTTGAAAATTCATGGTGTAGTTTGCTGGCTTGCAGTGGTGGAAGAACAGAGGTCGCTTTTAGGAAGGCTGGGGTGCTCCCAGCGACATGCCTGTGAAGTGCAGCCACCCAGAGTCAGATAGTGCGACTGAACGGATGAACCAAAACGGTGCGAAGGGAGAGCGATGACGATGGTGCCATATGTCTGCAGCGCAGAGAGCGGGAGAGTGTGTGTATATGGATCACCCAGCCCCATTCAAATAACACTTGATGGGGATTGTAAGCAAAGACGGCGGCACCATTCCCAAAACGAACCTGACGTACCACCCATTATTCTCCCGGAGTTCCAGCTCTACGTTGGCGCATCCACAGCCAATAAAAATACCCGTCTGATCCAAGAAAGCGCAAGAGAATTCGGACCCTTCATGTCGTTGCGTGAGTAGGCGCAGATCCGATGCGGCGGATGGTTGAACGGTGGTGAGAAGCAAAGAGCGGAGTTTGAAAGTGCATCCAAATCTGGTTCAAGTCGGGAAATTCCCCAATTTGGATGTAACCGTCGGTACTATTCCTGCTCATCCTCAGACCACAGATGTAGCTAGCAAGGTCCGAGCGTCTGAGAGACATTGAACAATATAGACTTGACCACAATCTGGTCCTATGATTCCTTGAAAGTGAGTACAATGGCACACTCATCTGGTACCACCATTGGCTTACCCTTCGTCTCCAGACTTTGATACAGGCAGCTGTAATGCAGCAGAGCACATGCGGGCACATTCACCGCCTTACTATACATGTATGAAGCTTGGCACAAGGTGGAAACCAGGGTCTGTCACTGGAATACCTCCGTAACTTGCACACCCTCAAACCTACTCAAGTTCACTATTCTACATTATAGGTCGAGCCACAGTGTAGTAGGTGCGCTGATGGAACTCATATACTATGGATACTACTCACATAGACACCCCTCAGGCACCCCTCCAACTGCGACATCCCAGGAAATTATTCCAAGTCCATTCCCGACCCTCTTCTCCCGCCCGTACTCATCTCTCTGCATCCAATTCAAATCGCCAGGTCCCCGTCCTTTGATGTGATGTAATAGGCGCGCTTAGTCGGCTCGCTTAGCGTACAACGTAAGTCTTAGCATTCCTCTTTTTTTCTCGAAGCTCTCAAGCGTCCTGATGCCGGATACGCTTGAAAACACCGTTCCCGACAATAGCGCACCTTTTCCCTATATAATGGGCGTCGTTTTGGCTGAGGTATACCCATCTCCCACTCTGGTACTCATCTCCTGTCTCCTCCTCCTCTTCAGCTCTTCCTTTCTGCTCATTTCATCGGCCTTTGCCAATCCCCTATCACCTCCTATTCGACTTTGTATGGCTCGTCGTCGAGTTCTTTACTTATGAACTATGCTAACGATCTTTATTAGTGACCGTTGACTCTTACTGCCTGGTGAGTGTCCGTTTGTCAGTCTCGATGCAGCCGAACTGACTATAATACAATTGCAGCAGCCGTGCAATGATTACGGATGCTCCCACTTTGAGGTCAGTCTGTTTCTATCACGAACGGCTTCAAGATAACTCAGTCTTTGTCCTAGTAAGCCAAGTATATTACATCGTTGCGAATACTAACTGGTACTCTAGCTAGACATTGTTACTATCCACAGCCATCACAACAAAGATATCCTGTTGCAATAATCATTGGTAAGCTCATTCAGTCTCAACGGCACCCATTGTTCTTACCGCGTATTACCAGTACCAGCTTACTTTCAACGGCCGTCAGCGAACTGACAAAGAACCGAATGGAACGGCAAGCACTACTCAAGCAAGTACTTTACAATCTGATGCGTGCCTACCACCTAACGACCAATCCTTAGAGAATCGACTACCGATTCGATGATCAAAACGAGCTGATGGTGAGTATCAGCCTATTCATCATGAACTGACATGTTACTTACACTGGCCACCAACACCTCAGGTATCTCTACTTGGTTGGTTCGGACGAGGGATCATCAAGGTTTATACCACCGACAAACCCGGGCTAGCAGCGTAGATGGATCGTCCCCAATTGGACGCCGAACATTAGTAAGTGGCTGCTGTCCTCAATGCAATCCTGTTCGCTGAGCTGATTTTGTCGTGAGGATGCAGGTTCCCTTTAACCGTGGCGACTCGAGACTTGAACCTCCAACGACCGAACAGATTGTTTGTGGTGTATTGATTCTTCGCGGCCCCAATTGATTGTCTCAGATGAACTCTGCTTCAAGGTCAGTTCGTTCCGAGATTAAATGAACCCAATCTGACTCACTCGTTCCTTGTAGAACTAGGCGAACACAGATCTTCAGCTATCTTCAGGGTGCGCCACGTCGTCGTGTAGTCACGACCACCACGACAAAGACATCTCTCTTGGTTTGATTCCGAGAGGTCAACACACCTTCGTTGGGGATGAACAAACGAGGGGTAAGTGTTGTCCTGAGCAAACAAACTAACGAACTGATTGGCCTGTGAACCCGTTAGATATCTAACGTAGATATGCTGGCACAGTGGCTAACGGCGTGTGATGTGGACAAACCGAGGGAAATCGTTGGGAATCGTCAGAGAAATGAGCACGCCGGTAAGTGATCTTTACCGACGGCCTCATTACCAACCGCCGAGCTGACTTCATCTTTGGGGATGTAAGTCATCCCCTGCCGTTTGACCAAACAGTCGGGCCCGTCGACTCGCTCGCCAATTCAATACTATGCAGGCATGCATCGACTATCTTCGAGCCAGCTTGCTGGTCCACTTGCCACCGTGCTCTGTCGAACTAGCACACCACCCACGTCCTCGACACGCACGAGCACATGATGTGAACCGCGCTGAGAATGGACGCCAAGCCACACTATCTATGTGCCACGTCGCCGTACGCAGGGTCCCTAGTAAGTCTCGAATCGCGCTTGTAGTGTGGAATGGCGCTCATGTAATGCCTTTGAAGCGTTGGGGAATGTCCGCAGCCCCGTCGATACGTCAGTCGGCGTCAACGAGGGTCGTGCAGTCGCTCATCCACGATCACGGAGCAGCAACGTTAGACAAGAGACGCATCGACATCGACATCGACTGCGGCATAAATGTGAGTCAGCTCGTCGTCATACACATCGAATAACTTGCTCACCAGCCGTCCCTACTAGAGAAACCTCGTTCCCGACGAGCGGATCCCACACGTTGTGGCATACTGCAGGCTTCAAGTTTATCTGGCGCGGCGCAGCCGATTCGTCCTAGTCGATGATTGCGGCACCACACACGGCTCACGAGGCGGAATGACAAGGCCAACACCGTTATCCAGCACGTTGAGCCGCTGGACAACACTGTCGGCGTCGAGTGCGTCGTCGCTCATCCACTACACTACACGACTGTGGCCAGGACTCATTCGACACGCGCACGTCGACGTGGGGGGCTGATGACCGCCCACTCAAATCTGAGCTGAGACGGGATGAGATTAGTAAACGTAGCCATACCCGTAGCCGTAGACCCGAGAGCGAGAGACTCACCAAGGCGGCGGGGGACGCGGACTGTGGACGTCCCGTGAGCTGTGCGACCGCAACCCGACCGCAAAGAAGGGTGTGTCCAACATCCAGGATGCAGGTTGGGGTCCTGAGTGCTGAGTGCCGCGAACCATAATCCGTAAATCGTAAACGGCTCAAGCAGACTGGACGGCGGGGAATGCGATGAGCGCATGCGATCCAATGAGTGAGACTGCCAGTGCGAGTGCGAGTGAGTGAGTAGTTTCTGTCCGTGGATCGACCGTACGTGCGACTGATGGAGTGAAAAGACAGGCGGGCCGTCCACGAAGTCGGCCACGTTGACGCTGAATCTACTATCACCATCACCGTTAGCACATACCCACACACCCACGAAACAAATAACGAACCGGTGCATACCCTATCCTTGTCCACCCCCTCCGCCTGCCCGTATAGCTGATCCCGCTTATGTAGCTCCCCCGAATTCCTCAACCAACCCTCAAATCCCTCAACCAACCAAACCAACCAACCAACCACGAACGCACGCAAGTAAGCACCAACCAAACCCATTTATTCAGATATTCAAAACCTACAAACCTACCTAACACTGACGTTACTTGTGTTTAGATTTTATGTTACCCATCTATCAATCGCCGCCGGATCGCGCGCGACTGCCTTCCACAGCGCCATGGTTTCGCTGAGACCTGCGAGCAAGACGTTAGCATCGAGATACCCGATGAGGAATGGGAATAAGAGTGAAAGGTACGTACCTATCCGAGCTGTTCTTTTCTTTTTCTTTTCCCATTCCTCGTGTCGTTTCGTTTCGTTTCGCTTGGTCACTCGTCGCCCTCTTCTCTGCTGTCGTGTTCGTCATCCTGTTCACGTTCGTTTACCCTCACTATCCATTTCGTTCACCTTTCGTTGGTCTTGCATCGCGTCTCCTTGGTTCGTACTAACCTGTCTGCCTTTCAGTTACCCGTACGTCTCACCTTCGACGCAATCAACATCGTCGACGCCGCCTTCGACCCATCAACACCTCGTAGCTTGTAGCTCGTGGTCCGTACTTCCCTAGAACAGCAACAAAGTAAGCCCCTCCCCAAACGTGCCTTTGCGAACACGCCGACTCACCTCGTCAACGCAGCGCGCAAGATCACACCATCTAACTCTAACCGTATGACCGGCTGCCTACCTTCTAACTGAACCGAGAACAAAAACGAAAACGAAAACGCCAGCTCGGTGCGTGTCTTCTTCGTCTCATTGTGTTTCGTTCTGTTTTTCTTTTCTTTTTCTTTATATTTCCCCTGCGTTCGTTTCTGTTCCTTCTCTCCCTCCCTCCCTCCATTCGTCCTCGTCCTCGTGCCTGCTCCTGCTCCTGTTCACCTCTTACCGCGTTCCCTGCGTCCCCATCGTTCCCTGTCGTTCCCGTTCCAGGCCCGTTTCATGTTTTCGCATTATCCTCTCCTCTCCTGATGTCGTGCCCGACCGATTGCAGCGACGACAACGTCCGCGGTCTTGACGATGCCTTCAATGTCTTTGGTACGGCTGTGGCATTGGGTCACTGTGGCGTCCTTGTTGCGAAGCATGGATGCAACTGGGCTGCCGACGATATCGCTACGACCGAGGACTACAGCATGTGCGCCGGGCAACAATTTCCCTGTCTCCTCGAGTAATCTTATCACAGCCGCGGGAGTGCAAGGTGAGAACAACGGATCAGAAGCCTTGGATGAGAGGTGGCCGATGTTGTACGCATGAAAACTTTGAGATCGTCAATGAGCAAGCAACGCAGCGACGATCGTGTGACGCACCCGTCAACATCCTTCTCCGGACTAATGGATTCCGTAACGGTACGCTCACCCTGAGCGTCGATATGTTGGCCAAGGGGAAGTTGTACCAAAATACCACTGATCGCTTCGTTGGCGTTGAGTTTCTGGACGATTTCGACGATTTCTTCCATGGTGGATTCCGCCGGCACGGACACATGATTGAAGGAGATACCAACTTCCTCTGCAGCCTTCGCTTTCATACGAACATACGTCGAGGAATCAGGGCGAGCGCCGGCCTGCACGACCGCGAGTTGAGGCCTGAATCGAGGGAACGTGCTTTGAATGGACCTGATACGGCCTCCGACTTCATCGCGTATTGATCTGTAATGGATTCGTGAGGTTTAGCAAAAAATACGGGATGGGCGCGACTCACTTTGCAATTGCGTTGCCGTCCAAGATGGTAGCCGTCGTTGGGCATGACAGTATAAAACCGTAAAGGGGCGAAAATGCGGTTCCAGTGACCACGCATCTGGCCGGTAATTTGTATATGGAAACGGGACCCACGTTATTTATCCTCAAGGGGGGACAAGTAAAGGAGTGTCGCCGTCAATGCGAAGAAGGCATAGAGGTTGGCGTGGTGAGAGTGGATGTCAGGAAGGGACGGGGTTGATATAGAGGACCTGCCAGCGACGCATCTCACCAAAATTTCAGTCATTACACCCCACCCACTGCCTCCATTCCATTCCATTCGTATCCCCACATCCCTTCCCATATCCCTTCGTTCGTATCCCCCGTATCCCTTCGTTTGTATCCCCATCCCCTTCATGCCCATCCCCTTCATCCCCTTCGCATCGTCGCATTGTCGCATCCTCTTCGCATTGTCGCAGTCCAGCGTCCGCCTGCCCAGCTGCAGGGGCGCGCTCGTACAGGCTCGTACCCGCATCCGCATCCACGTTCACGCTGTGCGTCTTCGTGCTGTGTTGAGCGTTCGAGTTCGTTTGAGTTCGTTTGTGTTGCGTTTGAGTTCGTTCGAGTTCGGCTGTGTTGTGTTTGTGTTCGTTCGAGTTCGTGCGTTCGTATCCGTTTGTGTGGTGTTCATTCGTTCGTGTTCGTCTCCGTTTTCTTCACCCTTCACTTCGTTTCCTTCGCCTCGTTTCCTTCGTCTCTTCTCGTCGCGTCTTGCACTCCCGACCCGAACCCACACTAGCCCACTCACTCCATCTCACAGCACCACGACGCACAGCGCACTCGTCAGCTGCGCGCCCGTTTCTAGTTGCTTTCAGGCTTCTTTTCTCTTTCTTTTGGTCTGTTTTGCGTTTCTTCGTCCTTGTGCCTTTTGGGGGTTTTCGTCTAAGATTCTTCGTGCTTGGGGTTTTGCATTTCTGAGTCGGGGTTCGCGTTGCGTCGTTTTCATTCGTTGGCGGTGTTTCGGCTCGTGCACCCCATTTGGTTCGTTCTGGGGTACGGGGTGTTTGCGGGGTATGCGTAGTGGTGTTATCCGTAGATGTAGTTGCCGGGGTCGTGGTTGCTGGGGTAGACAGGATCGCAGGGTTGCGCTGAGTGCGCGTCCGGGGTCATGCGAGATTGGAGACGAGTGTGGATGAATGAGGGGTTGTGTAGGGTCGTGGTGCCACGTTTGCCGGTGGCGGGAGACTGAGGGATCGCTGGCGTGGTCTCGAAGGCTATAGAGGGCCTTGTGGGAGGCTTTCCTAGCCGAATGGACGGCGGGAGGCGGGGCAGACGTGCATGAGTGAGTGAGAGTGAGAGACGTCGCGTCGGATATGGTGATTGGCTGAGTCAACGGGCTGAGAGGGAAAACCGTGGACGACGGCGCGTGAAGTTTGCAGAGTTCGTGGGGGATGTATGCGTGCGTGCTTGAAAGGCCTCGTGGAGTCGAGAGGGGGCTGGGTTGGAGGACCAGTGGACGCGATAGTGAGGGAGGGGAGAGCGTGGATTGAGTGAGGGATGGCTGCATTAGCGTGAAAACGTGGAGTGAGGGACCATATGAGGTCGTGTCAATGGTTGCCTTACGCGCAGCAAAGGCCGTTGAGTGGAGTTGTGAGAGAGACGAGGGATGGCTGGGTTACGCCAGAGCTGCTGGATAGACAGCCGAGGAGACGCGACCTATGATGCCATCGACGTCACTGTGGCCACAGGAACTTACAGGAACGAGGAGGAGACAAAGCTTCTTTGACGCACTGGGCGCTAGAGATCATGTGACTAACCCTTGAAGTTTTGACTTTGAACTTAAAGCTACACTTCCCGCTGTCACTGTCAGCGCCGGCGAATGCTGCATAAACTGGCGACCATCACCACTACATAGGTCGCTGCTGATGATAAGACCTTGACAGTACACCTGCACCTCCACGCTCGCTCGACGATGCACTTCAATCTATCCTCCTATCTCGTTGCTTGTTTCCTTCTCTTGAGCAGCCTGCCTGTTCAAGTCTCTGGTGCGCCCCTTTGATCAACTGCCCAGTGACCATCTCATTGTCTTGGTAGCCTATTTCGTCGTAACGTCTCCTGGGGAAGGTACCGTTTGGCACGTAGGTGCTGCGAACCCAATCACATGGAGCAAAGGAGTCATGGACGGAATCAATTCGTTCGACATTGAGATGAATCGCATGAACGGGGACGGTCTTCACTTCCTCGCAAGAAACGGTGAGTCCCCCTTCCTAGTTTCGCTTGGTTTGTATGACGTACTCAATCGATGAGACAGTCCCTAACACGGTTCACTCTCTCAATGTCTTCCTCCAGGACGTACCCCCCGGGGACGACTACTTTCTCCTTTTCGTCAATTCGACGCACGGAGTCTTGCACACCACGTCCAAGAGATTCTCGGTAGTCTCTTCAGACAGCGGTGCAGCCCCTGACTCCAACGCGCCGACTGTAACAATCAGCGGCGCACCAAACCCTTCGCAAGCATTTGCGACGACCTACGCTGCCGTTCCCAACGGTGCGCCCCACGACATTGGGGTGCCTTTGTTGGGCATGGCAGCCTTGGTCTTTGGGGGGATATTCGGCGTCTTGTGTACACTGTAGCGGCCTTTCCTGGCATCATCGGACACTTCGGACTCAGACCTAGATTTACCCTGGATATACGCTATGGATGTGGACTATCTTCAGCTGATATTATGTTATCTTCGCTCCATGGTCATATTGTTTATATTTCTTGATTACATCTATTGGATCTAGACGGACACTTCCCTGCCTGACTTGCCCAGCTGTGTCATAATATCTATTCATGAGCGCTCTGACGCTTCCTGACTGGGGTCTTGTAAGCCCCATGCTTGTTAGTGGCTACATTTCGTATGGTGGTCGGTAAGCTTTCATGCTAACAGCATAAGTTGAATGCATCGTTTACGGTATCAGTCGGGACGAACTCGTCACGAGTATCTTGTCGTCTTGGGAGCGACTGGAACTGTACCTCATGGGCACCTGGGACACTGATAGTAGCCAAAGTCATACTGAAAACATCGCCAACAACCTCGCAAGTCGAGAGCTCGTCTGAGCGGGTGAGTTAGAACAGTCGGAAGGGCGCGAGAAGTGGTATGTGTTTGATCAAAGGCAATTTCTGCGAGGCTTGCTTTAGCAAGGTAGCCCCACAATGCAGGACATCCGGACGATTTAGCCAATAGACGATGCCTTTGATACCGTATCAGCACTCGGCCTTCACGGACATATCACCAAAGGAATCACAAGTTCAGCGCACAGTGTCTAAATGTACGCCACCGACATCCGCATAAAGCTACATTAATGGCGTCGTTTGGCGAGTGTTTTACATCGGAGGTATGTATGTAGCTATGAAGCCAAGTCGCACGTCAGCAACCGGAGAAATCCAAGGTTGCAGAAGCTCACATTAATATGATCAAAGATGCATTTCGGATTCGTCTACGGGCCATTTCAAGCGCTTCACCTTCCCTGGCAATGGGTTCCCGGTCATTTCTGCCATGCATATCTTGACCCAGTCGAAGCACCGCTCGCAGTCGACGTCGAAGTGGGTCTCGCATTTGCAGGTCTGGCTCTCCTTCCGGTAGCGCACGGCACCAACATCAAATATGTTGAGGGATTTGCGTTGCTGAAAATAGAACGCATGAGTATGCCACCTCGACAGAATAGCATGTGCACGCACCGCTAAATCAAGCCCTGCATCGAGGCAGATATCATCCTCGATCTGCGCGTTATTCTGCTCGCGGAAATCGCACACGCAGCTGCTGCAGCATTCGTGTCCGTGCTGCGAACAGAACACGAACCCGTTCACCACAAGGATGTCGTAGTCGTTCAACATCGCTGGCTTCGCTCGGTGTTAGAGCTGCGAGGGGGTGTCGAACCTTGGTGAACTTGCTAACAGTATTGGGAGCAGGAAAAGTGACTGGTGGTTTGCTATTTCGCCTCGAGATACATAATCGCTGATGCAGGCAACGAAAATCGACCGCCGTAGTCTCGGCACATATCAACGTGTATACCATGAGGCCAACCTAATAAGGGGGGGCTGGAACGGCTGAAGCGATCAGAAGGTGCAAGACTGATAGCCTTTCCCTTTAAAGTTGCGCTAGACTTCGAGGGAAGGTTAAGGTGAGCTTCTTGGAGAAAGCTTATTGCCGTAACATGATGAGGTATTTCGAAGGTCGGACTATGCAAAATGGTGTTGCTCGAGACAGCACTTGCTGTAGGTTTTGGCATCCGCGTGGAGAATCTGATGCCCGAAACGCTCGCCGGACGCGTCAACCAACTGCCTGGCTTCCGAAGGCTTCGCATGCATATTGTGCAGTAAGACGACGCCGCACTACCCACGTACGCACTGAAGCTGCGCTCGAAAATCTCTGAAGATGTTCTTCGTCAGCTCCGCATGCATGTTCCTAACATATGACCTGTCCCCTTGATGCTGAGTACTTTCGTCGGTTAGGGAACGTCATATGAGCAGTATGTAATTCGCCTTTCGGCAATTGTCGATACCCACTCGGATTGCCAGAGGCCGCTGCGTTGCTGTTGCAGTACCTGGGGTAGCAAATCACCTCGGGCATCGTATTATCTACAGAATTCGACTATATATATATGACACCCGTGAATTGACCAACCTTGAGGCCAAGATGCGCCGTTTTCAACTGGAATGCGGGGAAAGTTCAAAAAAGAGCGACCGGCAATCATACCAGCCATATCTAATCAGATGAAAACCTACCGGAACCGGCGAAAATATAGCCGCTCAGGCGCTCACGCTGAACCTCCACCGGCGAAAGAAACAATCATGGCATAGTATATAAGCTGACTGCCGTTGGAATGGGGCGGTGGATTATCTTCCTTCCCCCCTTCATCCTATCACCACAATGGCCACCATCACAACCCCCTTGACTGAGCTCTTCGGCATCAAGCACCCCATCCTGCTTGCCGGGATGAACGTCGCTGCAGGCCCTGAGTTGGCTGCCGCTGTAACGAACGCTGGTGGTATGGGTGTTATTGGCGGTGTCGGATACACACCAAAAATTTTGCGCCAACAGGTACGCCTCCTGACTTCCCGGGACTCTCGAGCTCCTTAACCCCGGATGGCTGATCAATGTTCCCTCCATTATAGATCCAGGCCATTAAGGCCGACTTGAAGGACAAGAACGCGCCATTTGGCGTTGACTTGCTCCTCCCCCAAGTTGGTGGAAGTGCTCGCAAGACCAACGTGAGATCCATCGTTGTTTCGTAGTTCACCTTCCATTCTCATATCCCTATTTGAATTCAGTACGATTACACGAAGGGCCAGCTTCACCCCCTCATTGATGTCATCATTGAGGAGAAGGCCAAGCTCTTCGTCTGTGCCATCGGTGTCCCCCCCAAGGACGTTGTGGACAAACTTCACGCTGCCGGCATCCCTGTCATGAACGTACGTTCTTCTTTCGTTCCGATTCAAACTCCTGCCTGACACACTATATTTAGATGGTTGGACACCCAAAGCATGTGGCCAAGGCACTCGCCCAAGGTGTTGATCTCATTTGCGCTCAAGCTGGTGAAGGCGGAGGCCACACTGGCGATATCCCTGCTTCCATCCTTATTCCCGCCTGTGTCGATGCTGTAAAGGGACACAAGTCTCCCCTCACCGGCAAGCCCGTGTATGTTGTTGGCGCTGGTGCCGTCTACGATGGACGGGGACTTGCTGCCAATTTGTCATGGGGCGCTGAGGCCGTTTGTGCGTATCTCGTAATCTGTATTCGAGCTGCAACTGAATCGGTTCGCTATAGGGGTTGGAACCCGCTTTGTTGCCTCAACGGAAGCCGGTGCTCCCAAGATCCACAAGGACTTGGTTGTCAGCGCCGGTTACGAGGATGCCGTGACGACTCTCATTTTCACTGGCCGACCTCTCCGTGTTCGCAAGACCCCTTACGTTGCTGACTGGTGAGTCTGGCCCGTTCGTTAAAATTGTGAAGCTCATCTCAATGGTTGTTAGGAATGAGAACCGCGCGCAAGAGATCAAGGAACTCACCTCGAATGGTATTATTCCCCACGAGCATGAGTTGCAGAAGCACCCGGAGAAATCTGTCGAAGGTCGCTCATGGCTTATGGGTCGCGTTGCCGCTATGATCCATGAAGTTCTCCCCGCGAAGCAGATTGTTGACTCCATGGTTAATGATGCTGCCCAAATACTCCAAGCGAACGCATCCAAGGTGCGGGTCGGCCCTAAGCTCTAGGATTTCGGGGAGTTGCTTCGACTGTCACGAATATCTAAAATTTCATGTAGCTTATATCTATTATTCGGTAGCAATTTTTGCATAAATGTATTTTCTTACCTTACCACCTCCGCATGCATTACGCTCTGGTTGTTTCAATTTTGAACGGTGCTCAAAGTTTCCACGATGCAATGATACTAACAGGAGCACTGTTGATCGCGTCCCGTGACCGTGACGTCACGCGTCTATCAATATACTCTGCTCTGAGCGCGCCTCTTTGCATTTCCCACCAAAACCACCAAGTTCAAACAGCATCGATGGCATCCCCGAGCCCCAAAGACATTGCGGTCACCGTCAGACTCATAATACAAGAAGCCAAGAAATCAGATACCCTTAGGTGGGCCCACCACTGAGCGCCTTCCAGTAAGATATATTGAATCACAGAATTTATAGTCAAATAACCCCTCGCATCGTTCGTCAAGAAGTGGAACGTAAGCTTGAACTACAGCCTGGAAGTCTTGATGGTAGCAAGAAGCATATCAGCAAGACCATAGGCCATGTCATGTCCGAACTAAATCAGGCTGAGGCCGAGAACGATGCCTCTAGCGAAGCAAAGCCCGACATGCCATCTTCACCAGCAGAGAAGCTCAAGAAGCGCAGAACGGTGGCTAATGAAGGAGAACGAACTGTGAAGCCCAAGAAGAGGAAGTCAGGCGACTCAGAGAAACCGTCGAGGGACTCAAGCAGGAAACCTCCATCCAAGAAGTTCAAATCCTCGGTGCGTCTTCCTACGTAGAATTATCTCGATTTGAGGTTGACGAGTGTTGATATATAGGAGATGGTACCCACATCCGACGTAGAGCTTGATGAACAAGCTGATATGGATACTATGGAGGTGGCACCATCGAATGAGAAACCGAAGGCTGTAGAGGTCCGTGTAGTTGTCATTTTCCGACCACGGCCTTATAATTATTGCAGAATGAATCGAAGCCAACAATACCCGCCAGCACATCGAAACCGTCCCCATCGAGGTCTCCGGTCATCGCGAATGTGAAGGTAGTTAACGGTTTACCATGCGCCGTGGAACAATTGGATAACATTTGTATTCCCTCAGGACGACAGAAGTGATTCAGAACTCTCGGTATTAATGGACGAGCCGAAGCGCAAACGTGCGCCTAAGAAAGACAAGGTATTGAAGACACTTTCGGTCAGAACTCACGTCTCACCGCCTGGCTGTTAGGATGCTGCTCCTACTAAAGCTAAAGCCAGGCGCAAACCCGCTCCTGAACTAAGCAAAGCCGAAGAAACGATAAAAAGACTCAAGGTTGGTCTCAAGCTCCCGTGGCGTTATCTCATTAACACCGCGCCAGAGTCTAGTCGTTGCCTGTGGTGTGCGCAAGCAATGGGTGAAAGTCTTCGAGGGCCTCGACCGGCCATCTCAACAGATATCTAAGCTGCAGCAAATTCTTGCGGACTTAGGTATGGAAGGGCGTCTCAGTCTTGAAAAGGCAAAAGCCATTAAGGAAAAGCGAGAGTTCGAGAAGGAATTAGGTACGTGAATCCTACTGAAGGTCCATCGCATCAGTTAATTAGACATATCTCGTGGGGTTAGCTGATGTCAAAGCGTTCGAGCAAACGATGGCTGCTCGTTCAGCACCAAAATCAGCTTCTGGATCTGGAGCAGAAGATGATGATCGTGCGGAAAGCGATTCCGACACAGCTGCCCCAAAGAGAAGAAAGGTGCGCATTGTGTTTCTCGTGCTCAAAGATGGCGTAACATGACCCGACACCCTCCCTAGCCAAATGCAAGAGCCAGCATCATGGCTTTCTTAGCTGATCAAAGCGACGATGAGTAACTGTCACAACACCCGACTCTTTATACTGCTATCCAGGTAACATATATCATTGTTCTTGCACATCATTATATCCTCGCCGCATGCTTGGTCAATCACATTGGTTCCACGGAAAGAGCTGGTGGCCGACCGCTCCTCTGAGCTGCGAAATCTGGTGCATCCACATCCTTGAAGTGCAACGACGTTTCGAAGGATCCATCGGCGACTAATTGAAGGCCGGCGATAGATGCACCTTCCTGGTCAAGCGACCACAGAGAAAGCGCCAAAGTATTCGTCCCCTTGCGCCGTAATAGACTGAAGTAGGCATGTTCAGAAAGGCCAAGACGAAAGATAACATGATAACACCTACCCTTCCGGAAGCACAAATAGCGTCTGCGGACTGATACCCTCCGTTAGCACACGACTTGCCGATTGAAGCTCGCTGAGAGGCTCACCCAATATCATTGACATACTTGCCGAACTGCCAGCCGTTCAAGTAGATCTGTGCTCTGAATCTGGAGCTGATCTCACTCGGAGTTATGCTCAGACGAATCGGTATACCGAATCCATCCGGTAGATTCTGTCCGGGGCCAGGTTCTGAGGTGAACGTAGTGAAGGTGGAAGGAAGCGTACCAGATTGAAGGAGGTTCGGTAAAAGTTTATGCCTGCCTTCTTTAGGCCGGTAGTAGGACTCCCGTTGGGCCAGGAATTGTCAGGAAACCCGGGGAGATGCGCGCCAACGCGTTCCGCGTATAGACCCCCTTCATTAAGGTAACCGCGGAAGCTATCAGGGGCTTCCTTTGCACCCCCCTATCAAGGACACGAAACGTGAGTCTAAGAAGGAATGCAACGAAAGGTCCGAGATGCTCGACCTGATTGCCCTGAATCCGCCATTCAGAGAACGGCACTTGACCGCCAATAATCTCATATCCTCTGATTCCCCGTGGTTCCTTTCCACCGTGTGGGCGGATAGAATCAGTAGATTATCTATTACCCTTGATAGGGATGCGTACTGTTGGTTTCAGAGATCCTATGCTCGACGGACTCGGTTAGCTCCAGGAGAATGAGGTAATGACATCAATGCCTTACCCTGTGTGATCTGCAGCGGCTCAGTTGAACTCTATCAACAATAGAAAGAGGCTTTACTCACCTTGAACTACCACGATGACATTATCCTGTCCTTGTTTCAAGCTACCCGCCAGAAAATCCCACAGATCTGTGGTTGTGCTCACAGTAGCAGAACCTACATTCGAGCCAAGGAAGATACAGTTCAACCAAGCTGAGTAACCGAAGGCAAAGCCTCCTTGAACGGAAAGTCGGATGGCTGTTTCAAGACCGCTGGCATTAAAGTGTCCCCAAGATATGATGTTTCCCCCATAATGTTAAGAGCCACACTTGCAGGGGGCTCAGGATACGTGGACCCGCGGGTGCACGGTTCTACATAGACGCGCAGGGGAAACGGGGGGAGCAAGGACGTACGGGCTTGGCTTCAGCTACTGGCTGCGCCTCCCACACTCTTGCGTGCCCTGTATTTCCGGGAGGAGTCCTACGCGGGTACCGAGGGTACGGGCGGAGGCGAAGGGGTGCGACAGAGGGAGAACCCACTAGAGGGGCGAGAGTGCGAGTGCGGAGAAGGAACTAATATTCGAACTAAGGTAGCTGTATGTACGATACAGGACTATATACTAAGGAACACGCGGCGTCCGCGCGTTCACAAAACAGTAATGAGTTCGGTCGTAGTAACTACAATGTGCTCGAGTATGTACTTAGTCCGTAATCCGGGAAGTCCGCGTGGCCGCGTGTCAGCGCGGCCCGAGCCCATAGTCGGGAAACGCACGTGGGCGCGCCCCTAGTAGCCCCTAAGGGGTTCCTTGGACGCGCCTATAACAGTACCTCCCCTTTAAGGCCGAGACCCATAGAGGCCTAGACACTCATGACGCGCGGTGATATGGTGATGATGCGGTGTGGGCGTCATGGGGGTCCGTGGTGAGTCAGCCTCTGCGTGCACGTGAGCGAAGAAGCGCGGAGGCGAGGTGTGTCAGCAGTATAAAAGGCGGAAGTGCGGAGCAGCGAGGCCATAATGGCGCCCACTCAGAAATGGCCGCATGACCACACCAATCCAACGCCACACGATCCTGACGATGAACGGCGGCGACGGGAGGAGAAGCGGCGGCGCGAGGACGACGACATCGCCGAGGCGGATGCCCGTCTCGAGAAGGATGAACGGAGACGTCGTCGGGAGAAGCTGAGGGCGTGGAGGGCTGCAGAGGATGCGCGCGTGCGGGCAGCGGTAGCGGAGTACGTCGCGGCGGGGAGAGGAGAAACGGCGAGGGAGGTGGAACCCAAAGGGCCGGCGCGAGAGGTGGCATGCCTCGGGTGCGTACAGCGCAACCTTGAGTGCCACCAGCGGCTGTAAGTCCGCCTCTTTTTTCTTCTATACGCTTACTGACACGTCTCACAGGGTTAAGAACGCCCGCACTTGCTGGGAATGCAAGCAGCGGCATGTGCGCTGCGGGAACGGCACAGGTGCGCGGCGACGATCAGCTGGTCCTTGATAACGGGCTTGCGCCTCAGTCATCGCGGTACATAGCTCTTGATGGAGCTCGTCAAGGTCGGTTACGAAGGTTCTTGCGCGGGCCGAGGCGAGGTCGAGGTCGGGATTAAGGGAGAGATTGGGGTGATAACCTTTGTTCGCAAAGAACGGAGATACTCCAGTGGTAACACTAGGAGCGTTGTTGAATGCGAACTCGGCGAGGGGCAGGAGGTCAGCCCAGTTATCCTGTTGATAATTACAATAAACACGTAAGTATTGCTCAAGGGTTTGGTTAGTGCGCTCCGTTTGGCCATCACCTTCAGGATGATATCCTGAAGTGAAGTGAAGCTTCATGTCTAACCCTTTTCCTAAGGACCGGAAGAAGCGAGAAACGAACTCGGAGCCGCGGTCAGACGTGACGTGCGCGGGGACTCCGTGTTTAGAGAAAACATGAATAACGAATAACTTAGCTAGCCCTTCCGAAGTGATGGTGTCGTGGCACGGAATGAAGATTCCTTGCTTGGAGAGTCGGTCCATCACGACGAGGATGGAGTCGTACCCGAGGGACGGGGGAAGTTTCTCGATAAAATCCATAGAGATCGAGTCCCAAGGTCGAACGGGAACCGGAAGTTGTCGTAGCATGCCGTAGGGCTTGTGACGCTGGGGCTTGCTACGCATACAGGTGGTACAAGACTTGCAGTAATGTTGAACGAATTCTCGAAGTTTCGGCCACGTATATTCGCGGCGCACAAGTTCAATGGTCTTGTTCTGCCCATAATGTCCAGCGAGGATATGATCATGTTTGAAACGGAGTACGCGGAGGCGAAGATCTCCGTGGTCGGGGACGTAGACGCGGCCGTCGAGGCGAAGTAGATTATCTTCGGAGCGCGACCACCGTGGTTCAAGATTTTCGAGTCGGGCCTTGGTAACTGGGTCTAGCAGATACAGTGACTCAAAAAACCCTTTCTATGTTGGTCACTTTTGCACAAAACACTAAATAACAGGGGAACTACTGAAAATGGTAGCTCAGGGTCAGTGTAGCGTTTGTAGTGTCCCTTCTCCGCTAAGTGACAAATCTTGACTCAAGTCAATCGGATAAGTCTAGAATATTCTACAGAATTTCTAATCAAGGGATGCATTGAAAGGGTTTTTTGAGTGTGGTTCCTGAATGCCTTGTTCCTGGCTATTACTCATCATAAAGTCTCAGTATCATCAGGATGACACATATGATGTCATCTATTACTCATCCAGGCACAACCGGCACTATATATAAGCTCTGTCAGTTGTTCATCTTCCCTACAACAATGAAGTCCATTCCCAACTCCCTTCGCACCGATATCACCTCTGCCCTTCTTAATACTAGCCATTCTCAGGCCAAGATTGCTCTCAAGTTGGGTTGTAGTGCAGCTACTGTCTCTAGGGTAGCTCGCCAGGTAATCCCTAACAAGGAAAATCTGGTGGGTGGACGTCCTAAGAAGCTCACTATGGCTGATGAGAGGGCAATCATCAGCCAAATCAACTCTGGAAAAGCTGAGAATGCTGTTCAGGTCACCAAAAACTTGAACAAAGTCCTCAGTGACCCTGTCTCCACACAAACTGTGCGCAATGTCCTCAAGAAAAACAATATGAAGGCTGTGGTGAAGAAGAAAAAACCCTTTCTATCGGTCAAACATCGGAAAGCACGTCTTGGTTGGGCTTTGAAGTACAGGAATTGGACAGTGGAGGACTTCAAGAGGGTATTGTGGTCAGATGAAACTAAAATCAACAGATTTGGGTCAGATGGTAGGAAATGGGTGTGGAAATAGAAGGGGGCACCTTTGCAGGATCGGGAGGTTGAAGGAACTATCAAGCATGGGGGTGGAAATATTATGGTCTGGGGGGTGATGGGATGGAATGGGGTGGGGAGAATGGTTGAGGTTGAGGGGAGGATGGATGCCCAGCAATATGTGGACATTCTAGCTGATGGTATCCTTCCCACCATTGAGGAGTGCGACATTCCTGCAGAGGATGTGATCTTTCAGCAGGATAACGACCCCAAGCACACCTCAAAATTGGCACAGAAGTAGTTTGAGGATCAAGGGATTGTGGTCATGGACTGGCCTGCCCAGTCTCCTGATATTAATCCCATTGAACACCTCTGGGAGCACTTCAAACGGCAACTCAACACCTACAGTACACCATCTAGAGGAGTACATGAATTATGGGAGAGGGTTGCAGAGGTATGGGATGGGATTGATGTGGAGGTATGCCAGAACCTTATATCAAGCCTTCCCAGGAGGATTGAGGCCGTTATCAAGGCCAATGGGGGGATGCCAAGTATTAGATAGTACACTCAAAAAACCCTTTCAATGCATCCCTTGATTAGAAGTTCTGTAGAATATTCTAGACTTATCCGATTGACTTGAATCAAGATTTGTCATTTACCTGAGAAGGGGCACTACAAACGCTACACTGACCCTGAGCTACCATTTTCAGTAGTTCCTCCGTTATTCAGTGTTTTGTGCAAAAGTGACCAACATAGAAAGGGTTTTTTGAGTCACTGTAAGCGTCAATAATATCCTTGTGCAACTTCTCTGTGTCCATAATAATGGAACCGCGGAGCGCGGGTTCCCAGAGGTAAGTTGCGCGGATAGACGCGGTCAGCTGTTCGTTCGAGAATATAGGCTTCAAATTTTGAGGGTTGACCGTAGCATAGCCGTCGCCTCCCTCTCTAAGGTAGACATCCCAACGTCTCGTGAGGGCGTCGGGTTTGGAGCCGAGCCTTCCGGGACGGAAGCAGATGAGGAGGTTAAATTGTGAGAGGTACTCGGACCACCGCGCTTGGCGGCGGGTCAGAATCTTGGTGGTCGAGAAGTATTCTAGGTTCTTATGATCAGTAACCACGTCGATTGGCTTACCAGACCCTTCCAGGTAATGGCGCCAGACGCGGAATGCTTCGAAAATGGCGAGGAGTTCCTTGTCGTGAACGTCGTAGTTCAGTTCTATAGAGCTGAAGGTGCATGAGTGAAACGCGACTGGGTGGATTTCACCGTCTGACGTGTAGATGGACAGAATCGCGCCTAGCGCGTAGTCCGAGGCGTCCGTCTCCACGACAAGTGGCGCGTCCGGTACCCAATGCGTAAGCACGGGGGCCGAGGTGAACACTTGTTTGAGCGCGTTGAAGGAGTCGCGTGCTGCCTGATCCCAATTCCAGGGTAGTCCTTTGCGCGTGCGACGGGTCAAAGGGACCACAATATCCGAGTAGTTTTGGATGAAGCGGTGGTAGAAATTGGCAAAGCCGAGGAAGGATTGTATGTCACGAATCTTCCGCGGTTCCGGCCAGTCTTGGATCGTCTTGACTTTCGAGTTATCCATGGTAAGACCTTGCGGGGAGAGAATGTAGCCGAGATATTCCACAGTGTCCGCGTGGAATTCGCATTTGTCAGCGCGCGCGTAGAGTTTGTGTTGGCGGAGCCAACGGAGAACCTCCTTGACGTGTTTCTTGTGATCTGCCATGTTATCAGAGTAGATTAGTATATCATCCAGGTAAATGATAACATAGACGTCGAGGAGATCTGCAAAAATGTTGTTCATGAACCGCTGGAACGCGGAGGGAGCGTTAGTCAACCCGAAAGGTACAACCAACCACTCGAAGGAGCCGTAGCGGGTCCGGAACGTGGTTTTCCATTCGTCTCCCTCAGCAATGCGTACCAGATGGTATGTGTGCTGAAGGTCGATCTTCATATATACCAATGCTTTGCGTGGAGTATCGAGGAGATCCGAGATGAGGGGCAAGGGATAGCGGTCTTTCTTCGAGATGCGATTGAGGCCGCGGTAATCGACGCAAAGCCGAAGGGAACTGTCTTTCTTCTTGACAAAAAGGACGGGTGTGCCGTGGGGCGACTTGCTGGATCGTATAAATCCAAGTCCGAGGTGTTCGTCGATAAACTCCTTTAAGGTCTGCTGCTCTGATTGCGAAAGCGAGTACATGGCGCCGACCGGAGGCGCGGCGCCGTCTTCGAGTTCGATCTTGAGGTCATAAGGTCGGTGTTCAGCTAGTGTGTCGGCCTTGCCTTTACTAAACACGTCCAAGAATTCATGGTATTCTTCGGGGACCGTGGATAGGTCGGGGTCGGTTATGCTAGCGGCTCTGGCGGAGGTGGTCTTGGGTCGTATCATAATCTGAAAAACAGTGGATCCCGCAAGTCGGGACGCAGCGCGGAACGCGGCTGCGTTGACCAGTGAGATGTTAGGCGGAGAGGACGAAGTTGGGGCCGAGGTCGGAGTCGAGGGTGTCGAAGGAGATGCTTCAACGCAAGAGGTAGCGCGCACCGCGGGCGGCGCGCAAGGCCTTATACTAGGAGTGTCGAGAATTGGGGAACGGAAAATGATGCTGCTCTGAGCCCAGTCAATCAACGGATTGTAGCGGGAGAGCCAGTCGTATCCAAGAACCACAGAACAGGACAGATCCAGAGGGGTCACAAGACAAGTGACAGTCATATTGTCGCCAGACGGGAACCAGAGATGGATATCTATGGCTTCGGTAATGAAGTTGTTAGAGGTACCATCAAAAAGCAGTAGTTTAATAGGAGTTATAGGGTAAGTAATGAGTCCATGTGAACGAGAGAACATAGTATCTACAAAACAATGGGTCAAACCAGAATCAACGAGAGCACGAAAACGAGCGAGGGAGTCTGAGAGCGAATTAGAAGTAAGTAGTAAATGTAACGCGGAAGGCGAGGAGAGCGCGGAACCGTTTAGTCTACAAACTGCCGGCCATAGAACAGGAGGGCGACCTACACGAGCCGGAGACTCGGAGGCACCAGTCAGTTTTTCGATTCGGCGTCAGAGATGTGCGCGGTGGACTCTGCGTCTTCCGCGGGTTCAGTGACCGCGGCACGGGCCTTGGCCTTCTTCTGGCTCTTCAGGCATTTGTTCGCCTTGTGCCCCGCGCCGCTGCAGAACAAACAGAGCTCGTTGTCAAAACGTTGTTGATGTTCCTCAGGAGTGAGTTTGCCGTTGGCGCCGAGGTGAGTGGAGTCTTTGGAAGTTGCGGTTGCGCGGGGAGCCGAGGACGAAGGAGTGGAGGACTTAGAGGACAGGGCACAACTGGCAGCCCCCTATGACCATATAGTAGGGATAAATCCATTGACCTCTATGACACGACGACCAGATTACCCATGGGCAAATTCCTGCATTTTTCCGCATGTCTCCTTTTTTTTGGCAATGGCTGTTTTTTTGCTGACGCGCTGTTATTTTGCCGTTCATTGCCCTTTTCGGGCTGCCGTCCACTTTTGTTTTTGCGCCGTTGTTCTCAAAAAGATCCCTCAATTTACCTTTGGAGAACATGAAATTTAACCTTCCGCGAAGACGAAAAGAAGCCGATTTCCGTTGCTCCCATCACTTACATGTTCAATAGGCGTATGATGAGCGCAATATCTCAATAAATAGAAAAGAGAGAGAGAAAAGACAGAACAACAAAAAAAAGACAGAATGAAAATGTAAAAGACGGAATATAAAAAAACGGGCGCCTAACTCCAAACTATGAATCTTCGTCCTCCTCCTCCTCCATGTCCCTGTCATCGTCCGTGCTATCCTCGTCGTCGTCGTCTGCCGCAAGCCTCGATGCCTCCGCTTGCAGTGTCGTCATGAGGCACTCGTCCTCCGCCGCCGCTGCATCTGCCGTTCCAGGCCCGGGCACCGCAACCATTTTGGAGCGCTTGGAAGGTGCAGCCTCCCACAGCCGGCAGAAATGGTGGCCCAGGTTGTTGTAGACCAAGGCTTGAGAGTGTGCGTAGGCAGATAAGCCCTCGAGGAGGGATATGTCATCACTACTCCTCCCGCCGCTGATCCGGGTGCGCCACTGCTGGGCTCGGAATTCAAATGTTTGTCGGACCCGTCGCATCTCCTCCTTGCATAACAGTACCTCCTCTGACCACCGAAGAGCTCTTGCGCGCCCTTTAGCCCACTCGATCCGCAGACCATCATTGAGTGACGCATCTTCGCCATCCCCCAGAACCCCGGCCGTCCTCCAGATCCACGGTATTTCGCGTCGTCCCTCGCCTAGCCTCTCAGCAGCCTCCTGAAGGTTACGCGCAGGCTCAATGTTGTCTACATCGAAGGCAGGGGGTGGGCAGATGTCTTGGTCGCGTAGGTACGGTAGCTGCTTCAGGACCGATACGCCACCACGGAATCGAATGAGGGCAGCATGCGCCGTCCGATACTTGACCGCTGCTTGCGATATCTTCACGTCGAGGCGCTCGAAATCAGACCGAGCTCGTGTACCGGTCCTCTGCCCAGGCTGGCTCTTCCTCTTGTGAATCATGATGTGACGCTTGGCTCGTTGAGTGAGTCGAATGCGTTCCAGTGCGTCTTGACACTGGGCCTCACGCAGCTGATCTTCCTTGGCAGAGAGGCCGTCCACGCAGCCGCTTTCACGCAATTCGTCGTCCAGGTCTGATGGTAGCATCAATGGCATGTCTTCCACAGCGACTCGCTTGCTGCCCTCGTCTCGTTGAAGTATTGTGTCGACCACGGGCATATAGATACGCTGCTCAGTCCGAAATTGCTTGATCTGTCGTTGAACATTGACACGCTTTTCCTGTAGCTGTGACATTTGCAGTGCCGTCATCTCTTTCGTTGCGGCCTGTAGTTTGATACGGCGCCTGCTATACTCAGCAATAGTCACTGGGGTAGGAATTCTTACTTACTGCGACTCTTCTAGGGCCAATCCCATGGCCAAGAACCCCGTAGCCGACTTCTCTGACCCGTACGTCATACCTGACTCTATGTCCTGGTGCTCAGCCTCCATTAACTTGAGTTTTACGCTGGTTTCACCCTCATCTAGGCCGCAATCAGCATCTTCCACACGACAAATGGCAGGTGGAACTCACGCGCTGAAGCGGATACATAAGGATTCGGCTTGCTTTTGTCCTGCTCCCAGTCCTGTATCATCTCCGTCCAGCTCTTAATCAGCTCGGGGTTGTCCACAGATTCGGAGAACTCCTCGAAGAGCTCCTTATGTCGCTTGGCCTCGACCACGGCAATTCGATATTTCCGCCGAAGAGACAGCCCCAGGCCCGTGGTCTTCATCCAATTGTGGTGGCTGAACAGGTCATCAAGGGTGTTGTGCCGAGATCCTGCCCCCATCTCCTTCGTGCTATTCGCCGCTGGGTTAATCATCGACCAGTCTCTCTCAATGCCTTCTCCGTCAGTTCGTCCAACACCGGGCTTAAGGTTGAGGGAATGGGGTGTCTGACATGGCGTCTGGTGCGCTAGGAGATGGCACTTGGGGATAGCGAAATCGACGTGCACGGCATCTGCAATTCGGAGTGATGAGGGAAAGGCCAGCATGCGAGTCGGAAAATTGGCCTTCCATTGGCAGGCAATATCATAGATGATGGTCAGTGTCATAAGTGACAACCCAGCGATGGCAGAGAGTACGATATAGTCCATGTTGCAATAGCTACAGAGTGAAATTGAGTGTAGCATTAGAACAGAACAAAGAACCACATACCGCTCCCCTTTTTGAAGGTCCCCGACTCCCAGAGGTCGTATAAGTTCGTGACGGGCACATATGCACATTCCAACCCCCGTATAACGTAGTCCGCTGGTCGACTTGGAGTCCGCGCGAGCCAAGGCACTGAATCCACTACAACTGCTGATCTATGTTCTGGTCAGCACGGATCACTCCATGAGAGGAGCAACACACTGATGTCTTTCTGCGAGGCGAATTTGAGGATATGCTCGTTGTATGGCTTCTGCGGGACGAAATAGGCCAGGCCAGTATGCAAGCCCGGATCCAGCGTCTCTTGGGAACGGAGTCGATTCTTTAGCCGGAAGTTTGCGTCCACCGCCACAAAGAGCGAATAAAGAAACCTTTTCCCACAGTTAGCGCTCCACAATGTTTGTTTTGATGGCGATCAAACCTTGATCCTGGTGGTATCGACTGCCACCCATCTGGTAGATTTATGCCAGGTTGCGGACATGCAGCACAGGTGAGCGCAAGGTCGCCAGCCTCCGCAGTGGCGATACCATCTTCAATATTACCCCTTCCAGCCCGCTTCATCATACGCTCGTGGCGGAACTGCCTCATCATACGCAGGAATGCTTTATAACGGGTCTGCAACGTCGACGTCAATTACGTTCATCGAGAGATGGAGTGAAACTCTCACATTGGGAACGTCGACGCGTGAGTTATCGGTCAACCTCTCTAGGTTCATGTAATACTCATGCGCTGAGACCTTACTGCACAGCGACAGACCATGGAAGTGTTTTAGCAGCTCGAGTGTTGCACAAGTTGCCGGATAGTGAACGGTGGCTGGATACCAGCCTGCCCGCAAGAGTTGCACACGCCTTGGTTCCCGGGTCTCACAGTTGCAGTAGTCGACACACAGATTGTGAACACCATTGACATGCAGAACGACAAACACTTTTGGGGCTGGCTCGGGGTTCGTACATCCTTCACTCTCATGGCCTAGTTGGATTCGGAGTCCCATAGTGTTCAAGCTGGACTTGACAAAGCAGTTCCCGTTCCATCTCTGCTCCATTTTATTAGCAGAAATTCTATCCCCGCCCCAGGTCGCACTCACCTCGATTCTATGGAAAGGCAGATGCTCGTGCCGCATCAGACAGCAAGTTAAACATTCGTTCACCGAACCAAAACACTCTAAACACCGGTATTCGGGGTTCCCAGTCGTGACCATTGGCTCCTCACTTGTCGCCCGTTCTCTGGCCGTATCCTCCGTGGTGTACTCCATTCCCACTGGCTTTATGGCCTCAAGATGTTTGGCAGCCTTTCGACAGGTGACACAGGACCCCGCCCTACCTTCCGCCGACCTCGCCTCACGACGCAGGCTTTCATCGATGAATTCCTGCTTGTACTGGACCCATTCAAGGAGGGGATTGGCCTATCCCATAGTCAGGTCAGCGCAGGTTTAACACTCAAAACTGGTGTTGCTCACTGACGCTTGGGACCTCTTTTTGCCCACAAAGATCTCCGCCTCGTCCAAATCCTCAGCCACTAACTCTTCTATATCCTCCCATGCCCAACTCTCTACATCTTCATTGGGGCACCACCTGTCGCAGCTGGGGTTGTTCAATGGTGCGACAATCTTGACCTTCTTTTTCTGGGGGGATCGTGGTGTACGCACATAACTGCGCATGTTGGCTCCCAATCTAATGCGGCGTGAATGACTGTTGGTGATGTCGCTCTGACTGGCGTTCGCCTCGTCCAGCGCGCTGTGAACCCGTCGACATTTGTTTCCTTTCTTCATGCTTTGGCCAGCGCGTCCAGGTTTGGGTTTCCGCGTGATCTGGTGAGCTCCCTCATTTTTCTCACCGTTTGTCCCACGGCTCACATACTCGCGAACGTGATAGGTAGACAAGTAAACGGACATTGGTACTAAGTAAATCTGTGTAGATAATTTGCAGACCAAATAATATGCTCAGCGACGCTTCAAACTCCAGGACAACCACTTCAGCTCCTTGAGGACCCTCTGGATCATATTGGTGAGCCGCGTCAACGTATGGTTAGAAAGAGGTGGCTTACAGCTTGGTATTTTCCCTTGCGCCATTCCAGATATATCTTATCATCTCGCAAGTCCTTGTCCTCAATGTCATTGGCGAGCGGCCAACGGTCGAACCAAACCATCCAAAATCGGGCAAGAAAGCCCTGAAGCTCCTCGCCTTTGGCCGCATTTGCTTTTTTATACTCGGGAGCCCATGTTTTCAAAAAAGCAATCTCATCGTCGCTAAGAACTCTCGTTGAGTGGGATGGCTTGGCTTTGCGTGCCTAAAGTAATGTTGGTAAGTAGGTTGCCGATGCACTCGCTCACCGCTCACCATTGGTCCTTTGGTAGTTGGTTCGTGTAAGTCTGGTTGGCGCCCGGCAAGCTCAAGCTTAGAATGGGTTAGCGTTCAGGGGGTTCAAGTTCAGCAGGGGTTCGAATTACAAGTCTTCGAGTTGAGCAGGGGTTCGATTTACAATGTTAAACTAAGTATGCTAATGGTCAACCTGCTACTTGATACTGGAGTGACTTAGAGTGGTAGGCTTGGTGTAGTACTGGAAACCCCTCAAGGGCGGCACATAGTATATCGTGTAGGTGATCGATGACATGACGGAACTGAGCGCATATGGATTGTCCTTGCCTCCAATGTTCGCCTCGGCCATATACCTCCAAAAGGACCTCTACGAGACCATCCGCTGGGTCAATGATCTCCTCCAGTTGCGCGGTAACAGATTCGATTGGGTGGAGCGACTCCTCTGCCAGACTTGATTGGCAGATCAACAACATGAACTCTGTGTTGTCAGTGCCGACAAGCGTAGTGAAGTGATCTTTGATTTCTGTTAGCTGCAAGAGGCACACTGTGGCCACATCATCTACAGATTGGCTAGAACACGACCCTGTGAGTATTCGGCCCTTGAACGTTCAGGAACTACAGCGTACTCATTGTTGTCTGGTGTGGCGGCCTCAAAAGGAGCATGTGTACGAGATACTCTCTCTGCATATTGATTTCGGCTGCGCTCGAGAATGGTTTCCCGGTGCCTACAAATGAATGTATGACCTGAGAGCAAGTGGTGAACAACAGTGAGACTAACCTCTTGTAATAATTCCGATGTTTACGTTTGTGAGCTTTCTTTTGCTCCTCTGGGGTATGGTAGAGACGTGGGCGACCCATAGAGAGAGGGGAGTCGATGTGAGTGACGAAGTTCAGCTATCAGAGCCGAAGTGCGGTTCAAGTGCCTTGTAACCAGAAATGGTCATCATTAGCATTAACAGTTCTTACGACTTTTACTCATGCGGCCCTTTTCTCAGTATCGACCCTTCTAAGTTCTTTGTAAATTATCAGCGGTCAATGACCTTTGAAGTACACTACTGGTCCCCCCACCCGATACGCCATTATTATCCCCAAGTAATGTCAGTGAATTAAATACCGTTTCTTACGACCTTTACCCCTGAGCGAGAAAACACCCCACTGTACACCTATACGAGCCTGTAATGGATTGCGAAGGCGGTATTTGGCTGATTATCACGCAAGGTTGTGGTCCGAACAGAGCAAAATATATTCAAGACAAGATATACGACAAGGGGGGGTCTACAAGCCATGGACAAAACAAATGTACGTAGAAATCTCAGTTGGGCTCGTTGCGGCGGCTGAGGATGATGCTGTTCAATACCCAAGTTACGTCGGCGACCGCTTCCAGCCAATCTCCAGCGCCCTCAGTCTCGCATACCCAGTTATATCCTTCGGGCACTAATTTGTCCAGCTCGATGGCCCACCACGCAAGGCAAGCCATAACACTGGCAATCCCATTGGCACCTGGGATATCCAGACCTTTCCAACCTCCCGGTACCTCCGATTGTTCAGCAGTGAAATGTCGATGGCGTAGATGAAGCGATGCCTGACCAGCTACATCTCGCCATGCAGGTTGTAAGGAAACCCACCAAGCCCACCACGATGCCGTGAAATCGTCTAGATCGGGAATGGGGACGATGGTGACTTTGCGGCCCCTTGAGATCCAATGAGGGAGTTGGCTTGGCCGCAAGGCGGGCACCAGGCTCACGCGCTCGGGATTGGCGAAGTTTGTCTGTTGCTCAAGGCGGACATACAGCTTGACTAGTGACAGCCACACGGGTGGCATCTTCACAGGGCCGGTAAGTGTTTTGTATACCCGTTTGAACCACTCGGGCCATTGAGGATCGAAAGGCGTATACGCGTCCGGCTTCACGTAGGGACTTTCTTTCTCCATAACACGGCTTGGGCTACAAGGAGGATTGTTTGGGTTGGTGGAGGCGGCTGGGGAGGCGGCACGAGTATCGACTTCAGGGGTCTCGAGGGACGCTGGAGCTTGCTTGGGGGAAGCTGGAGCTGGAGTAATTGGGGCAGTGGGAGGAGGGGTGGATTCTTTCGACGACACGTTCCCTTCTGAGGCTTGAATCGAGGCCAACGAAGCTTCTGGGGGATCTAAAGCTAAAAGCTAGGTGGGTGAATCAATTCCTACACGAGCTCTAAAGTCTGTACCTTTCTTTTTCTTCTTCGGTGGAGGGTTGGTGTCGTTGTCAGTGAAGCAATCTTGGGGTTTGGCGGCGGTGTGGGGGGTGGTCTTGTTGCCTATGTTCACGGCTTGCGGAGGGCGCTCACGAGTGAGGCGTCAGCTTCGGTGCGCGTTCGGCTCGTCCTCATCAGAAGAGAGCGCTTCGCGATCACGCTTAGACTTTGCTTTGCAAGCCTTCTTCTTCTCCTGGCGTCTTTCTTTACGCTTCTTGGCACGTCTCTTCGACATAGGCAAGTCAGAGTCAGTGTCGGAGTCAGTGTCCCCACTGTCAGAGCTGTCGGAGGACACATCACGGGCGTGACGACGTTGATGTTTTGATGAGGAACGATGGATGCTATGAGAGTCGGAGCGAGAGGGATCAGGGGACGGGTCTCGGTCATTTTCTTTGCGCTTGCGAAGGTTGGTGCTGTGCTGTGTTCGAGAAGACGGCAAGGCTGCTGCACGGGTACCGGGTATAGCAGCCGCAAGCTGGTCCTCCGGAGCTACAAAGTTTAGTCCGTTATTGGCAACTACATGGAATAATGGGGAACACGAACTGAAACATGTTTCGAGCCAACGTTGGTAGGCTTGCACGCAGATATCGTGCCCCGGCTTGTCCCCTTCACTCCATGTCTTCGGGATTGCAGAGAGGTTCTCTCCAACATGTAAGCTAGTCGGACCCCATTCAGCGTGTCGCTACAGGACGAGCTTCCAAGAACTTACCTTAGTACATTAATCTGACCCCCCTGGGCAGGTTCTGGCCCACCTACTAAGACGGTGACATGACAGCGAGTGATTTCGCTGACTCCTTCCATGATGGGGTAAAAGAAATCTCCGAGTCGTTCAATGGCTCTGAGGTGGAGAGTCAGTTCTCTGTGATAGATGAGTAAAAAAACTGACTCTTGTCGCTCTTCGGGGGTGAAGGCCAATATTCTCTGCGCCCGTCCCTCGATCTCTGCACGCTGAGCTTCATGCGCGTCTTTGGCCCTCTGAGCCCAAGCTTCTTTGTCCGATGGGCCCAACTTGTCAAAGATGGCCTGGTCGTACTCGTTCCGTCTGTTGGCCATCTCCGATTGCGGCTCGCCGGACGCCGCAAATGACCTTTGAAAATCTTTGGCGTGAGGCTCAAAGCCATGCTTGAGTAGCATCTGCCAAGCGCAGAGTCGCTTTGGAGGTTTGAGACCGATCCCGGAGAGCTGGCTGAGGAGTATGGCATAAGGGTTATTTGGCGACGTGTTAGTGATTTGTTTGAGTCCATGGTCAACTTTGTTCGCTCGATATCGCATCCAGCCTCCAATGGACTAATATAGAGGTAAGCTAGTCAGTTCAACAGGTGTTTAAATGCAATCTTACGTCTTTCATTTTGGCGATAACTTGTTGCTTCAGTTTCTCCTCTGAAGCGGGGAGCTTTGCCTTCGGGTCGTCGAGGGGTGGATCATCAGGTTTGGGCTCCCGGCTGATAGGGTGACGCCAGTTGAATTGCTTGAAGTAGTCGTTGATAATGCCGTCAAGCGAATCCTGGGCCTTTTGGGAACTTTTCAGGGCAGCTTTGTTGTAAACCTGAAGCGACTGTTGAAGAAAGGCTAGACGCGCGCCTTGTGCCCAGTTGCAGGTGAAGGGTCTGGGAACATATGTGTCAGCAATGTCGGGCGGCACAACATATCACTCACTTGAGTAAGTCCGGCTCCTGTGCTGTCGTCGGGTTCGTGCCATCTTTGTCTTTTGTGCCCTCCTTCTCTTTTGTGCCGTCCTTGTCTTTCGTTGTCTCCTATAGTATCGCTTGCGCTCGCTGCAGGACCTCCCACACTCTCGGCTGTGTTGCTTGCTGGCGGGGCTGTCGACATAGGGAAAAGCGCGGAGAATACAGGAAATTCTAGAGGAAAAGGTGAGTCGTACTTATACTTCCCAGTGGATCGTGACTCACAAACTCAAAGATTTGAGCATCTGTAGCGCGGTTCTCCAAGGCTTCGAAGCGGCTGGGGAAATCGAACCCAGATGACCATGCCACACATAGTTTTTTCCACCTCATTCCCCAAAAGCCGTTGCTTTAAGGGCGACGATATTTGGCCATTCCCCAGAGCTTCCCCCCTCAGATTTAACCCAATCGTCTACGCCTCTCCAAGCACAATGACCAACAAGAAACTTCCTCCTGCTGAATTTGACGAGGGTAAGTGAAAACCACTTGCATTCGCCTCCACTGTTCAGCTAAAAATTAACCTACCAGCCATGTTGCCTTTGATGATGGCCATGCTCACATTATCCCCCGCGCAGGCTCGAGGGATAGCGGACGCGTTACTGGCTTTAGCAGATGCCGGGGACAACAAGGGAGCAACTCCCACCGCCAGTCCCGAGTCCGACAGCCCTGCCGTCGACACTGCGACCTCTTCAGCATCTCGGAATGCCCGAATTCGGGCGAACTGGATTACTATCGCCCCATCGTCTGTGTCAATGGCCAGCGCCAGCCCCCCCGTTGCAGCTTCTGCTGTTGCCCCCCCTGCAGCTCCTGCCGTCGCTCCTCCTGCTGTCGCCCCCCCTGCAGCTCCTGCCGTAGCCCCTCCTGCTGTCGCCCCTCCTGCAGCTCCTGCCGTTGGCACTGGGCCTCCAGCAGGCTTCACGACCCCTTGGGTGGTCCCCATCGGTTATGCGTTCCACCTTCCCAATCCTGACGACGAAGGTCCCTTCTATATGATTACCCGTGGACGTGAGGTGGGCATCTTCGCTGGATGGTAAGCCGCATCGTCAATTGTGCCGTCGATAATCCTAACGACGATACACCCCAGGGACATAACCTCCCCCCTTGTCACTGGGGTTCCTGGCGCCGTCTTCCGCGCCGTACCCAGCATTGCTGCAGCGCAAACGAGGATGGTTTCTGTCATTGCGAGCGGCGCATCTGCCATCATCCCCTAAGCTCGTGCTCTTTGCTCATATACTACATACTTGCTTGAGATGTCCCTGCCCCTAGTACAATGAAATGAGATATTTTTTGCCCACATACTTGCTGGTTTAAGTTTGAGAAAAAAAACTTATTGTTTGACAAAAAACTTGAACATTGGTGATCTATGTTTCACAAAAAACAGTTTAACAACAAATTGGACAGTACAAAACCCTTCGCAAAACAAACAGTAGTTAAAAGATGGTGGAAATATTGGAATATGAGGTACTTGTGTGCTACGAGCCATCTACGCGAAATTTACAAGTCCAAAATGAAAACATTCACACGTTTGTTGAATTCAAAAGGAGCGGGGTCACAGTTGAACATTCCGAAACCCCGTGTTCCGCGTCTATTGGCATTTTGGGTTGGGGAGGCAATCCCACGGTGACAAAACGGGACGAAACAGACGAAACGAGTGAAACAATGAAATGATGGACATTTCTCACGGCCGAAAAAGGAACAGAGTATTTCATGTTTCAGATCGGGGGCTGTTTTACCCGGATGCATCCATATCCAGCCAGCCAGCGCGAGCAAAAACAAGCCGCGCCCTAATTTTACCAAGTCAACTTTTACTGCAATTTTTCACATGAGAAAAATCCAGTCCATGGGTCATGGCTGGGCATGGATTTATCCAGTTTGGTATTGTCTAATCTAGCAGCCTAGGCTGGACGGGGTGGACGCGGAAGAGGATTTCGCAGGCGCGGATTTCTCGGAGGCGCGGGTGTTGCGCGTACGCTCGGCCTCCCGTTCCCAGTGACGCTGGTCGATGGCCTGCGCGAGGGAGCGGAGCCGTGCGAGCGAGCCCGGCTTCGAGTGGTTCAGGAGAGCGTCCTTGATTCTGTCCGGGAGACCCTGGTAGTAACGGTGCTGGAGAGCCGCGGGGCCCCAGGACACCAACGCAGAGTGCTGCTGGAACAACACATTGTACTTACTTATGCGTTGCCTGTCCCCCATCTTGAGTTGGTCCAATGCCGCTTCAGCCTCCGCGGTAGCGTCAAACGCACCAAAATTCTCTTGGAGAACTTGAACGAAGGTCGAGTAGCTATGGAGCCATTCGGGATCCGCGGCGTCGTCGATCAGCTTGGGCTGAAAGTAGGCGAACACGTTTCCCTTGAGGTACGAGCAGGCGAACGTCACTTTATCCTCGTCGGAGGCAAGTGCGGGGGTGGTGTTGAAGTAGAGCTTGAGTTGTACGAGGAATGTGTTGAGTTTCAACGGGTCGGACCCGTCGTAAGGGTCGGGGGTGTGGGGTTTGGGACGGGAGGCGGAAGGAGCGGCAGGGGTAGCGGATGACTCACGATTATGGATGTCCTTGATTTCTCTGCTGAGCGCGGATAGCGCGTGAAGGAACGTGTGGTCCGCAGGGCGGAAGTGGTCCTCAGAGCCGTTGTCGGAATCCCAGGGGCGCTGCGGTCCAGAACCGTGGAACGAGGGTTGCTTCTCCTCGTCCGCCTGTTCTGACCCATGGTTGCTTGCCGGAAGCGAGGGAGCGCGCTCTTCATTTGAAGGGATCGAGCGGGAATGGACCGGGGACAGGACATTGAACGGGGGAAAGGACTGAATGGGTTCGGACTTGGGTGTCTCCGGAGGGGGCGCGGGTTGCGGGGCAACTCCCGCGGCGACCATAGGGGAGCGGAACGGAGGAAACGATGGCGAGGACGTCGCACGCAGACGCGGAACCGCAGGAGCTTTTCCTTTGTTGGCGTGGCTGCGCGCATGGGCCGTGGTGTGCAGCGGAGAGACGAGGGTGGCGGCGGCTTGCTGGCTCACGCGAGTAGGCCACGATGGGCCCGCTTGAGTGCCACCAGCCATGATGTTGACAAGGACTTGCGGGGACGAGAGCAAGAGCTGGGTTGTGAGTTCGAATATACTGTTAAGAGCCACACTCGCAGGGGGCTCGGGATACGCGGACCCGCGGGTGTGCGGTTCCACGTAGACGCGCGGGGGAAACGGGGGGAACAAGGACATACGGGCTTGGCTTCAGCTACTGGCTGCGCCTCCCACACTCTTGTGTGCCCTGTATTTCCGGGAGGAGTCCTACGCGGGTACCGAGGGTACGGGCGGAGGCGAAGGGGTGCGACGGAGGGAGAACCCACTAGAGGGGCGAGAGTGCGAGTGCGGAGAAGGAACTAATATTCGAACTAAGGTAGCTGTATGTACGATACAGGACTATATACTAAGGAACACGCGGCGTCCGCGCGTTCACAAAACAGTAATGAGTTCGGTCGTAGTAACTACAATGTGCTCGAGTATGTACTTAGTCCGTAATCCGGGAAGTCCGCGTGGCCGCGTGTAAGCGCGGCCCGAGCCCATAGTCAGGAAACGCACGTGGGCGCGCCCCTAGTAGCCCCTAAGGGGTTCCTTGGACGCGCCTATAACACATCTTGAGGTTGCCCTTACAGAATCCGGAATTGTACCAGCAATTTGCTGCTTGACCACAGCCTCTCCCTGATGCCACTCCTTCAAATCCTCCTACCATTGGTTCAATGCCATGGTCTGGACATCAGTTACGGGGCTGGCCAGCACAGGAACAGGGTTGACCGGTTCAGAACCAGTTCCATTGAGATGCTTGAGCAAGCCGCGTGCGTCCACAGCCCACATCAGACGGTCCCGATAGATCACCCAGTTATTACCGGCAGCATCAAGTTTCGGAACACGCAAGAATTCGTCACCGACTTTGATGGAAGTCATTTTGAGGAAGATAGTGATAAGGCGTAGGGTGCAAGTACGAGTTCATAGGAGATTGGGGTTATAGATTTATAGGATAAGTGCAGGGCCCATAACCTATTACAAAGTAAACTCAGTCTCGGGGTAAACGGACTGAGGTGATAAGATAATAAACTACACATTAAGTACACATTATGAGACACTGAGAATGAAAGAGAGAATGTACCGTATGAGCCTAATCTCTAACTCCTCGATACTGGACCATTCCACATGTAGCACGGTTTGCACAGGTGCTAACCTCAACTTCCAACATGGCCTGCCACACCATTGAACAGACAAAGTGAGAAATACTGGTCACGTATGATCGTCTCTGTAGTGCGCGATGGTGTAAGGGCAACCTCAAGATGGCCAACAGCGCAGGCCTAGCAGAGGGAGAATCCAAAGATAATGAATAAGACTAACTACAATACATGAGAGGGCTGCTCACCTAGCAGAGGGAGAATCCAGAGAGAACAGGATAAGGATTCTCCATGCTAGGAAACGAAGTATGTATATACTGTAGTAGCGTGAGAGGAATGCAGGATAACTGTACAGTACACCAGCCACAAGTCCAAGCGAATATCACAAGGTACAAGGAAACATGTGATAATGAAGTGGAGGGTAAATGCACAGGAGTTGTGCCAGCGACTTGGGGAAGTAAGGGCGAAGGGTAACAAAGTGGGGAAAGAGGATAGAGGTAACCTGGACGAGCCCCAAAGAGTATAGACGAGTCTGAGCGAGTCCGAAGTGTCCGAAGCAAGTCCAAGCGTGTCCGGAGTGTCCGAAGTGCGGGAAGACTCCGGAGTCACCGGACGTGGCTCGGATGCGAAAGGAGTGGGTGGAAAGGAAGTGGAAAGGAAAGGGAGCGAAAAGGAACAAAGGGGAACAAAGGAAATGTAGGTAAGAGTCCATGGCATGAAGGAAAGGAGAGAAAATAGGAGTGTCCCCTTACAGATGGTCCGTGACGTGGTTTGTGTGAGAGAGATGCTCCACGTAGTGTTTTCGTGATTGATGGACAGAGTTCTTCCTGCTTTTTTCCTTCAAGAGGTTGTCCGCACCGGCGCAGGGAAGCGTGGCCAAGTTGCCACTATTGCTAACGACATTAGCGGATATTGTGATGAAGTGACCACCATGGGTCGCCATTGCTCCGCATAAGTGTAGTAAGCTTTTTGATACTTCTGAGTTCTGGCATTGTCAGGCAAAGCGATCACGACCGTGTAGTTACTCCCGCCATCAGCAAAGTCGTGAACGCCAGACAAGGGGTGACATACCCATATATGGCCCAAAAGGTGTCGAAAGACGTACGAACAACAACAGAATGGCCATTTTTTCTCCATGGCTTATACCGGAAGTCGCCTCTCGATAAGACGTTCACCAGCGCGGTCGCCGACGCGATTATGGTCAGACACACCAGAACGTTGTCGTTTCGTGGGCCTGTCCGCCGACATATCACTGGACCACCATGTGATGTATTCACGCCATGCTGTTGACAGGCCTGTCAGGTGTCTTCCATGAGGTGACGAGTGCGCCAGATGATCCATTCACATCAGACTGTTTGCATTAATACATAGACTGATACCGGAAGTGCGCAAATGAGCAGCTGGCCAACCGATCATTGGAAAAGATCAGACTGATTTTCTTGTGCCTCCAGATGTTGCTTATCATGATCTCAAAAGAATGGGAAGGTCACCGTAATTCATAGGGTATTCTAGGGTACATGATCAAGAGAGGATAAGGTAGATAATAGAAGCTCTTGTATAAAGTTATAGGAATTGTACGAAATGAGAGCTGTCGTAATGAGGGATTAAGCAAACGGGTCGGCGCGAGCACGTTTGGCCGCGCGTTCGTTGACCAACAGAGCGAAGCCATCGTCGCCATCGTCACTGTCGTGATCATCTCCATTGGCATTGAGAGCTGACGACAAATGTCCAGATTTATCACCCCATAGATGACTGCATCGAAGGACCATAGCATTAGAATCGGGAAGGTCATGATGTGAAGTAGACGTACTAGTTATAATATTCCAGTATGTCTTGTCCGCCGCTGGCATCCGCTTCAAAGAACGACACGATATTCCAGTAAAACTTGTGGTAGTCGAAAAGCGCCTTATCCTTTAGGCCCCAAGTTGATTGTGATGAAAGCGCGAAGTGAAGTTGGACAGCAATGTATGCAATAACGCGAGGAGTGATGGTGTGAATTTCGGCCAGTGCAGCATTGCCACGTCGTCCAGTGGAAGCACCTGGCTCCGAGGTAGCACAGCTGCGCCCAATGAGAATGAACTTGGCGGCCTGTGAACGGGGTGAATGAATCAGGGAGTGATGCTCAAGGACGTGAGATGACACTGACACGTATCATTAGGTATCCTTGGAAGGCACCATCAGAGATACTGTTGTCCTCTGTGCGATCATGAGGGTAAAGGAAGCGTGGCAGCTGCTTTGCGTTGACGAGTGTGTAACCATCCTGGATGTCCTGGTATGTCCTACTCAAATGGTGAGCACGTTTCATACATGCGAGTGTATAACTGACAATGTGGTAGCAGGCAGAGTGATTGGGCAGAGGAGTGCCGCGGTGACGGGATGGTTGAAGCCACGATCGGCCTTGTTGCCACTTGTAGCAATGGCGGGATCCAGGGTCTTCTTGGTGTCGTAGAGAAGGAAGGAAGGTAGGCCCGATTTCAAGGCAGCACGATCATCGCAGCATGCTGCCTCCACTCCATTGGTGAGCTGCGAAGAGTTGGGTTGTGAACATTGAACATGCAGTGAGTAAAGCAAGCCACTTACATGGCGCGACAGGTCATGTCGGACAGTCCGCTTGGAAGCAAGGGTCATGATCATGTCCTTGAAGCCTGGGATCTTGCTGCAGAACGTATCCCAATCCTCGAGTTGACGTCGGAGAGCAATAGGAAGGGCCCTAAGGGATTGTGTTCAATGGTAATCAGTGATAATCAATGATCATTAATACATACCTCTCGGTGTCATCATCATCTTCAAGCTCATGCTTAATCCCTGCTTCAATAACATGGTCGATGATTTGTGTGAAGTCGATTACTCGAGCGAGGTATCACCCATAAGCCTGGTAGGTTTGTTCTTTCTCGGAGTCGCTAGCCTCGCCATCAGTGGAAGGATCCGAGTTCTCCTTGTTGGTATGAGAGCGATGTGCGCAACGACTACACACTTGTGAGCAAGAGCGCCATGAAAGAATCAACACCATACCGCTTGCGACCACTTTGTTTAGCAAGTTGAGCGGCAACCTGGTTCTCTACTTGTGATGCCTTGTCAAGCGGAGTCGATGGCACAGATGGAGGGAGGTTGGAGCCACGGTTGCGAGCGTACATTGATGAGTATCCGTGGGGGGAAGGAGGGGATAAGTTCAAGTGGCCCAGATGGCCCTTGTTTATAAGTGTGAACATCACATGACGGTTTGTTGATTGTTCGTTGGGCGTCTGTTCCCTGCACTTATCTCTTGACTCTTGACCTGTTCCTGACGCAACTAGGGAATTGGATTTCAATAGCAGGTGCGCGGCTGGCGGTGGAGGGGCAAAGGCGAGTAGTGGGTGGTGGGTTGACGGCCTGGTAGTGGTCATGTCCAAGAGTGCAGGAGACACAACTCTGGGGACTTATTCCTAACGTAAAAGCTTAGGTGAGTGGCGGAGACTTCATGACTCTCACAACGGGCTTACTGGTTATCCATAGATTTCAAATACTCTTTCTTATCAATTTGCACGCCATTCTCTGTATCATGCAATCCCTTATCAGCCCTCTTTGTCACGGCCACCATGGTTTACACTTGTCAGTTCTGTGGAATCAACTTTGACGGTTTGAAGGATATTCGCGGCCACCTTAAGAAAGGATGCAAAGGCCAGGTTGATGATACATCTTTGCTTGATGCTGCTGAACGATACCAAGCAAAGAAAAAGCAAAAACGAGAGGAGCGCACAGCCAAGCGCCGACGTCTAATGATCCCGACACCGACGGGGATCCATGGACCTGAGGATACTGATGAAAGCAATCGAGACTGGTATGATGTAGATGAGACATCACAATCAACGGTTTGTGGATAGCTCCTTCGTTTTGGTGTTTCGGTGCTCAAGCATTGTTTGAACAGCCTGACGACATTGATATGGTGGACGAAAATGCGGCCGTTATACAGAATCAAACTCTGCCATCTGCCTCTGCCTCTTCTGTATGTATGATGGAGGCGGTCTAAGCGAGACAAATGTGACTGACCATGTTATCTTGCAGGGAGCCGTTTCCTCTTCTTCCCATGGACGATCGAGATGCCCAACATGGAAAGTTCTTGAAAGCCAACGGCTTTTGCGGGAGAAGGAGATTCGTGCTGCTCAACCTCAACCTCAACCGCGGCTACAGAGCGAGGACCAGGACGACATTCAAAAGGAGACCCCGGCGTCATCTATATGGGGTACCTTCCGCTCCAGAATGAGTCAATATGGCTTATGGCGTGAATATCCTACCAATCCTACTTATGACCCATATTCATCACACACGGCTGATGCCCACAATGACGATGATGCAACCTCGCCACCAACCGACGCCGAATCTCTTCCTCCAAAGTTGCAGGATGAGTCAGGAAACCCTTATTTCCCATTCACGAATTCCTCGTTGTTTGGACTACTTAGCTGGAAGTGGATCGGTTCGAACACGAAATCGGACATCGAGTTTGGCAAACTGTTTGCATTTCTGCAGTCCACGGAGTTTTCTCAGGCCGATGTCACCAACACTAACATCGACTCAGAAATCAACCGCGTTGACAAGTACATCCAAGGTTCCGCTTCAGATTCCTCTGATGAGGGCAGTGCCAGTAACAACTCGCCACAAAATCGGGGAGGGTGGAGGGAGGTCCCTATATCAATATCCATTCCAGATGGGCAGGTACATGCATCGCTGGAGGATGCACCTCTGTTCGAAATCCCTGGCCTTCACTACCGATCTCTCACCGAGGTCATCCAGAACGCAATTGGTGACCCCGATATTGGTTGCTACTTCCATTACACGCCATACAAGCAATTCTTTGAACACGACGTCCACATTCCCGGCAATCCACTTGATTCCGACCAAGGTTCCCAGCCACTGCCTACTCGGGTATATGATGAAATCTACGCTTCTGATGCAATGGTCGAAGCACATATCGAACTTCAACAGCAACCACCCGAAGATGATTGTGACCTTGAGCGAGTAGTGGCTGCAATCATGCTCTACTCTGACTCCACTCACCTTGCATCGTTCGGAACTGCGTCTGCCTGGCCTATCTACCTGTCCTTTGGCAACGAGTCAAAATACGTACGCTGCAAGCCCTCGACTGGTTCTTGTCAACATCTGGCTTACATCCCCAAGGTGAGTGCTAGATGTTCATCATCATTCACGGTTCATTAATACATTTCACTAGCTTCCGGATACATTCTTTGAGTTTGTACATAACCTCACGGGTGAGGGACCCACTACAGAGCTTCTCACACATGCTCGACGCGAGCTGATGCATGCCGTGTGGCGGAAACTTCTTGACGACGATTTTATCCATGCATACAACCACGGAATGGTTATTCAGTGTGCCGACGGAGTTTTCAGACGATTCTATCCACGCATCTTCACTTATTCAGCGGATTATCCCGAGAAGTATGAAATATCCATGCACTTATTTATTAATGTTAACATGTATCTGACCAGAGTCCTTCTTGCAACAATACGCAACCTGGGTGCATGCCCTTGTCCACGCTGCCTTACACCCAAAGAGTGCATTGCCGAACTAGGGACACAGCTCGACAGACGGCGTCGATTGAACACACGTGTAAATGATATCAACCGACGATCAAGGATTTCTCGTGTTCGTGACTGGATATATACCGAAGGCCGTATACTCAAGAATAAGTTCATCGAGCTTACATTGGGGCCAAAGTCTGAGGTTCCAACATCTGTATGTGATCCTCAATCTTGGCGTCACAAAATACTCATTCCACCAGAACGCATTCTCCGATTGTCTTCCAGGGCCAGACTTTAATTACTTTGACATGTTTGTACCGGACCTCATGCACGAAATCGAGTTGGGCACGTGGAAGGGGCTCTTCACCCATCTCATACGCATTCTTGTAGCCCATGGCGGACCTTCTATCCAAAAGCTCAATGACGGATACCGTGCTATACCCTCTTTCGGGCAGTCCACCATTTGCCGATTTAGTAATAATGCTTCATCCATGAAGAAGCTTGCAGCACGAGACTTCGAAGACTTGCTTCAGGTATGAAGGCACGCCATTCGAGTCTCCCTTACCTCATTGCTAAACTTGATTCTAGTGTGCCATGCCAGTCTTCGAAGGTTTGTTACCTGAGCCACATGACGGGAACATACAGAAGCTACTATTCACCTTCGCAGAATGGCATGCCCTTGCTAAATTACGGATGCATACCGACGACACACTTGATTCCCTTGATCAGGCAACTACTGATCTCGGACGTCAGCTACGTCATTTTGAAAAACACACCTGCGCTGCATTCGAAACAAAGGAATTGCCCAAAGAAGAGGCTGCCCGTGGTCGTCGTCAGAACCGCAAGCAAAAGGCTCTCAATCCCGGGCCTGATGGTTCAATACCTGTGAAAATTGGTGGGCCGAAGCTCAAGCGCTTCAATCTATTGACATACAAGTTCCACTCGATGGGGGACTATGTTCGCACTATCCGCCGATTCGGAACAACAGACTCTTACTCAACACAACCGGTATGTATAAATCCACGTCAGACTTGTTCAGGGTTTGAACTTGATTCCTAGGGCGAGCTTCAGCACAAACGTCCCAAAGTATTCTATGTCCGCACGAGCAAGAACAAGGCACTTCGCCAGATGACAAAGCATGAAGCAAGAGAGCGCCTGGTGCACATAGTGAACGCTCGACTACACAGAATATCCTGGTTATCCATGTTTCACCGCCGTTCACCTCCACAATCTCAGATTCTAGCAGAAGCCTCACGACCATATACTCCACCTTCTGTCCATCACACCATTGCAAAATCAATAAACTCTCCACGCAATATCTACTCTATTCTTCGCCAGCATGAAAATGACCCAGCACTTACCGTAATGCTGCTATCCTTTACCGTATCGTTTCAGTTGCTCACGCCCCTTCCCTTTGTAGAATTTCATTCCTAAACTCAAGCAGCATCTACTTTCGCGCCTGCTCCATTCCGACGAATATGTTGAAGATGAAGAGTTTAACCGAGAAGATTGGGATAAAATACAGATCTCTGGTAACCGCCTCTATCTTCACAAAAAAATCCATGTCAACTATACATCTTATGATGTACGGCTTGGGGAAGACACAATACATCCCCGGACGCACCCTGATATTATGACTTTGCAACGGAATGAAGCCGACCCCCACCCTTTTTCTTACGCGCGCGTTCTAAGTGTCTTTCATGTCAGAATTCAGCATGAAGAACTTTCGCCGCAGACGAAGGAGTTCGACGTCCTCTGGGTGCGCCATTTCAAGGTCAACACTAGGCACAGCGGCGGGTTAAAGCAAAAGCAGTTCACACGTCTCAGTTTCATGGACGTTTCCGAGGCATTTGGATTCCTTAACCCAGACGAGGTCATCCGTGGAAGCCATATCATCCCTGCTTTCGCATATGGACCTGCTCCCGATTCCCTAGGCCGTTCCATTGCTCGACAAACATTTCACATGGATATTCTTGACAAAAACTTTACTTGGCCCAAGGAGCCCGACGAAGATGACTATGTACACTATTATGTGAACTTGTACGTGCTTTTCTCTATTGCCTCGAAGCCTATATTGAAATAATTCCTCTGAAGCTTTGTGGACCGGGACATGTTCATGCGATACCATGGAGGTGGTATTGGCCACTACAAGGTTCACTTCCCTGCTGTCCTCAATGAAGACTCTGGTGTGGATGACGACGAAGAAGCCCCGATCGTGGACAGCCTAGATCAACCTGAACCAAGCATAGACCCCATACAAATTACCTCAGAAGAGCTTGAAGCGGGAGATCACAATCCGGCACCACAAGAAGAGCCAGCAGTATCAGATGAGGGTTCAGAAGGAGAGGAATCTGATCCGGAAGATGATGAGGATGTAGACAAATGGGTAGATGAGGAAGACGCCTTAAACTATTCTCCACTGTAGAGTACACGCACATGGACCCATACATAAAGATTGTGATAAGATAATGTGCATCGTAAACTCAAATGGTATTGGTAGCGGACATAGGATGATCTTCAGTATCCGTGATAACTGAGGCTTGGCTATCAGGGATACCGGCAGCGACTTTGCGCATTGTGTCGTCGAAGTAGTGCGTAAACTAATGGTAGATCAGAATCAGGACAATCTGTTAGCCACCAAAGTAATTAAGCTTACCTTGACAGCTTCACACCACAAACCGATCTCATCAGACTGAAGGTGAGATTAAGATTTAGTATACAGCAGAAAGTATGTAACACTCACCGAGTCTTGATTCAACGGCGCATCAGCAATATGCTCTAGAACATAGTCCACCACAAGTTTCCAGTTTTGTAGTGATGTGCGTACACAGTCAATTGGGGTGTTGATCCACTCGGGTTGGCCGGTGACATCCCGTTCAGACCAACAGCCGAAGACCATCAAAGGCGACTCAAAGTCCTCCTTCATGAGAGTTTCGCCCCATTTATAGTTGATCATGATGCGCCAAACCATGAAGTGGCAATTAGATTTCGGCTAGGAGTGAGATAAGTTTAGCTAACGAAGTTTTGATATAAATAGCACGTACATCGTAGACATGGACCGTCTGCCGGAGGACAGAGTCCCGAGCCATGCCATATAGGCAGTGCTGATACTTGTCATATGCGGGGTTGAGAAGGGGCCAGGCGTGAAGTTTCTAGGAGACGGTGAGTGGTATGTGATAGTACCCGAATGGAAACTCACTTACCCAACTAGGCCAATCAACCAGTAAGAATGCCTTCTCTTCGCGGCACCACTCATGGAACTGGGCGACAAGGTCTTCTTCATCATAAGGACCTTCCTTGGTATCAACGAGATCCATGGTAATAGAGGGAAGTGATGGAAAGATGGTTAAGCAGGGTTGCTAAACCGTGACGGCCTTGCAATTAAGTATGTTAACTGAATCTACATGTGACCGTGTTTGTTGATTGCTTGGCCAGGAACACGGCGCAGATGCCGTCCATGGGGCACGGCACTGTAGCTTAGCCTGGTCATGTATTACCTTGACACTATCATGGTGGCCTCGCTAACATCAGCGTAGGAGCTGCACCAACTGCATTACCATGGGCTGAGAAGGGTGTCATGTACCCTATGATACTTCTGTCACCATGACGGAAATCCTCGCAGCCCGGTGAGACGTGACAATGGTACCGAATATCTGGATTGAATATGATATATGACATAGATAAAGATAAGGTCACCATCTCCATTCTTCGGGGCGGGAACAGCAGATCCGAAAGCGGTAATGCAGATTGCCCGGGTCGCGGCGCATGGTCCTATCATAGTTCCCGATATGGCAATGCAACCGAGTCTCGTGATGCTAAGCTTCAACAGGCATCAGCAGCGTTTCACGACTTTGCTGATGGCAAGCTTCATTAAAGGTCAAAAATTGAACAGAAGAAATTTAGAGCTACAACAATGTTACCCATAAAAGACCAGAAATTTATTTATTAACTCTTCATCATTGACAAAGGGTACTAAAAACGGCAACCTGTAGTAGAGCGTCCCTATGAACGGTGCGGTCAGGGGATTGCTCATGGTGTGGTGATGTTGGTTGGGGTTGTGGAACGGCTTGTCCGATCGCTTATGAACGGCGGGAACGTAACCGTGCGGCCCGATGAAGCTTCTCGAGTCAGCAACGTCGATGCAAAAATGCTCAAAGCTTCGTGCACGGTTGCAGAAGTGCGAGGTGCGAGACTAGAATATGGAATAGTTGAGGTGAGAAAATGAAGCGATTTGAGCGTAGTCGAGTTTTGACCTACTCAGTTTCACATTAGCCGACAATTCTTGGATTTAGTGCTAGCCTTCACTGAGCCCCGAAGGCACTGCTGGTTCCCGATTCCTATTGGGGTAGACCACCACAGTACGCTCTAGAGTCTAACATCCAGCCCCTACCTTGCGCGCGGCGGCACATGATATGATGGCACCCAACATCCAAGTGAAGCACTGCGGCCACGACCGAAGGAGGTTGACTTTGCTTTCACAGGTACCTAGTGCTTTATGCAGATCTCGGTTTGAAAGCGTAGAACCTATTCCGTGCCTCTCTTGGTACATATACTGCGTTCTTGCCAACACGCTGGCACCCGGTCGCTTTTTCGACAGTCGCGAATTACAAGATCCTCATTGACGAGGGCTCGCCAGCGAATATAGAAGAGACCAGGTTATTCTACACTGACACGACTGCCTCTTGCCATTAATACTACCCGGAGATCAACATTCATACGGAACCTGCTGAAAAGGCTGTGTTCATGCTATTTGACTATGCGGCTTTTACAATGCTGTGAGTCGCTATCACTAGCCCCTACTGTGCAACGATTCAAATGACAACCTAGTTGCAGTGAAGATGATGCAGTAATCCCCAATTATACAGGTGGGAATGATATCCTGAATCGTACCACCTTGTATGTTCTTACCTCCAGATTCTGGTCCAATATTTCCGGCTCTACCTAGCGGTGGTACCTTATATGACTGTCCCAGCCACCACAGAAATCTCAACTTGCCCCCCGACCAGCTCACCCCGCGCATTCTCCTCTCCACTACCAACCATGACCATCCCCATCGTCTCCGCCCATGTCCCTAACACCGACATCCCCCGCCCCAAGGACGTCGGCGTCCTTGCAATGGAAGTCTACTTCCCCCGCAGAGTACGCGTCGAGGCTAGTGCCGTCACTGAGACATTTTCTGACATATTATGTCCGCAATAGTGTATCTCCGAAGCGGAGCTAGAGGAGTTCGACGGTGTCTCCAAGGGCAAGTACACCATTGGTCTTGGCCAGGAGTACATGGCCTGGACAGATGACCGCGAAGATATCAACTCTTTTGCATTGAATGGTGAGTAGCCTCGCACTACCTGGCTTACGACGTGTCTCACATCTCACAGCTGTCGCCGGGCTCCTCGACAGGTACAACATCGACCCCAAGTCAATTGGCCGTATTGATGTCGGCACTGAAACCATCATTGACAAGTCCAAATCCGTGAAGACTCACCTCATGGATCTCTTCGCCGACGCCGGCAACTTCGACATCGAGGGTGTTGACTCCAAAACTGCCTGTTACGGTTCGACCGCAGCACTATTCAACGCCATCAACTGGATTGAATCGACTTCCTGGGATGGGAGGAATGCCATTGTTGTCGCCGGAGATATCGCCGTCTACGCGGAAGGCCCTGCTCGTCCTGCTGGCGGTGCAGGTGCCTGCGCTATGCTTCTTGGCCCGGATGCGCCAATCATATTTGAACGTAAGTATTCCGGTTCGTCATTCCTGCAACACCGTCGTTCATTTTGCCATTTGAATACATTTCCCCTTTCCTACCTTTCTGGGGCATCGCTTTCAATCGCTCGCTCTAATTTTTCCTTGATCCAGCCATTCATGGCACTTACATGTCCAACACATATGACTTCTACAAACCCAATCTCTCCTCCGAGTACCCGGAGGTTGATGGCCCCGTTTCCGTCGTCACCTATATTGCGGCTTTTGACGAGGCTTACTCTCGATTCCGCGAGAAGACCGCGCGTCAGCTCAAGCACGGTCAGATCAGTAGTTGTTCTAACGGTCTCTTGCACAACGCCGACAAGCCCGCCGACCCCAAGGCAGCTTTCTCACTTCAGGGTGTCGACTATGCCCTCTTTCACAGCCCATACGGGAAACAAGTCATCAAGGGTCACGCTCGCATGCTCTTCAACGACTTCCGCTCCGCACCCGACGCCCCGCAGTTCTCTGACATCCCCAACCCCGAAGCGTTTCTCGCTACCTCGCAGAACGTGTCCCTCTCCGACAAGATCGTCGAGAAGACCTTCATTGCTGCGTCGAAGAAGTCCTTTTCCCAGAAGACTGACCCCAGTATGGCTTGCTCCAAGCGTCTCGGTAACATGTATACTGGCTCGCTCTATGGCTGTCTTGCGTCTCTCGTTTCGAACGTGGAGCCTTCCAAACTCAGGGGCAGCCGCGTTAGCATGTTCGCCTTTGGTGGCGGTTGCGCTGCTAGCTTCTTCACTTTGCGCGTGAAGGGCGATACGACGGAGATCAAGGAGAGGATGGATTTGATGAACCGGCTTGCTGCCATGAAGGTCGTGCCATGTCAGCAATTCGTTGATGGTCTTGGTGTACGTTGCTGTTATTGCCGTTGTCTTCCACTCACTTCAGGTCACTAACAAATTTAATCCCGTTAGCTCCGCGAGAAGAACCATAATGCTGTCTCGTACACACCAGAGGGATCTATCGACAATGTCTGGCCTGGTGCCTTCTACCTTGACAGTGTTGACTCAAATTACCGAAGGAAATACGTCAAGGCTCCTTTGGCTTAAACGCCCTTATCTCACTCGCTCACTCATCTGTCAGACCTCTCGGGACTTCTTAGATCAGATAACCTAACATAGACGGCTTTGCCGTTTCACGAATATTGAATGTAAAGTCGTACAAGTTTTTCATTGATCTTGTCTGCCCCCTTTCGTCTATTTCTCCTGCCATGTCGGGACAACTGTCGAGGGTTATATTTACCTCCGAATAGTGCCTGTTCTGGATATGGCAAGCAGGTGGGCGTCTCCTTGACGCTTGGTGGTTAATGGGCTTGGTACACAGAGAAACTTTGTGCGTCCAAGTTAATTGCTGCCGCTGAATCCATTATCCCTGAATGAGAATCTACAGAGTCTCCTGTGTGACATCAGAGTATTTGGGGGCTGGGCAGGAGTTGCAGGGACCTCAGGGGCGCTCCTGGAAGCGCAAGCAAAATCCAAACCACTAGTCGTTATAAATAACGCTATTGAGAGTTGAATGGATGCAAATCGAGAACGAGAACATGACATCGCGATGTATGCGGCATAGTCGAGCATCTCTAACTCGAAACGTTGAATCATGCCATACTTGCCCATGGGCTAAGGATGCATCCGATTTTGTATGTACCCCAGTTCCTCCAAGAATCCAGGCACTGGGGAGCGAGTATGTCGGGGTAATGTGCGTGATTTCCTCATTAAACTAGTCATCGATGGTGACGTTTTGCACTGCCTTGGGTCCGGGAGCTCCTGTAGCCAATGCTAGAAAAAAACAGAACTTGGTGTTAGCACGAAGTAGTGGTGAGCGCGCAGTGGTCGTGCTAGTGTAATGCAGCCATCCAACGCACCCGCGGTACTTGATAAGTATTGGGAAGCCAGGCTCATGCGGTCGCATCTCACTGATCCGAAATGAGTAGTCGCTATTCCTTCAGTCGGGTACTTAACACGTTCACTTTTCAACCGAGCCGCTGCCCCCGGATCGCCTGGACGTCCCCATCATTAGATATGAACAGTTGTTTGATCAGTGAGTTGCCAGAGATAGGTTGAACACTGCGTTGCTATTCAACTGCAGAACAAGAGGATCAGGACGGAGGTGAATACAAAAGAGTACTATGCGGCGTGCGAAGATGGCATTCTCAAAGCCGTCCTCATAGCCCTCTGGTCTGCGTGTATGTCCTGTATCATCTGGCGTAGTTCTCTAATTGTATCATCAAAGAGTCTTGGCCCCCCATCGCGGGGCATACGTGGTAGAGCTGACACGTTTGGGTCGAGGACAAGAAGAGGGTTGTGGGTGATGGTCGCAGGTCTCTCATTGCTGTGAATACCCAGTGTTCGTCGCCGCCGACAAACGACTAAGCATACCAGACCAGTGCAAAATAGAAAAGTGACAGCCCCCAACGTGCCGCCAACAACGACAGACGAGGATATTCGAGACCTATTTGTTACATCTGGGGGCGCTGTAGGTTGATCCTCGGGGGATGTCGATAGTGTCCCGGAAGTGTTACCAGCAGTGGTACCCGTAGAGGGCATATTGGTTACTTCGGAGGGAAATGTAGGTTGATTTGGCACAGATGCCGATAGGTTCACGATATTTACGCCGCTACAATAAAATGACAGAGGGTTAAGTAGCCGCAGACATGGGTGTGCTGTCTCAACTCACATCATAGTGTAGACAGCGTAGTCAAACAGGATTAGGACGGAGCGTTTCGTAGAATCCATAATGATGCTGAAGTTGTGGTATGCATTATCCAAGGAGGTGTTGACGTAGACCGGGGTGTTATAGAGATAGTCTGGCGTGCGTTCTGCTTCATGCGTATACTCGCCAACGATGCTTCCGTCCATGGAGAATTTGTAATTCGCGAAGGTATTGAAGGATGGACCGGGCGGCATGTTTACAATAATGCAGTAGACATATATCGATACACCTGTTCGAATTGTATGTTCATGTCGATCAAGTCTCCTTCGGGTAAAATGAAGTATTACTGACCGGTGAAACCGAAATTTACTGTTGTCGTCGGCCCCCCTACAAGATGTGTCGAATCGTGCCAAGTTTTGCCATGTGCCAGCGATGCGTTGGGCCTTGCCAATACCGCCGGAGGTAGGTTCATTCCCCCCTTGTTCCACCTATTGGGAGGCATATACGTTGGGAGAACCTGCGTCATCTCGTCCCCAAATTGGTCGTCGATAGTGACATTTCGTCGGCTTGAAATCTTGGTGGCAGTAGTTTGAGAGCATAGAATCAAAATCCCTAAAATGCGTGATAATAACATGAGTGAAGGGGTAGTGCGGCAGTGACAGTGTCGTATATTAAAGTGGACTCAACCATATCCCGAGTCCGAGAATAGATACCGGAATCGCTTAGGTGGCTTCAGTCCAATCTTGGCCTCGTGTACGACCACTATACCTGAGCTATCACCGCTGCTGCCAGATTTGCAGAGTTCAAGTAGAAGGTTGATGTTATTTGCAGGTCGGATGAGGCTTTCAAGTGTCAGAAATCAAACAACGACAAAGGCTGCACTGAGTCACCCGGTGAAGAGATTGAGCTGGACTTATGTTGACTTGAGGCCCTAGCGACTATCGAGTTGTAGGCAGACCAAACAAGACGGCGAAGTGAAGTAGTAGTTCCTTGACCTTCATCGATGTAGGTAGTTGCACTCGTAGGACTCCGCATAGTTTCGAGTCGATTCCCGTTCTCATAGCGCCCAGACGATGCAATTCTTTCATCAACTTATTTCATGCCGTCTTACTACAATCCGATAAATGAAAAACAAGCTGGAATTGAGCTCACGTTCAAAATACAAGGATTCACGAGGCACAAATCGTTGAACATACGCATTGATATTAATAAGTCCTAATCGTTGAGGACATGACCGAGGATGATTATCAAACTCCATGCTGTAGCCGATATGATAGCGGAGACAGCGAGGGACACATTCACTTCTGCCACGTAAATGGTAATCAGAAGTACAGCATTGGGTGCATACCTTCAGAAGTGAGTTGAGCACTCACGTTGCCTCTGGCCAGAGGAGAGAGCGGGATGCTTACCAAATGAATGATCTTATCAACAAAGACACATTTGCCTGTATCCTCTCTTTTTGCCTTTTTCTTTTCTTCCGGGCGAAGAATCTTAAGACTGGAATGCCATCAGGGCGGCAAACATGCTTTATTTTGGCCAGCATGTTGAGGAATAGCCACTCTTTCTCAAGGAGATCAAGCTCGGCGGTGAGGAGCTTTTCCTCCTTCTCCAACACCGCAATCTTGTCTTCGAAGGCCGAAGAGGAAGGAATTCGGTTGTTGATATCATCACACGACATTCCACGGCCGTCGTTCTTGTCGGGAGACGTAGCATGCGGTAAGCGTAGGGGGCGTACCACCCCATGATTTGAGGAACCTGATGAAAGTTTGTCCAGGCCAATTGGCAACCCGTACGGTTCTAAACTCACGGTCGAAAGGAACCTCACATATCGGACAAGTGAACTGGGGAGGATCCACCGTTGATTGAACGCATCCCGTAGAATGAAAGTGCCCTGTGAACGAAACGTGAGTCGACGAAGTCCGAAGCCATTTGATGCGGAAATCGGTAGCACGTACCACAAGGCAGCGTTATCCACTTCTCAACAAAGTCGTTGCAGGGATCGCAGTCGAGCATCGCCCATGAAGTATGTACGAAAGCTTCAAGAGCTCAAGCCTCGCGATGGAGGCTTGGCGTGGCTGCTTCGGCGACCCGAAGCGCCCATTCGCTCTTTGTTTCAAACCACATCTTGCTTGCAACCTGCCCATATTTTCCACCCTGCCACCCTTAGAGCTGAAGGTTAGGATTCCAAGGACATGGGCTGGGCGAATCAGGAGGTAAACGCAAGAACACACGGTTAAAATTTCGAACATGCCGACGCCTGACGCATCTTGAAATCGCGGTCACATGCGAGGCCATTCCGGGCGCAGGACCCACCCTGTACGCGACTATGCCATCTAGCTTGCGAGCTAGATACGGCGAGCACGGCGAGATTACAAAGTATTGAAAGTCGAAAGCCGGATCCTCAACGATGCCTCTCTTCCGCTCCCGCCATAAAGGTACGCGCGCGCGCTAGCCGGATTGGCACTAGACTGCGTATTATTATTGGAATACCACCACAGCAAGACCCGAGACATGCTTCGCTTGCGCCTCATGCTCTCTAAGGGTGATACACATCACGCTTGAAGTTGCACTCGACTCAGTCGGTGATCCCTATCACTCAAGAGCTCAGCACTTCAAACAGTGAGCTGGGTAATGTTACCATGCTATGGGCGCTTTCTGAGCTGAGCAGACGACTATCTGTGCAGCTGTGTATCTGGAACCATCAACCTACTCATAGCCATGGATCCTAGATTGGGTTAGCGACTTGAAGAAGCGGAGACGTACTCGTTATCGTCATCCCGACTTCGGGCTTCCTGGATGTTAGGCGAGGTATGCACTATATTTTCTCTCAAAAAAATGACGCACTGTCGGCGTGGAACCATACGGAGATGCCATACGCGCACTTTGGTCTACCCCTCACTACGGTCCCGAAGCTGTCGGGACAATGGCAGAATGCCCAGTAGCCCAGTAACCCACTTCGACGCGCTCGTGGTTGACTACGGAGGGTGGGTCAGCTACTTCACTACCTGAATAGCGCGCATCGTACTGTCAGGTACTTAAGCAGCTCAACTGACGGACAGACATCATCCCAGCATCTCTCCAGCATCTCTTCGCATACTTACACCTAACTGCTCTAATTCAGCTCTAAAGCAAAATGAAGTTTCAATCGCTTGCAGCCCATGTCTCTCTCGTCCTCTCGCTCCTGTCCTTGCCTCTTAGTGTCTCTGCTGCACTGTACGGGAAGGCGGCAGACTTACCAAACGTCTCTTATGACTTTATCATTGTTGGCGGTAGGTTTCAGCTGCTTTAATGAACCCTGTATAAACGCTGACAGGTTGTCAGGCGGCGTCGGTGGTAGCGTTCTTGCCAACCGTCTGACGGAAAATCCGTCCGTCAAGGTTCTTGTTCTCGAGGGGGGTTCCTCGTAAGCACAATCTCCCGCTGACCGCATTTTATTCCCTTGCTCACATCTTCCCAGGAACGAGAATGCTTTCGAAACCGAAGTACCCTTCTTCGTAACGCGGATTCCCGCTGAGTACACCTGGAATTATGTACGCCGTCTCCTGCATCCACTCATCATCGAACTCACTGATGTTTCTAGACAACCACACCTCAAGTAGGGATGCACAATGCCGAAATCCCATTCCCTCGGGGGTTCGTACTAGGCGGAAGTAGCTCCATTAGTAAGTCATGTCTGAATTTGCTACGGGGCAACAACATCCTGACAACCTGTAGACGGAATGTTCTATACTCGCGGATCGTCGGACGACTTTGACCGCTACGCAGAGGTCACTGGAGACTCGGGCTGGACATGGAACAATGTTCAGACATACTTCCGACGCGTGAGTATTTCTTCTCCCTTCATTGTTACAAGTGACGTCTAACAGGACGCTGCAGAACGAGAAATGGACAGCCCCAGCTGATGGACACGACACTACAGGCCAATACGATCCGTCAATCCATAGCACTACTGGCGTGACTTCATTCAGTCTTTCTGGCCATCGCCAAGCTCTCGATCCGATGGTTTTTCAAGCCGGCCAGGAACTAGGGGGTATCTTCGACTTTAAGCTTGACTACAATGACGGTCGTCCTCTTGGATTGGGTATGTGCCTATATACACTTTTCTTTCTGAAGTCGGTGTAATGATTTTCAATTGCAGGTTGGCTTCAAGCAGCTATCGATGGCGCGCGTCGAAGCAGTGCAGCAACATCCTACCTCGGCCCGCAATTCATCAATCGACCTAATCTACACGTCCTCGTTGGTGCCAGAGTTTCTCGGATACTGAAAACTGGGTCCGGTTCTGCTTTCCAAACCGTCGAATACACACAAGACGTTGTTAATGGACCCTTAAGCACCATCAGTGCATCGAAGGAAGTTCTCCTCGCTGCGGGTGTCATCGGCACTCCCCAGATCCTCCTCAACTCTGGAATAGGTGACTCGAACTACCTGTCATCAATTGGGATCACACCGCTCGTCAACCTTCCTAGCGTTGGCCGGAATTTGACTGATCAACCAACGACTGGCTGCCTCTGGAGTGTACGAAGCGATGCAGACACGTTTGACCCTGTTTTCCAAGACGAAAACGTGTTGGACAGCGCGATGGCTGAGTGGAACAACGATGGGACCGGCCCCTTGGTTGTAACACCTATCGGACAGGTCGCGTTCTTCCGCTTGAACGAGACCGAGCTCACTGATCTCGGCGTCCCTTCGGGTGTGGACTACGCTGCGGGGCCCAACACGCCGCACCTGGAAATGGCTATCGGTGTATGTCTATGCATGATGCTACAGCTTAGTGACACTTACATCTTAATAACAGAACGGGTTTGTGTCCCCCACCCCACCCCCAGGCAAATGGCTTACCATTTCCACCAACCTTGTTTCTGCAACTTCACGTACGTTTCCTGCCAAATGCTCTCTTCCCAAGGCTCATCTTCTCTCAGGTGGCTCGGTTACACTTGACACAACTGGAGGTCTCAACGCCTTCCGGGCACCTCACATCGACCCGGCATTTTACACCACCGACTGGGATATCAAGGCCATGCGCGAAGCAGTAAAAGCCGCAAAGCGCTTCGTGTCCGCTCCTGTGTTCCAAAACTACGTCGTCGAAGCCTTGGGCTCGCTCGCTACTGCAGACTCAGATGAGGAGATTGAGGAATATATCAGGAGTAACAGTGGAACCACGGCTCACCCCGTTGGAACAGCAAGCATGTCTCCGAGGGGTGCTCAGTGGGGCGTTGTAGACCCCGATTTGAAGATGAAGGGCGGTGTCCAGGGTGTCAGAATTGTAGATGCCTCCGTCTTCGTGAGTGGATCGTCTTGCTCAAATATTTCGACTCTGACTGTTGAGTGGCAGCCTTACAATCCTAGCATGCACACGATGGCACCAACTTATGTTATTGCTGAACGTGGCGCCGATCTTATCAAAAACAGTTGGAACTTGTGAACCATTTCACCTTCTATTTGCGCAAGAATTAATATTCTGGGACATTGACTTATAACCATATCTACAATATTTAACAAACATAATATTAGTGCACATAGTACTTTTGTATAAGTAACGGTTGCAATGTATATATCAGTGCTTTAGATCAGTAATTCCTTTTTCCCTTCATGTTTCGCGATCTGTCCACCCATCGTTTTCCGGCGACGTTATTTTTAGCGTAAGCGCCAGAGGCTTCAACAACTACTAGTCCACTGCAACTCGCAAATGTCATGCATTTCCGAAATCCTTACAAGGAACCCCCAGATTTCGCTATTCTGGCCGAATGCTATCCAAAATTGCGCAAATAGTCAGGATCCATAGCAGTTGCGCTATATCTATCTCTGATTCGCGGCTGCAGCCTCATACCTGGACACGATGGGCACACCACTATTAATTTCTGGAACAACGATGCACAAAGGTGATTCACACATGTGTTGTAGGTAGGTATGCCTAACCATGATGATACAGGGCTTTGACTGAGGCTCTGATGCTTCGAGATTTCTCGATAAGGCTCACGCTTCCTGCCGAGAGACTATGCCCACCGGTACGCACAGCAAAGGTAATGAGGGCGAGCATATTGACCAGCGAGGGTACAGGTTCCTAATAGGTGCGATCTTAGGCCGCGTTGCAGAATATTCGCACCGTTGACCTGATCCCCAGGTTGAATTACATTTTATGGCTGCAAGACATCGTACGGCATTCTCCAGCAACATTAGACGGCACTGTACGAGGACTAGATGTGTGCGTTCGCTTGTATCGTGTCGCTCTCTAGCGACTGATTGACCGTCTTCCAGCGGCACCGGAGCGTCCGCTATATACCCTCTTCTTGGGTGCAAACTCGAGTCGAAGTGGACATTCATCGCCACAGGTGCTGTCAGGACAGTTGATGCACTTTACACTTCTGCCTAAATGACGTTGATGTTTATTTAGATATTGATAAAACATCTTACGAGAGTGCATTACTCAATGTCGCTCGTAACGACCTCCAAGAACGCATCAAAGTGCAGCTATCCGATGCTGACGCTCCATTATTCAAGCTACTGGCCGTCGAAGACTCTTCTACTGTGTTAGATCCTTCCATGTGTGAAACCAGGTGCAAGTAATAACAATGCGGATGCATAGATTCTCATTCACTATGTGCAATCCGCCATTTTACGCCACTGCCGAAGAGGTCTCGCGGTCCACTGAAATGAAGCACCTCCCTCCAAACGCCGTTCGTAGCATGATGTTCGCACAAATCCCACTTCTGATAACGTCTCTACCTAGGTGTGCACTGGAGCTGATGTTGAGATGATAACCGATGGGGGAGAGGCGCGTTTCGTACGACTGATGGTAGAAGAAAGTTTACAGCACCCTCTGCGCTGCCGGTATAAAGGATTTTTTCTTCGAGAGTCGCAGCCTAACAGATCTGAAATAGGTGGTATACATCCATGCTGGGGAAGTTGAGCTCCCTCATGGAGGTAGTCGACGATCTGAAAAGTAATGATGTAAGCAACATGCTGATCGCGTTTGAAGGCCACTGATGCCCTAGGTAGGTGGACAACTACGCCATTACTGAATTTACACAAGGACAGACGCGTCGGTGGGCCGTCGGGTGGTCGTTTTACCGCGATCGCTTGCCTGACGTATGTTACTCGTTATCGTCCCATTCTCACCTAACCTGCCTTGTAGTGGATCGCACGTATTGGGAATCCCAATCCGACGATACAAGGATTATTGCCAGGGAGAAACACCGTTATCCAACCGCTCAAAAGCAAGACATACTGTGACCCACGGGTTCTAATGGGAGTAATCAACGAAATCAAAGACGCTTCAGTCCAGCAAAAGCAAACCGCCGAATGGGATGATAGTGACGCTCCTTTGAAGTTGATAGTTGAAGTGACGGGCGATACTTGGTCCCGGAAAGCACGACGAGCAAACAAATCATCACAAACGAAATTCAACGCCGAGATGGAGAAATGGGAGAAGGGGATAGCAGTGTCTGTTTTTTCAGTGGAATGGAAAAATGATGGCGGAAGTTTGTTGGTGTTCCAATGGATACGAGGCGAGGATAGAGCGCTGTTTATGAGTTTCTCTAGCTATGTGACAAGAAAGGTGCAAGATATAATATAGAGTTAGAGAATGAGTGAATAATAACATATCGGAAACAAGGAAAACGTTCAGAGGTACATCGTACTGTATGCAAAAGCAGGGGATTGATCAAAATAGAAAGCATTAACGATGGTTATGAGACTGGCTCGACTTTGAGACATTTCCACCGCAAAATCGGTATTTTCAACACCTCGATAGCTTCGGCATCAAGGACTGTGATACCCTCGGCAGTGAAGTGAAGCATAGCTTCACTCAACCCGCTGTACAAAGTAGCGGTTGTTGGTTTATCCTGAGGGTTTAGCTTTGCTGTAACGTATGCGCCAAGCTCTACAGCTGGCTCAGTGGCATCGGCGACGGGAGACGGTTCTGGAGCATGCTCATCAATGGGTGGTTGTGGAGGTGCGGATGACGCTCTTGATGACGGTGATATAGCAGGCAGTGGGCTGGAAGCTGGGTCGCTAGGCGCTGATGGGGCTTCGGGGGTGGGGGTAGCAAGGTCTTCATTTTGAGCGGTTGCAGAGGTACCATTCTTGGGAGTTGAACCTCCTGGATGTGGGTCTCGAACCGGATGATTACTTTGTGGGCCTTCAATATTCATGAGGTTAACACTGTACGTCCGAACGAACGACTGCTCATCCGACGATGACGGCGTCACCGAGGATAGAGTATATGTCTTGCTTCCAGTTTCGAGCAACACACATAGAGGCTGATAAGTGGGGGTAAGAGAGGTAGAGGGTTGGGGACTGTCATCAACATCCATAGGGGTAGCCTCTCGCCCACTACTGGGATCGTCAACTTTGCGGCGCTTCCTTGGACGAGACGCGTAGCTGCGATCTGACTGGGGGAAGAGAACCCTTTTGAGTCCTGCAGGATCGTATTTGAACCTAATACATTGTACATTAGAGGGAAGTTCATAAATAACTGAGGCAGATACTCACCCAGCTTGGATTTCCCCTCCTGCTGCGAAGTCGAATAACACAGTCCTGGCGTTCATCTCAATCTCTTCTTCACACTCACTATCATGGTAAGCATCCTCTGACGTCGCTTTTATCTGCACATCCCCAAGGCCAGTGGCATCTTCTTCAGCAATCGGATCCAATACTGTGGCATTGGGCAAGCGCCTGGAACTGTATGGCTCTGTTTCAAGTCCTTCTTCCCAACTGCGACGGCGCTTACGCCCTAGTACGCAGGAGGAACTGCCTGAACAAAGTGGCTGACCGAGGCCAAGGACAGCATTTCTCCGTTCAGCATATTCAAAGAGTCGTTGGGCACGATTGCGGCGACCCAGACCGGGCGCTAAGCGACCTGTTGACTTCTGCAGAGTAAAGATGAGCAAGAGAGAGTATAAGTTGCAAATCAGACGCACTGTGGTAAACTCAGCCTTGATGATTTCTATAGCACTGCCGTCATGTCCACTTCCCCATCCAGAGCTCTGCAAACTTCTACCGTCGTCTTCCTTGTTATCGGCATCATCGACGTCCATACCATCTTCGTCCACAGTATCATCGTCCCTAGATTCGCCGCTAACTATCCGTCTCCGTCCTTGATCGTCTCCTCTCAACTCTTTGAATGCAGCGCCAATTCCGCCAATAAACCTGCCCACAACTTCTTCCCTCGAGATATCGCGATTCTTAGCGTTGCTAGGAAGTGATGTTGCGTCGGCCGAGTCAACCCCTTTCTTTGTCGTGTCGGGCATTGCAGAAGCTACTCGCGACCTCGCCGTATCGACATTGTATTCAACTCGTTCCCTCTCACCGACAGACTTGATTATCCGGACCTCGACCTTCAAATCACGACCTTCTTTCCTTGCTGCGGCACCACCGCTCCACGTAACCCAGCCGCTGTGCAAGGCGCATAAGAAAAGATTTGAATCATCCGTGTATATCCGCCTGGTTCCACCTAAGAGCACGCCCCCGCCCCAGATCTTAGGTCGAGATGGGCGTTCGAGGGGTATGAATCCATGTGGAATGATGATCGTTGCATGGATGTCGACGTCGAGGAGGTCCTTGTCATCAGCCGCCTCCGTCTCGGTAGCTTCATCTTTGACGTCAGTTTCCTCAGGCTTCTCTGTAGACTTGTCTCTTGCTTCGATGTTGCGAGGCTTGATTTGACTGCCAAATTCCAGGTCCCCATTCTCCCAGAATGAATAAGGGAAAGGCGTCTTCGGATATACGAATGTCCCGAGGTGAATGCTCGTTCTCGCCTTGACTTCTATTTCTGGCCATGTTGGGAGACTCTCGCGAGCAAGTCTGCCACCTAATCCTGCAGCCAGAGAAGGTCCATGCATTGACGACCCATAGCCATAGTCTGAGGAGCCTCTCGGCAACATTGGCGGCGGTGCATAGCCGTTCCAAACTGGTTGAGGCCCTTCCTCGCCGCCCATCATTCCCGTTCCACCAAAGCCTTCTCTACCCATGGGCGATTCGTTTCCCTTCGCCAAGACTCTATCTAGAAGTTGTCGTTGTCCCTTCCCACTCGGCGCCGTCGCGCCAGGTGCAGTTGTTGGCTTAGAGCCTGGGAAAGGACCGGAGGGAGCGCCGGGAAAGACATTGGCTGTGGCGGGGGGGCGTAGACCGCTATCCCCGCCACTGCGTCGCTTCTCTCGGTCACGATCTCGGCTGAGCGCGTCTGCTTGTCTATCCTTGGTGTCGCGAAGTCCATCTTTCTCCTTCTCACTGGCTCCTTCCCTGGGTCCGTCCCTCTCATGTTCCCGATCGCCCTTCTTCACCTGGTCCATCACAGACCCAGGCACGGGACTTGACATCCTTGAGCCGCCATTGGGCCCAGATGTAACGAACGACGTGTGAAATTGCGATTGAAACTGTCGCTGAGCCCCTGGTCCTCCACCGAGCGTTGAATCACCCCGGCCACCAGAAGGCAGCGGGCCGTTGATATCCTTCCCAAGAGCAAAATGTGTGATGTCAGGGCGAGAGCGTTCCACTACTTCCCTTTCCCTTCGATCCCGCTCGCGGTCCATCGCCTCTCGTTCTCTCTGGTTTCTCTCTATGTCCCCCTCGAGCTCGAAGTTCATCCTCCCTCGGTCTCGTTCTCTGTCGCGGTCGCCTCGATTCCCACCAATAATGACAATTCCTCGCTCCGGGGGGCGGGACCCTTTAATATTGTCGCGTCCATCGACCAAGAGATCACGGCCTGTTGCACCAATACCATCTCGAATGCCATCCCTTCCACCAGGCGTGCCTGATCCAGATCCCGACCCGAGGGCTTGAGAGTGGTGCGGATGGTGAAGGTGATGGTGGTGAATTCCTTGCATGCTTCCCCCTGGCCCGCCAACGGGCTCACCAATGGTCCCGGGAGGTGGTCCGGAATGCATACCAACACCGGGACCCCCCAACGTAGGCGGTGTAAGCGAGTGACCATACCCTACACCCGGGCCGACCATCGCAGGAGCTGGAGGACCAGGGGGAGGAACACCTGGTCCAGATATTCCCGGCCCTACGCCGCCTGGTCCTGTAAGGATGGGTGGGGCCCCGCCTGATGTCATGTTAGACTGATGTGAATTGAACTGAAGAGGGCCTGAAGAATTTGATTGTTGGGAGTTTGGATTTGGCGGCAGAGAGGATAGAGGACCGTTTGTAGGGAGACCGTTCGGCGGAATACCAGGACCAATAGTTGCTCTGACGTGGTATAATCAGTAACTTACATTACCACAACTAATATGAAGCTAGACTCACCCAACATGATGTCCAGGTGACTGCCCCAACAATGGTGGACTCTGCTGACTCTGTTGGTGCTGGCTATACGGGCTTGATATTTGGTGAGGGTGGGTCGGAGAACCCTGATGGCTTGGAGGGTGAGATGTGTGCTGCTGCTGTTGAGGTGGGAAGTTCTGGGGAAGTGGCGGCTGGGTGCGTGGGAGTTGAATTTGGTGAACCTGGGTAATTGGAGTAGAGTGGGCATGGGAATGGGGGTAATTATGTGAGGGGTGATGCAGAGATCCGCCGCTATGAGACTGGGAGTGGGAGTGTAAGGAATTCGGAGGTGGATGATAATGTTGATGCGGTTGCGGAGGAAGCGAATGTGAGGAGTACGGGTGGTGGTGAGGCGGATGGGAATGTGAGTGAGGTTGATGAGGTAGATGTTGGTGGTGCTGGCCTTGTGGGGGAGCCGGCGGCTGATGAGCATGGTAGTCCCGATCGCGTTCACGGTCCTCGCGATAGGCTCTTTCCCTGTCTCGATCCCAGAGGTCCCGCTCCCTTTCGCGTTCGCGCTCCCTCTCACGCATGTCTCTTTCTCTTTCTCGGTCACGTTCACGATTTCTGTCGCGTTCGCGTTGATCTCGTTCGCGGTCACGGTCACGGTAATCTCTGTCTGCCGTTGAAACATTGGGTTTCAACACCAGCAATTCCGTTTGCTGCGGTCCACTTGCTTGGGTCTAAGAGAACAGAATGCCATTAGATCGGAACCGAGGTCGGAAATTATAGCATCGGGCAAAGAACGGGTCTAACTTACGGACTGCTGCTCCTGCTGCTTCCTGTTCGACGCAGCAGCGCGGATAATTTCCATATCCTCTCTGTCCCGTTGTGCTCTCATTTCCCTGTCCCTCTTCTCCCGCTCCCGCTCGCGTTCCCTCTCTCTCTCCCACTCACGCTCGCGCAACTCCCTGTCCCTGTCTCTATAATCTCTTTCGCGAAAGTCTCGCATGTCTCGGTCTCGGAATTCTCGGTCTCTTTCCCTGAAGTCTCTCTCTCTCAGCGCGCCAGGGCCAAGGGGTTCTTCCATCATATCTCTGCGTCCGCTCAAGCTCTCGTCGCTCTTCGAGGGACTTGGGGCGAGTAACGGTGCATGTACGGGCCCGCTTTGCTGTAAGCTGGCCATCGGTGGTGTACGTGGCTTCGACCCAACACCCGGACCAATACCACTACCAGGGCTCGTCCCAGGACCCGAAGTGCCAGGCCTGACACCAGGTCCAACAATAGCTGCTTGAGGTGGTGCCGTGTTCACTCTCCCGGGGTGGCCAACGGGGTTAGATATATGAGACAACGAGCCGCGTCGGGACCGTGACTGCCCTGAATGCGGGGGCTGAGACGCATTTAGCAGATGCGGTGAGTTATGGGGAAGGGATTGGTGAGGTGGTGGTGGTGGAGGAAGAGGCTGAAGATGATGGGACTGAGATTGGGATTGCGACGGAGCGGAGGACGAATGTGGTGGGGGAGGATTCATGATGCCGGAGGACTTGAGGCTGCCGAGCGGTGGTGCCGGTTCTGTGAACGATCCGTGCCGCGACCGAGACCGCCCAGTGTCTGCGCGCGCAAAGTGAGTTCGCGGTGAAAAATATACGAGGAAGAGTGGCAACAACTCGGCATCGTGACATTGAGGAAGCGAAAGACTTACCTGCCAGTTTTCTTCTGTCTGCGCGGTCCCTCTCGCGATCCCTTTCCCTCTCTCTCTCCCGGTCGCGATCCCAGTGCTGGCTTGAGCTCGAGTCCATGATCGGTTGCGGATGAGGAGTGCCTTTCAACATTCCCACGCCCATTGTCGAAACGTGCGTGGGAAAGGGCGTCTCTCCATAACCGCGTGATGTCGTGTGAGCAGAAGCAGGCTGGGTGCCGTGATGAGGGGACGCAACCGAAGTGGCTAGTGCCCCCTGCCCCATCGCCGACGTTGGAGGAGGCCCCGAAGGATGATGAGGAACCGAAAAATGGTTCTGAATTCCGGACGTTGATGACGAAGTGAGAGGCACAGGGTCCAAGGGGCGAAGAGACGCCATGGCAGGGGACTGTGCTTGTGAATGACCATGAGGATGGGCGGGGGGTGGAAGATGGCTCGAGGCTACCGCCGCATGGGTGTGCGTCGGGGTGGTGTTGCCGCTGCTCGACATGCGGGCGGGCCCGGTAGGAGGTGGGGGATGGTACATCGGAGAAGGGTCGGATAGAGAGTAGGGTGCAGGAATGTTTGGCATCGGGCGCGCAGACAGTGGCGAGGGCGGGATGGGAGCCTGCGCAGCAGGCTGCATATGCATCGGAATCGGCGACGGGTAAAGTGGCGTGCTTGCTCGATATGTGCTTACCCCATCCCCTCCCTGCCCTCTTCCTTGTTGTTGCTGCTGCTGCTGTTGCTGTTGCCCCTGCACCCTCGAGGACCTGCTATCGAGTTCTGAAATCGACTGAGCTGGCGGCGCATTCCTTCTGCGCTGCTCGTCGGAGGGCGAGTCGAGGAGAAGTGCGACGTTCATGATGATGAATGATGCGAATCAGTCCAGGAGAAGAGAAAAAGGTTGTCAACCGTGTCACACAAACGGCAATCCACAGCCACGAGACAAATACCCTGACTCCGTAGATCTCACGATCGAGATCACTCTGTATTATGTCAACGCCGCGCGCTAATCCGCTTTCGGGTTTGTGCCTCGATCGCTCTTCTCCGCGATCACCGTCGCTGCACTGATTAGATAAGGAAACATCGCATTTGCCTCCGCTATCTTGAAAGCGAAGGCCGAACTCAGGCGAACGATGCGCAGCATAGATGACAACCTTATAGACCATTTGCCGAAGCAAATGCCTTGGACACTGGGAATTCGTGCTTATCTACGTGAAGGCCAGCACGTTCGACGCGGAACGAGATCAGGGATCATTCTAATTCGAAGAACTTCGAGGCGAAGAGTGTCACGGGGGTATGGAGGTGTACGTATGATAGAAAATAGGTATCGTGCAAAGGAAGAAGTAGAAAAAGAATAGAGAACTTCCATAGTAAACAGCACAAAGCATGCAATCCGGCCACCTAGAAGTGACTCGCGCAGTGGCAGGGATAGTAATACATGGTGCGTCAAGCACAGTCGTCGAGGCTGGCAAACTCCAAACGTTGATAAACCGTATGGCAAACCCACCAAGTCTTGAGGCCATGACCGAAGGCCCACGCCAACAATCGGTGCGTAAGCGATGTCAAAAAGAACCAACCGATGAAGTATAGCGGTAAACAAACGCAGGTTGTTATGATAGGTCGAGCAAGATACGCGGCCCCAACCACATGTAGAGCCGAATTCATAAGTACCCTATATGCCATGTTCATCGTCAGCCACACCACCATGTATCCAGACAAGGGCTCACTCACATCCCCCCCAACTCAGCCAAAAATAGGTGCAAGTCCGTAAGCTCTTGTTTGAGTTGCTTCTCCCTCACGGCAGAAAGCGCGTTCGCCAACAAGGCCTCGCGCAACTGTACGTTGCAAGTGGTCTCGTTGACTTGTAGTTTGGATAGTTCATCCTGCAACTCAATGATATGCCGGGTGTTGTGGTCCATGAGATCTTCATACACGCGTATAGTTGTGGCTTTTGTGTATGGTGCATACGGCTCGGGGTCGTCGATGGGAAGATATAACCTACGAACTAGCGAGGGGTCATCTGCAGCGCGGTGAAGAGAATTCAGTGCTATGCAGAACACCGTGTCCGAGGGTATCGACTTACCGTGGAATAAGGTCTGGCAAACGGGACAGGGAAAATGTCCTGTGGCTGAGGCCCTGGCTACGCGATGGTCCGCCAAGCAGTCTTTACAAAAGATATGTCCTGGAAGGGTAATATAAGTTAGGTAACTGTATGTGGTAAAGAAGTGAAGGAGTAATTACCGCAAGGGATCGCAACGGGTTGGGTCAGACCATCCCAGCAGATAATGCATTCCATTGACATTGACGATGAGCTCAAGACTCAAGTAGGAGTGTGATGAACGGAGAAGAGGTAGTGCCACAGTCGCAGACATTGGAGACGCAGCCAACTTATATGAGTCGTTCGGCCCCTTGGCCTCCTTTGTTGGCTATATATGATAGCACAAAGGGCATCCCCCAAGCACCACTACCTTACACCGCAGAGGGATTGTCTGATTACTAATCGCGCGAGGGCATGCCATAAGGACGCGACTGGGTCAACAGTTGAGTTTAGACAATACGAAGGGCAGAATCAGCACTACAGGGAGCCAAAGCCTCCACGTGTAAGCCACGAAAACCCTGCAACTTATATGAGTCTCATAATCGAGACAATTCATGAAAGGGGACATCACCTAGTCATTTCGATGATTACAGCCTGCGCAGGCTGCAATACCCACTGCCATCCCCTCGGCGTCGCTGAGCTGTATCCAAGCCGCTTGCGTACCTCTTCGCTTTCTTCCTTCAGATTCCGGAGAACGACCAGACGCCTCGCGATAGACGCCTTGCATTCTTCGAGCCCTTTCTTCCTCGCCTCAATTCGCGCGAGGTCAGCGAAGATCGGGCTGTCGCTCGTAGGGGGACCGAGATCTTCGTCTTCGACAAAGGAGAGAGGGTTGTATTTCAGGCGGGGTGGGAGGTGGTCGACGCGGTCTAAGTCTGCTGTACATTCGAGATTCCGGAGGGCGGGGTAATGTCGAGTGTCTGGAAATATGTAGTACGGTCAGGGATCGAAACATAGTATACCGTAGGTTTCTATTGAGCGCACCAGGGAAAACGGTGCGGCACGCCGGACAGAACACTTCGTCGGTGAAAGGGGGGACCCCATGCTCCTTCACCAAATCTGCGCATGTGCTACAGAATACATGTCCTTTTGACAGACGTATAAGCGAATTCACACAATAAAACATACAATGTTGACTCACCACAAGGGAAGGAAATTGAACCCGGCACCAGGGAATGAAGGCAAAGAATACAATCGAGAGGCATTCAAGGTGCGCTACAACTCCAGCGTACACAACAAATAGTCAAAGGGAGAACATGATGCACCGCTCGTAAGGGAGGTTCGGGGGCAATGGTCATACCGGGCTGCGGGCGCTTCATGGAAGTTACAAAGAACATGAAGCGGCGAAGTATAGCATTCAACAGCGATTTCTATGTAACTTGCAAAAACACACTAAATATTGCTATATCTTACTCCCCCCAGGGAAGAAACGTACACCTTCACCATCAGCAATGGCGATTATCTGCGCTCTGCCCGACTTGCTCAAGACATCAATGGCCTTACGAAGGATGACAATGGGCAGGGAAGATAACGGAGACTCTACTGGGGGGTCAGTGATCTCGTAGAACGTCATAATGGTGTTCATTTGGCCCGTCGATGCGACCTAGGTACGATCAGGCTATAAGGGATCAAGAAATGTAAGTTACATACCCATGAATGGAGTACATCTGCCCATTCTTCCGGACGTCGCCAATAAAGGAGTACCGAGCGCGTTTGCTTTGGCGGCTCGTATACAGCGAGGTTGTTGGTGACCATAGAAGATATCAGAGATGCTAGATGATCTGGTAGAAGCCGCCCTACGGTACGGGTTGGTCATGCGAGCAGATATCTCCCTTGAGTTGACGCTTACGGTTGATCCTCTCATTTCGAAAGATCTCATCCCAGTCGTTCCCAGAGGTCTCCGCATCTTCTACACGCAGGGTGAATAACCTTCGATGTCTAGCGTATCCAAGTATAATCCGTGCCCAGTGGTCATCAGCGATTGACCGAGTGGTAGGATTGATCTGTTTGCTAATTGTTCGAGTTAGCAAACGAGGCCCGAAGCAACGACCTGGCTTACGTGAAGAATGGGGGAGCCGAGTGGATAGACGGTAAGAGATAGCCTGCCGGAACATCAGTGGAACTTGCAGTTGATGAGGGGAACTGCACTGACCTGAGGGCGTCGTGTGTGCTGCAACAGACATAATTCCTCGGTTGTAGAGGTAAAACCAAGTCCAGATGAATCCAAAGGAGGATTGGTGAGTGACAGTCAATTTCAGGAACTCCTAGCAGTAAGGTCCCTCAGATAAGTGGTGCGTTATCATTAGATCCACGTGACAGTCGCGTCGCGTCCCCGCCCTGAGTCACTGTGCCACGCGACGCGGCAATCTTTCTTCAGGTCTTCTCTCGCTCTGTACCGCCTACACTATGGCCTACGCACACTGCGGTATCTGCATTTCACATCATGCCTTAGATGCCTTTCGATTTCTGCCTTGTGGTGAGTACATGGTACATGATCCTAAATAGCGTTTTCACCGGCACCTTCAAGGACATGGATATTGTAACACATGTATGCGTCAATTGACGGCCCCAGGAATACCACGAATATGTCCTATATGTCGAAAGAAGTTTAGAAGTGGGCAGGAACTCAAGATCCACGTCGAGCTATCCGACCCCAGCGACGCAGCTTCATCCATCGTGGTTGACCAGATCAACGCGCTTACCAAGGATTCCTCTCCGGAAGCCGCCCAGAAGACAACCCAAGAGCTTGAAAAGATGGTTTTCTATCAGGCGGAGGAGCTAGACGAGGAAAAGGCTGTACGTGTGCCCGCCGTTAAGATGCTGCTGCCGTCTGACACCTCGTGAAGGAGACTATTGTGCAAGCTATCAATAGCTTGAAAGAGCGCATTGTCCCCGTGTTCTCACTCTGTCAAACATACAAGCAACGCATTGGGGCCCTCAAAGTCGACTTATCGAGAACAGCGCGAGAAAAGCACAGATTAATAGACGAGCTGAAAGAGGTCGAGAAACTCAGGCAGAACCTCGAGACGGCGCAGGCCAACTGGCGAAAGGTGTATGACAAGCTCAAGGCCGAGGAAAAGATTGCCGCCGACGCTATGAAGTTAGTAGAGGAGGCAAACAATAAAGTGAGTGACTTGACGGCAGAGAGGGCGGGGTTGCGGACTCGGATAGAAGAGGCTGAGGCTAGGAATAAGATGCTGGAGAGATTGCTTGAAAGGCATGTACATGATGTGAGATTCCGACTTACATGTCTCAGCGTCTTCTAATGATTTCTACAGTCTCAGAAGAAGGCGGATAAGATCAACGGACTCAAGCAAGAGAATATGGTGTTAAAGGCAGCACAGGACAAACGACATTCGTCGCCGATACCAGAGGAAGATGGAGGATGGTCGCAGTACGATTCTCATCCCCACATCATGAATCCCTCTTCGACACCCATTCGAAGAACTACACGGAGTAACGCCCCGCAAACGCCCATGTCACCTGCCGATCCACTAGACTTTCTTGAGGGGCTGCCGCGCCCAGGATTTAGGTCTGAATGGAACCTTCCTAACCCCAATCCCAATCCTCGGGGCGTAAAAAGGAAGTCGGATGGTTTGGTTTTGGATCGTCGCGGGCACCCGTTGGCGGCGGTCCAGCTTGGGCCAAAAAAAGGTGTAAGGATTCATATGAAGTAGATTCCATTGATGCATGTATCTTGTGTTGTATTTCTAGGATGTAGTGATAGCTGTTTCTCTCGATTTCTCTTCGTCCGAGCCTCCTAAGTTGGTCACACGTGATGTGACCGGTCGCGTCCCATCACAGCCGCCTGAAGGTATCTTTTCATTCTCGACAGCCACAATCTTGAATCCCCCGCCTGGCCGACAATGAACTGTAGTATATGCCTCGGAATTTTGAAGGAGCCGGTCTCCATTCCGTGTGGTACGTGAGCTGTGTAGCGTGGGTTGGCGAATATTCATTTGGTACCGGATACAGGGCACATCTACTGCTCCATCTGTATCGCAAACTACGTTAACTCCGCGTCCGACGATGAAGAGGAGGTTATGCCCATGTCGACGTGCCCCACCTGTCGTTCTCCATTTACTCTCTGTAAGCATCTTCGCCACTTTCAGGGGGGACGTACTTTGAAGCCGCGTCCGCGTAGTCACCCCAGATCTTTCACTTTTGTCGAGGAAATATCGACCATACGTCCTCCCAGGAATTAGGCGCATCTACCTCGATAATACGCCCCACCAAGAACTACAAAGGAAACTCAGAGAAGCCGAGAAACGGATAAAAGCACTAGAGAACACCAAGCAAGATTTACTTCGGGAGTGCGAACGACATATGGCAGTCTCAAACGCGCACGCGGAAGGGGAACACCAGGCGCGCATGGATCTGAGCGCGGCTCAAGAGGAGTCGATCGAGTTCCAGGAGGCCGCCCAACAATGGGAAGCGGAAGCAGACAATTTAAGGGAAGACCTAGTTGCGGTCACTAAGGAAAGGGATATCCTGCGGAAGAAGTATGAGCGAGGGCGGGCAATGGCAGATCAGCGACAAGCAGAGGCAGAAAGGCGTGAATCTGAGCTGGTCAAGATGATCCAGGATATGTCAGTCCAGTGAGTGGCTTGGCTTAGTGGTGTGCCGATTGACAGCGTGCTAATTATGGCTTGGTCGTGCAGATGTAAAGGGCTTGCTATGCAGGCCGCCTTGAAGGGGTCAAATTCTCCAACTGAGCCCAAGCGCAAGCGCAAAATACTGGTGGCGGATGGCGCGTCAAGTGATGTGTCGTCCTATTCGCGTGGTGCATCACCCCGCCGTGTTTCGTATCCGAGTGACGATCCATCGGTTCGACCCGCGAAGCGAGCTAAGAAGCCTCTTCCCCGTCGTAGTGTTGGATCAGCCGAACCATCGTGGCCATGTTCTGAAGATGATGACGACCCACCACCATCATTTCGAGGAAGAGGAATTAAAGCAGAAGATAACTACTAAGGCTCACATTGGCCCAATCTTGCAGATGTACGTCGCTAGAACTATTGTACAACTTCGACCTATTCTATACTCATATAAAAATGAAACTGACCGTTCCTCCCGAATCTGCTTTATCTTCTCTTCTGGAGATTTCCTTATCTTTCAGAACATTTGTCACGCTCACCTTTTTTAGCAACGGCTTTCTCCAAACCTGAACCAACTCTCGTTAAGTATAACCTTGCCCTCGCTTCCCATGACCGCTCCCGTTATCAGTGGCAAAAGTCTAATCTGCTGACGTCCATACATAGGTACTATCAATGGCCATCGGTCCGCATGCTCGCGCCGAGTATTACCTCCGCAACGATACCGTATTAGCCCCACCCTCATACACGTCTCGACTTCTGCCAGGATCCACTAATCTATGGAATGGACGCCGTAAACTGATAATGAGCCTAGCTTTCTGATTTGCTAGAAAGCTGAGTTCCGGGTCAATTGACCTCGAGCCAGCCTCATGGTCGATTGTGAATGAGGAAAGAAGGTTGTTCAAAGCCTGCGTCCGCATGCCGTGTTGAAGTATTTCATCGTTGCAGCTGTGTTATGGATCGTCTTTCTCAATCCCACTGCCCTCCCCCCTCTAGGCGTCCTTTCGAGTGTTATTCCTGTTATTCCCCTCCTCTATCGTTCCCCCTGCTCTGTTGCCTGTCACCTTCGCCGGAACAATCCACCACTCTTCCTCAGGGAATTCAAGGATAGCCCCTGCGGGCTCAAATATCCGCCAGCCTCATTACCACTCGAGTCCATTCCAGTTGGCGCGAGCAAGGATGTCTTTCAGCTGCGTCATTTGTCTAGATGTTCTGATGAGCCCAGTTTCTTTGCCTTGTGGTGAGTTATGCTTCAGTCTAGCTTTGTCGCGCACGGATTCTGACTACAATTTATGGTAAAGGTCATATCTTCTGCGAAGAATGCATGAAATTGCACATGGACCATAGCAAGACCATTTCAACGGGTTGCGTGGGTTGCCCTACTTGCCGCACTGTATTCACAGGTATGTTGTGGCCCTTGGTCGGGCTGCGCCCGAGCTGACCCGGTTCACGGTTTGGCGTCTTTAGTGACTATGGAAGAACTCAACAATAATAGAACCCCGCCCATGTTCCCATTTCCTACAATCAGAAGACTCTACCTCCCTTCTGGATCTCCTACAACCATAAACACTCGCTCTTCGTCCGCAAAGTCCCAGATGGTCCCCTCTCCCTCATCTGCTTCCCATGAATCCGAAGGCTATCTATCTCTCCTCTCCCGTGTCTCGCGTTTAGAGACGAAAATAGCTGAGCTTAGACGGGAGAAGGCGAAGCTCACGGTCGAATCCGAGCAACGGATGCGAGTCCTGCAGAACGTCCTTGCAGATCGTGCAAGTCTGAGAAGCGAAAATGATCGGATTAAGAAGGATGCGTGGGCATGGAGAAACAAGTATGAGATGCTGAGTTCACGGGTGCGACAGGGAATCATTTGGTTGGTGCCGCTTGATCGTACCGATGGCATGGAATTGGGGTGTTGACGCGTTTAGCAGGGCCAAAGAATCCGAATCGCATACCGCCGACGTGAGGAACAAGCGAACTATCTCAACTACAACACGACCCAACGCGTTTCGCCCCCAACCACAACAGATGGGATCTACTCGTGCAGGCATGAGACTACTTGCGTGGTGGGGTATCAGTGCAAAGTAGACCCTATATGGTGAATGTCTGGAACATGACTAGCGCTCTGTAACCTGTATTTACTTATGATACCTCCCATGTATTATGTATTCCGCTGGCGAATTAACCCGAAGTCTTCCTACTTGTATTCCTTGGTATGATGGTAGTGCGCTGTGAACACTTCTTCATACGACACAGAAGAAACCTGGACCACGAAAAAGCTACTTGCGTATGCAGCTCACTAACTCTAACCATCGTCGTCTCTTCAAGATATTGTCTCGCGATTTCGAGGGGAGTATTAACGAAGTACCCCCTGACTGCATTCAGCGCTTGCCATCAAAGGAACTAAGATAAGAGGCTGGTTTTCGAGCCTAGAATTAAGACGACGCCCAGTACCTACGAACCTCCTCAACCTGCCCACGACCTGAGATCCCGGCGTGATATGCATAGCGACATTTCGAGGCTCCCACCAGAAGTTTTTGCAACAATCTTCCGATTCGTACAATTCACACCTACAAAAGGGAATTTGCCTGGATGAATGTTGGTAGGGTATGCCGACACTGGCGGGACCTCATGCCTGCCTCGTCTCCGTTATGGGTTTCCATCGGTATTTCTCAACCGGATAGTCCTCTAGAGTTCCTCGACCGATCAAAGTCTGCGCCCTTGCAATATCATGCAGAAGATACCCAGCGACCTCGAGCAATTCAAGAAAGTTGCCGAGGCGGTTGTAGAACAAGATAGCGACAGGGCAGGGAGATGTCCTTCTCCAATTCCTAAGACTGAATGGCGACATGAATGCACCTGTGATAGAGGATCTTCGAATATTTGTTGCAGGCCGTCCTCCTCGCCCGCACTTCCCAATATCCTGCACAGAAACATGACCTCTCTTGGTCATCTCGAGCTTGTCGATATCCCTATCTCTGCAGAGCTTTCTCTTTTGCCTCGCCTAACGTACCTTAAGCTTTGGGCCGCCGCCACTGCTTCGTTACTGCTTGTCTCTAAACAACACTCTTCGAAATTGGAAGAACTTGATGTTTCTGGCGTTGTCAAGGACGAGTCACCTATACTACGTGTCGAGCTCCCCAATCTCTCGCGTATATCCATTGTGTCCAGAGACCTTGGTGCCTCCGCCATTTTCGCGAAGATTAACTATCCGTTCAGTGCGAGAGTGCATTTCAACCATTCGCATCACCTCCCAGCCGAACCAGACTTCTCCCATCTTGCCAAATTGTGTGCGTGGTTGGCCGACCCAGGTGGGCTCGCGATCAGCAAAGCCATAATACGCAGCGGGAGCCGACGCAGTGGCACTATCCCACCCTTTGTTGAAAGCTTGTGCTTTAATTACCTTTCCTTCGAACTCGACATCGAACCTCATTACCAATACCCTGCTTGGTGCTGTGCTTCGAGCTCTCCTTTGATACCGTACGCGAGTTGAAGGTGGTAGGTTTCTGAGAATTACGATCCCTTCAGTGAACTCATGAAGGCGTCTAACGATTCGCCCCCTTTGCCCGAACTGAGGACCGTTTACCTGTGGGCTTGCAATCTACATCCGAATCACGACGGTAGAGACACAACCGTGTTCAACGCCCTGGGTGCTCTCCTCAAAGAACGCAAACACATCATGATACCGGTTGGTCATATGGCGATACGGATGTGCTCCAAGAGCTTACACAAGTTGAATGAGAAGATGTCGGGTTTCGATAAAGACGGTGGTCGGACGAGGAGGAAGCAAATTCGGCTTGGTATATGACACATTCATACCTTTTGAAACCAACACGTTACTTGTCAATGTTACATTCTTGCTGAACTTCTCTGGCTGATACGCTTCCACTTGCCGATGGTGGCCAGCTAACGATGTATAGCATCCAAAGCCGTGTGAGGCGTTCGTTGTTTTGATACGAAATGTGAATACGGAATGTCATATCGAATGATCTCGGTAGATTACAAACATTGTTGAATAGATATGTTGGTCTATACAAGGATAATTTATCCACAATACATATTTGCATGGGAATACGAGCTAGCTGTCCATGGATAGAGTGAGAACTCGCGGTACGAGGAACATGAGAACGAACGTACGCTTAGAAGGTCGTACCAAGGTCACCGAACTTGATGTTCGAGAAAGTAACGGAAGCATCGGGATGCTGAGCCTCAACGTCGGCTGGGACACCGGATGTCGTGGCGCAGTTTCCACGCATGACACCGGGTTCTGAGGGGTCTTTATCGAGGGGGTAGCTGCTGTCCAGCCACAACATGTTGGCGGCGTGGTCGTCCCAAATGCTCATAACCAGTACCATGCCGTTGTCGAAGGACCCACCCATAGCCTCGAGGCCGCCCTGGGTAGCGAAGTAGTTGGTATCACCGAAGGCGGCTTTAGCATCGACGCAGAACTGGTCGGTGATAGAATCGTAGGCGGGGACTGAGGGGACATTGGTGACGGAGTTTTGGATGACGTTGCCATCTTGGACGTATAGACGACGGATTTCAGAGAGGGCACCGCTAGTGCTGTTGTTGGACGTGATGAACCTAGGAAAACCAAGGATATCAATATCGGTCTGTGTGGCGTATATGGGCAAGGGGACGTACTGTGTCACCACGGTGATCTTCTTGGTAGTGTCGACGGTCAATCCCTCTCCCAAGAATTCGCGATCGCCCATGCGGAAGGAGTTGAAATCGCAGCCATCCTTGTCGCAGACACCAGAGTAGCGAGCATCGCCATCGCCGCACTGAGTTCCTGTGCAGCGGAGAAGACCGTCTGTGGCACATGGGTGAGGGGTATAGGCAGCAGCATTTGCGTTTGCCTCCCAGATGTCCATCTCACTGCAGCAGGCACCAAAGGTACCAGCGCCGGAGTTGGGATCGGAGTCGCTGCCAACCCATCCTTCTACGTTAGCCTACAGAGAAAGGTTCATTAGGGTTTCCTTGGCGTCTACCAACTTGTCAAACACATACCTCTCCACCAATGAATTTGATGTCGTGGGGGCATTGTGAGTCACAGTAGCCAGTTCCGTATTTGGCGCCTGCTGAGTTGCTGGCCTGCGAGGCCAAACCACCATCCGCCGCCATTTCTGAGAAGTACAAAGCGCCGTTGAGACCGCAAGGCAGGTTGGACATGTCGACGTCGAAGGTGAATTCCTTGTTCTTGAGGTTGAACATTTGGTAGGTGCTTTCGTCTGCCATCAGGTAGACACGCGAGCCCACGTTGGTGTTGGCACCAGTAGTCACGAATTTCAAGGTGAGCGCGTTACCACTGGTGGTAATGCCATAGGTGCCGCTGTAGTCTGCGCCATCAAGGGCACAGTTCTGGGCGCATGTTGCGCCGTCGGGGCAAAGCGAGGTGTCGAACGCGTTGCCGGTGTAGCAGTTCTTTAGATAGGCGTGTTAGTCCAGCACTCTCATCAGATCAATGCAATGCGTACCGTGAAGCCCTCGGTAGTATGGAGCCAGCGCCAGTTGGAATCGAGCACAACTGACCTCGACAAAGTCTGGCATCCGCTGGCTGTGCACTCTTGTACGCTGAGCGGTGGGTGCGTTTCCGCTGTGAGGGTACCTGCTTGCTGCCCAAAGGCAACCGCGGCGAAGGAGAAGGCTAATAGTGCACTGAAACGGAACATCTTTGGAGAGGATATGAGGTCGTTTGAACAATGCAGATATCCGTCGAATGAATGAGCTTTTATACCTGAAATTGCTGGCCGTCGAGTCGCTTGCACATAATGGGGTCTCAATCAGCACCGAGGTGAATCCGAGATGTACCATTAGCTTCGCGCAGTGGTGTAGCAAATGGGAATTTGCATGCGAGCTCGAAGGTCGTGTATGCCACATTGGTGGTAGTAGGATTAATTCTGCTCCAACGCCAAACGGAAGAACGTTGAGTAGTTTTTCCGACGGACCGTCGTCAAGTTGAACGACCTGTTGTCAACGAATCGACAACCATGGTGCAGTATGCGGAAACGCGTATGTAGTGGACCAGAAACAACGGGTGGTTCTGGCACCCGAAGACTCTCCGTCGTCCGAGGGAGATAAAACACTTTACGGGGACATTTGCGATCTTGGCAATGGACGCCACACCAGGCGAGTAGGTATTTTGATAGATGCTCCACAATGCCGTTCGGAGGGCTTTACCCTGGCCGTGGATGCCACAGACGCCTGGGATGATGTCACTAGCGGCAGCTCAGACACTCATTCAACAAGTGAGAACTCAGATACACGGAATCTTGCGACCGAGAAGCAAGTCTTGATGAAGAACTCGAGGGCCCAGAATCGACACCTCGATAGCAACATCAACGAGATAGGATACGAGCTGCGTTGATCCGACGTGTATGATAGAAGCATCCTGTACTCCACACCGCATAAACATGAGAAGTTCCTTCGGACATATGTACTGGAAATACTCAACTCGTGATCTTCGAAACCAACATAGGTGCCCGTGTAGGTATTCGGCAAACACATATCTGCTTACGGATTGCGTCGAGCCTGAGGAGCGCTCGCAGCGCTGTTAATCTTTCTCGGAAGAGACTGTGGTGTAAAATACAGCGAAATCGTTGCGTAAAGTTGCCCACAGCAATGGGTGCTACGGTATCATTTGCCAGCAGAAATTCATTGGCGCACCCTTCGAATTGATATTGATACTACTTGATATCGGCAGTGGACATGTCGTGTGATGTATTCCTATCAGTCCGAGTCCTGGCATGGAGCGCCGGCTTGGAGAAGCGATAACGAGTGCGTCAGTCATGCATCTAACTTCACTACACGGCTTCCTACTGACCTACAACTATGATCCATACCTGTATCTGGTTGCTGCAGTGGAAGACTCAGATGCGGTCGGAACGGCTGGCACTGGCAGGTACCATTTCCAATCTGACACCAATGGAGTGTGTCGCCGCTCATGATTTCCTCCGTTCAGAAAAATGTTACCAATGGAAAACAAGTCTTCCAGTAAGGGATGCTGTAGATTTGATGGTGGTCAGGTCGTAGAGAACAAGTTTCAGGCCCGTGACTTCGTCACGCATGGGACTCAGGCTTCCATGATAGATATAATGCAGAAAGCTCAAATCAGTGACTGGCTTTGGGATACATATATGAATCCCATTCATTGAATACATCTTAAAATCTTGTTGATGTCCCGCACTGCCTTCGGTGGATGACAATCCCTTTCACCCTCCCCTGTTCCCCTGTTCTAGAATCAGAAGTGGTGTTCACTTCATTTATCACGCAGTTTTCCTCACATTTATAGTTAAGAGTAACATAAAAGGATATGGAATAAAATCAATGGGCCATCCTCTGCTCTGCTTAAATTAGATGTATTTTGAGTGATAAGTGTGTCTCATAGAAAAAAAAGGAGTTGGGAGTCATTGGGGCAGAGTTTATAGGTAAATATTATTTTTCATAATCCCTCATCTTTACTATACATCTAATCTGCTAACCACTCACTTTGCCTGGAAATATAACATGAAAACTTCAGCTAACATACATATCTACCCTTCATGCCCCTAAATTGCTCTAAGGGATATCAGTCATTGTTATCAACAATGGTCAGAGTGCTCCCTGGTATTATTCCAAACCACTGTGACAGCTTTTGCTATGCAGCCCCTGGCAACTGACCATGGCCCATTACAACTAAGCTACCCTAAGGGCTGATACATGCTATACAGTATTTACCTGTTCTGCTTGCTCAGTAACACTTTTATGGAACTTGGAGATTTGGAGATTTGGGAACTCAGAAAGGGGTCCAACATACTTGCATCCTCTCAAAATTCCACAGCTTCTTAATAGGGGATGTCAGAGTTGGTGTAACAGTCAAAACGAAATGATCAAAACATTATGGTTCCACCAATATGAAGGATTCAGCTCTGACACCCCAATAATGCAACCGAAACAAAACAAAAAGCACTAACTCCGGCTTAGGGGCAGGCTTGTTAGTCCATAGCATACCATACAGTAATTCAAAAGTAAATAGCTTTATATAAGCTATGGCTGAAAGCAGTAACAATGTGACATCCACGGTAGTGTAGATTGGTGACTCAGTGAGTATGTATACAGGCCAGATATGATATATGATGAAAACAAATGGAACAACAAAGACCTGCTTGCTACAGTGCATTCTTCAAAAGTTCATTCTCTGCAGTAACAGTTTCAGGTGGCAAAGAGCTTGGGGAACTCAGCATATCTGGTGTAATATTTTGACCATTTTGTTTCAACCATTACACTAACTCTGACATCCCCTAATCATGCAATTGCTACATTGTACAACCTCCCAATTGTACTCCCAGAAAATCATAGTTAAGTTGTAAGTCACTGTTATAGGCACATCCAGGAGGCCCCTTAGGGGCTACGACAGGCGCTTCCAGCTACAGACCCGGGCCATGCACACACGCGGCTACACGGACATGTCACGGCCTATGGACTTGTACATATTCGAGCATGCTGTACTTATTCCTACTGGACTTGTTGCTGTTTTGTGAACGCGCGCATGCCGTGTGTTCCCCAGGATATATTCCTGTACTGTACATACAGTTACCTTAGTTTGAATATTAGTTCCTTTTCCGTACACACATCCTCGCCTCTCATTTGAGGTCCCTCCGTTGCATCCCCTTGCCTCCACTCATACCCTCAGTACCCGTGTAGGACTCCCTCTGGAAATACAGGGCACGCAAGAGTGTGGGAGGCGCAGCCAGTAGCTAAAGCCAAGCTTGTACGTCCTCGCTCCCCTCGTTTCCCCTCTGCGCCTCTACGTGGAACCGCGCACCCGTGGGGCTGTGTATCCCCAAGCCTCCGCAAGTGTGGCTCTTAACAATCACTCTGAGAGGTTTACTGTATAGATGTGTAAATGGGTACTGAATATTCTCATCTAACTTCCAACTTCCTCCCCTCCTCTCCTCTATCTCTCCTCTCCTCTTCTACTCATACTTCCTAATCTCCTTCTATACTTGAATACCATACTCCTATCCCACCCCACTACCATCAAAATCCAAGTTATTTGATCATGATCATCTTTTGCTCTCACCACCCCCTGCCCTCTTTGTTTTCTGACTATCTTAAAGATGTTCTGCTACATAAGCAGCTTACTTATCATGAGTCTTGACATTCAATGGGAAGAGTTAATTCTAATCCCTCAACTTGACTGATAATTGAAATATTCTATGCAAAAGCTCTGAAGTACTAATGTCTTTATTGCATACTTACAATAAGTTGTGGTCATTTACAGTTGAGTAGTTCCTCCCCTATTTCCTATTTCCTGTTCATCTACAGCCTCCTGGTGTACCCTTACTAATCCTGGCCACTGTTCTGATCTCAATAACATATGTCTATCTAAAAGATTCATATTGTAGACTTTTCACCCTGATTTACATTGAGAGGCATTGGTTGTCATTGTTAATGCTTGCCAGAGCACTCCCCATGGTTATCTACAGCCACAGCATCTCAGAACCCTCATTTAGTAAGCACCCCCACCAACACTCTGTATTCCATACAGTAAATCTGCTATGAAACTTGCATGCCTGCAAGGACATTTCTCAGGTATGCTAATCCCTTCTTATGTAAGCCTGCGCGCTTACCTATCTCCTAATTCCCCTGACCCCTGGACCACGTGTTCATCCATATATATACGCGCGTCCCTGAGATTACTTACTTACTTCCAGCTTGTACCCCAACTCCCATCTTCGTACGAATATCACCCCCGCGTTTGAACCTTTCACCTCGAACGTTATCTCTGAGTGTTTTGCCTTCGGGCTCTCTTCCACTTTTTTTTTGAAAGGTTCAAACGCGGGGGTGATATTCGTACGAAGATGGGAGTTGGGGTACAAGCTGGAAGTAAGTAAGTAATCTCAGGGACGCGCGTATATATATGGATGAACACGTGGTCCAGGGGTCAGGGGAATTAGGAGATAGGTAAGCGCGCAGGCTTACACTCGCCCACCCTCCAAGATTTGGGCGACACGCGGGGAGCGACGGCGTAATGTCGTGGCCGTTTGTCGAGCGGACGTAGACGTGAGTGTCTCGGGCTCCTTCGATGCGAGCCAAACATCCAGAGCCTCGAGCTCGTCGACATCGCGCAGTGGTAACCACCGGTCTTCTTCGGCACCGTATCCACGGTATCTAACCAAGAACTCTTTACCTCTTTTTTTTTTGAAATCACTCAAACACCTTTTCTCTTGATCTAGGGAGGCTCGCGTCCTCACGCCGCGGCCACCCTTGACCCCAGACTCCCCAGCCCTGCCTCGTTCCCAGCCCTCGTTACCCACTTCCCTGAAAACCAGGAGTCGCTCAATCAAGGCGTCTCAACGACTCTCGCTTCCGCCCTCATCGCCTCCGTCGACGAGGAATAGAACCAGACCCCCCCAATCCCCACTTCTCCCAGATCGCCGCCCCAGAACCCAATCAGCTCCTTACTCTCGTCCTGCGCCTACTTCACCATCCTCCCTGCTTACGCCCTTACGTTCACCACCAGAATCAACCCCCCCTGACGCACCGTCGACCCAGACAGTTAAAGCGCATACAGCGACCTCCAACTGTCTTACTGGTCGCCCTGCTCCCTTCCCTTTCGCCACGCCGTTCCAACCTCTAGTCACAATGGGTGTAAAAGCCAAGATTGAACAATCGAACCCAACGAAGCCTC